AAGTTGAGGGGGGTGCAAATCGAAAGTTTGAGGGGGGGGGTGCAAATCGAAAATTTGAAAGTTTGTCCCCGGGAAGGGTCGCTACGCCTCTGGGGGGGGGGGGGGTGACAGACACCATTAAGTGCCGCACCGGGTGACACCCGACCTCGCTACGCCACTGCATACAAGTATCCTTTCGTGTATACTTCACACTCGGAAATCCCTGACTCTGAATAAAAACAACACAATAGGGCCTACTAAGTCAACCCCCCCCCCCCACCCTCACCCCACCTTCACCCCACCTTCACCCCACCTTCACATGGTCTAAGGCAGAAAAATAAGTTCGTCACCCTTCACTGACGTCGCTATTTATAGTAACGCGTACCTGTTTAGGTTAAAGTACCCGAAATGTTTGTGGCTCCACTTTGGCAGTGGTTCTTAACCTAGCTCAATCGAACCCCGTGGGTTTTGCAAGTTAGTCTCAGGGGGTTAGGTGGAGGTCAAGACACAGACCCGACTCATATAATTCACGATCGGAATTTGTCAGTCCGGACGATAGAACTATATTACGAAGGTTTCGGTGAATGCGCGAATGAAACTGGTGGTATCCGGTACTTCCAAAAGATTAAGAACCACTGTTCTCTGGTATTTCTGTCTCATGATACAAAGGTGGAATGTTCCGGTCTGTTTATTCTATACATAAACGCAGGCCACTGGCACGAGCTGGGATCATTAGGAAAAAAAAAGCAAATAAATTAGCATAATATAATATTGCAAAATTGATCCACAGACCGACTCTTCCTGTTTGTCACAAGTGTCACGCTATGGCGCCCCCCTCACCCCCCCCCCAACGAACAGTTTTTATCTTTTACCTTAGTTTCTTTCTTGGGGGGGGGGGGGGGGGGGCAACGCCTCTGATTACGTCCACCGCCCCCCACCCCACCCCTCGGGGACGAAATAGAAAAAAATATATAATCTTTTAAGAGAGCCCACAGAAACGAGGACATCCTGAGGTCACCCAGCTCTGACGGGTACATACTATGGAAAGTAAAGACGCCTGGACATAGTGCTCACCACAGCACCACACCCCCCCTTCCCCACACATATGCGTTGGTCGTGAAAAAGTGTTCCCCTAACTATCGGAAAGGCGAACGTTTAACTTCACTACATCAATGAAGAAAATAATGTAACACGAACTCATTGTTTCGTAGATTACATGTTTTATTTGCTTGAGTCTATAATGGGCCGCACCTTTGGCATTGCAATGAATGCTAATAGATCGAATTAAACGTCTTATTAAGCCTAGCCTCTTTTAAAAAGGAAACAACAATAATAATCATTAAAAAAGTTTTAAAAAACCCACGTTTTCTGATTGAACTAAAAAGTAGAAAATAAATACTATACATCACAATAATGCAAGCGATCACTCTACTATAAGCGATCAAAAACGTGGGTCGCCGAAGTAAAAGTTATATTACTATTGATTAGATAATACTATTGACTTTTATTAGGGAGCTTGTAGAGAGTCAACAGTATTAGAAACTGTAAGAAAATCACGGCGCCCCACGTTTTTGATCGCTTATAGTAGAGTGATCGCTTGCATTATTGTGATGTATAGTATTTATTTTCTACTTTTTAGTTCAATCAGAAAACGTGGGTTTTTTAAAACTTTTTTAATGATTATTATTTTCTACTTTTTAGTCTTTGTCTGTTTGTTTGCATTAAAATCTTGCTATCGATTTTATCTTTTCACTTTTTTTGGGTAAACGAAGACAACTCGTAAAAAGACAACTCGTAAAAAGACAACTCGTAAAAAGACAACTCGTAAAAAACACGTTGTTTGAATACGTTACTGACTAGAACACATAGATTTGAACCCGTGTCGAGTGGGATAGCAATCGTGTGCCCAACCACTCGACCATATCGTCTCCCCCAAACTGGCCTACCTCCTGTAAGTTTAAACTCGGTTCAAGCTAAATTCTCTGCCCCTAAGCCTGTGGCGACATGTGATCGTTCGCTTCACTGCGCGCGAGGTACGCGTCGCTGGTTTTTTTTTCTAACGCTAGCAGAGGAGAATTATATATATAGATTATATAGCGGTCTAAAATGCTCAATAAAATGTTTCCATTGATCAATTTAGTAATAATAACAATTGAATATTCAATGGTCATCCAAAAGAAAGCTTCCCTGAAAATTTCAGCGCGCTAGCTAACTGGGAAGTGCCAGAAATTTCGATCGCAAGATTTGATTGGAAAGACAAACAAACAGAGAAAGCAAGTTAAAGAAAACGTGGGAAAAACACATCCTGCTATGTGTACAGGGTGGTGGTCATAAACAGATAGGATTATTTATCGTTTTATTACGCCTGTATTGTTTCATCAGGTAAGGGGAGGGGTCATAGTAATTTAGAACCAGTTTCATTGATTTTTTTTTGGTGGTATTTTTGTTGTTGGTAGTTAACTAGAAATATATATTTGTCCTGGTTGAGGCGGTGGCGACTGAAATAATGTAAATGTGTAAGCGGGTGTGGGGGGGGGGGGGAGAGGTAAATGTACTGTTGTCTCAGTGGTCCCATAATTCCTCTCGTTTGAAATGTGAGTGGGTCACTGCCGTGGCGTAGCGAGGTTGGGTGTCACCCGGTGCGACACTTAATGGTGTCACCCCCCCCCAGAGGCGTAGCGACCCTTCCCGCGGACAAACTTTCAATTTTCGATTTGCACCCCCGCCCCCCCTCAAACTTTCGATTTGCACCTCTTAAAACACTATTTAACACTCGAATTAATCACTTAATTAAGTGGAATTATCACTTTTCTCTATATATTTTGCTATTTTTTGTCTTGATGTCACCCCCCTAAATGGTGTCACCCGATGCGGTCCGCACCCCCGCCCCCCCCCCCCCTTCTACGCCTCTGGGTCACTGTAGGATCTATTCGATACCTTTACTAGTATTTAAGAAGAGACCCACGTTTTTCTTTTTAGTAATTTAAATAGTGTATTATTATATACTAGATACATGGCCAGTTGAGGGAGAAAAACATCGGGCGCTAAGTTGACAGTCTTGTCTTTTTCTTTAAACCGAAACCAAAACTAAAATCACCACCTCAAATTCAGATTAAACCGGAAACGAAAAATGTCCTTGAAAACGGATTTTTATCCAGAATCGGCATTTAACCTTATGTACACGTAGTTACTGCACATTCATACTAATTATAGTCGTAGTAATATCCTAAAACCTTGCACCTAAGCTTAAACTCGACAAAAGTCGCATTCAGAATTTCTTTCAGGCAGCTCTTCGCCCCTATAATAAAATAGAATATATATATATATATATATATATATATATATATATATATATATATATATATATATATATATATATATATATATATAGCAAATCATTTATTTTTTCCTTTTTAGTGCAATATTACATACATTTTTTTTTTGCATTTTTTTGTTCTTTAACATTTTTAATACAACAGAGCTGCATGACTAAAAACTATTGCGCACCTAATGAACACGATAACGCTTATAGTGTGGAAAGAGTAGCACAAGACTGGCTGCTAATTTCAGAAAAAATGTTCATAAAAAATTATTTAGGCATCAAATTAAATCTAATTCGATGTTATATTTGCATTGTCTTCAAGTCTTAACCCACCCGCCAACTTTGAAACGAATCTGTCAGTTAGAAGTGCCCGAAATTTTGCCTTGCTCTCCCGTTTCGACAGGAGGGATGAAACAGAAAACAGATGAAGCAAGTTAAATAAAAGCTTGTAAAAAACGGTATGATTTTTTTTTTCAAACATAACAATGCGCCGCCTTTTCTGATTTTGATTGCCTAGTTATTCCGACTCAAATCAAAGTTGTAAAGTAAATTTTCGTAAATTTTCTCCTAAATGACATGTTGAATACCCGATTATTTTAATACCGTTTTTTTTTTTTTTTTGCACACTTTATATTAACGTAGTGAATGTAGGAGATTACTATTACGTCCGCGGATGTTGTACGCATATCTCATGAAAACTTTTCGCGAATGGGCATTCACTTTGCCTACCATAGTTAGTGGCCACTGTTTTGCCAACCATTGAAGTGAAGGTAGCAAGTCATTGGTCTACGAGACTATGTGGCCAGTTTTTTTGGCCTACCAGACTATGCAGCAAGTGTGTTGAACCAACCATAGTTTGTGGCTAGTGTCATTTGGCGTGTCCCACAAGTCCTGTTGGTGGAAAATGTTTTTGATCAACTGCCACTTTCATTGTGAGTGTTTTTCAACACTCCTCGGCATATTCTCTCGGTGGAAAACGTTTTTAAACAGTTGCCATTTTCATTGTGTTTTTCAACACTCCTCGGCATATTCTCTCGGTGGAAAACGTTTTTAAACAGTTGCCATTTTCATTGTGTTTTTCAACACTCCTCGGCATATTCTCTCGGTGGAAAACGTTTTTAAACAGTTGCCATTTTCATTGTGTTTTTCAACACTCCTCGGCATATTCTCTTGGTGGAAAACGTTTTTAAAAAGTTGCCATTTTCATTTGTGTTTTTCAACACTCCCTTTCGGCATATTATCTCGGTGAAAAACGTCTTTGTTTGGGGCGTTTTGTAGCGTCTCCATTTGGCATAAGTCCTCTTGGTGGAAAACGTCTTTGAGTTTGGCGGCCATAGTTTGCGGCGTTTTGTAGCGCCCCCATTTGGCATAAGTCCTCTTGGTGGAAAACGTCTTTGGCGGCCAGTTTGTGGCGTTATGTAGCGCCCCCATTTGGCATAAGTCCTCTCGGTGGAAAACGTCTTTAGCGGCCACAATTTGGGGCGATTTGGCATAAGTGAATAAAATCCCGATAAAGCTGTCTTTAATCCAAAAAGTAGAACAAGGCTTGTGATAACATGACTTCACAGTTTTTCCCTTGTAAAACTTCTATTATAGAAGTTTCCTCTTGTAAAAGTCATAGATACTACAGCTACTATGGCTGATGTATACATTATCTAATATTATAAGCAGTAACACAACAGAAAGAAATTGAATACAATTTATACAAGAATATTTTTAATGATAATTATCACAAATAACACAATGTATGTCATTAAATATTTCCAGTATATGGGAAACAACCAACACAAGATGCCAATAAGGCACATTGTCAAATTTCATTTTAAAATCTTAAAGAGAAAGGCACGTAAAAACAGCAGCTAAAAATATCTTATTTTAAATCAGAATAAATCTAGATGAGAACACATGTATGTCCTGTTCAATAAAAGCTTACAAAAAATATAAAGATTTGTCACCAATGAATCAAATTTTACTGAAGACAGCCTACAGAGCAATCTTTTCACTTTTACACAATGCATGACTAGACATAAAATGATACTCCAGCTAACAAGGCTGCTACCTATATTCTGGCAAGGGTCATAGAGCAGAAAGTCAGTTACAACACTACAACCCCTGTTTCATTCAACACAACCACAGGCTACAGTACCCAGGGTCATAGAGCCGAATGTCAGTTACAGCACTACAACCCCTGTTTCATCCAACACAACCACTGGCTACAGTACCCAAGGGTCATAGAGCAGAATGTCAGTTACAACACTACAACCCCTGTTTCATTCAACACAACCACTGGCTACAGTACCCAAGGGTCATAGAGCAGAATGTCAGTTACAACACTACAACCCCTGTTTCATTCAACACAACCACTGGCTACAGTACCCAAGGGTCATAGAGCAGAATGTCAGTTACAACACTACAACCCATGTTTCATTCCACACAACCACTGGCTACAGCACCCAAGTGTTTTAATTCATTTCTGACAGAAAAGACTATCCCCACATTGTTAAGAAAATAAGCCATCAGCTATTCCCAACAAACAAAAAAAACTTCACTTACTCATATACTGCACAATAAAAGGCCCCATTGCTTACATATTGACTTTTGAATACACAATAATGAATATAATTTAATTTACGAACATGCATATAATATTTGCCATTATGATTAAATTTTATAAGGTCAATAATCATAATATTAAAATATGGTTGTAACTATATCAATATGAACACTTGATGTAACTGCTTAATTTAGTAAAATGTGTTAAACACTGTATACCAACAGCACCTTGTGAATGAAGATTTACTTATTTAAAATAATACATTGCACCCTTTCTGAAAAAATCTGTACAATAATAGTGAGCATTATGTCATTAAAAAATTAAGGTGAAAAATCGTGATTCTCACTGTGCACATTAGTAAAAATTCCCATACCCTTTTAGGATAAACTAGTGTTGGCTATTTGGCATCAGTTGCTAGCTTGATCATCTCTTTTAAGTCCTGATAACGTTTAGGTGGGGCGTGTGATTTTGAAGCTTCATAGTCATGCTTTAGTTTTTCTAGCTTTGATAAACACTGAGAAAGCTGATTGGTCAACTGCTGGATGGAACGTTTCTTCCTTCCATTATCTCTCATCAGCTCATCAGCAGTCATGACATCTTCATCTGTGGACGTGGAGTAAAGCATGGCATACATTGTTTAACCCTTTAGGGCATGGATAAGGCACAACATAATTGGTTTAACCCTTTAGGACATGAATAAGGCAAGCATTCTACAACATTATTTTATCATTTAGGGCTATTCTTATCTGTATTATACACTCAGTCCAAGGTCAGCTAGAACAAAATATATTCACTAAAATAGTCTAACTTAATTGACTTGAATATTCATTTCTTATGTGCCAATTCTAGGGACAGTTACTTCCCTTATTTTAGCCATTTTTCTGATTTATGTACATCATCCATATAGACCTGAAGGGTAATATAGATCATGACTTAGTTTTTAATGTACAGGAAAATTGGTTTTTAAGAAAAAAGCCTTGTGAACTTATTTTGCATACCATGGTAATCACTAAGTGGGACTCTGGGAAAAAAAGAGTCCAAAAAAGTTAACTTGTTAAGTAAAATTAATATTCAACATTTTAATGATTGGTACAGGGATTATTAGTGTTAAAATTTCACATATGAAAATTGCCACATTAAAGACATCATTGGAAAAAGCTGGCTATATATTGCTTGAAAGTATTTATACTGTATTGTATACAAAAGAGAATAAATCACCAAACCTGTAATGGGATCATTGGAAAATCCAGTCAAGTTTTTCAGTTTTTTCATAAAAGAAGTCTTTCCTGTAGCTTTTTCTGGCTCAGATTTTGTTTGCTTCTGAGATTCTCCAGAGAACTCTTTGGCCTTGTGTAGTAAAGATGCCAGACCTGATCTTCCTGAAATGTTTAAAAAAAAATTTATTTCTGTTTTTAAGAGAGTAGGTTAACAGTTCTAACCAAATATGTATGATGCCACACCCTCTTAGTCTACATTACAAAAACATGACAAAGTAATAATATGTAAACAATTAACCATGACATTTTTAAAAATTCTGTTTTAAATTGATGACCATACTCATTACTGGCCCACTTATGTTAACCTTGTAAAGTACCCTTCAGAACCTAACAGTCCGTAAGGTAGGTGAAGTAGTTAATTTGTTTCAATGACCTTGGCATATGTAAGCGATAGTGTGGTGAGCACTATGCCCAGCAGCCTTAACTTTTCCTAACGTGAGTCAGATACCCATCAGAGTTGGGTGAACTCAGGGACATTCTACTGACATAAACCCGGCATTAAAACTCAAGAACTTAGGAGCTGTATGCTCTACCATACAACCACAATGTCCTACCATATTAACCTTGTACCTGAAACAATGAGCCCCAGACTTTTTATGTAATTGATGGCCATATCCATTACTGAGCCACTGTTGTTACAATGTTAACCCTAGTACCTGCAGCTTCTCCGGCCCCATCATGCAACACTTGCTGTAAACTTTGCAGGCTGCTTTCACTTGTGGCCTCTTTGATCATGTCTTTTAGCTGACCATATCGCTGAATGGAAAATGTTCCTTTGGATGTTTTATAGGCTTGGTCCAATTTCTAAGAAATCAAAAAAGCATTTTAGTTTCACAATGAAGCGTTAACATATGCTTATCCTAAAAAATAATGGTGCAATAAATTAGAGAGGCTTATTTAATAATTGTTTAATAAAGGTATTTTGTAATGCAAGTCAAGCTGTTAAAATTTAATACTTATAAAACAAATTCTTTGATAAATATAATCATTGGCATATGGAGGAAAAGGGGGGAGAACTCACAAAATGCAACAGTCGACCAAAATAAAAGTTGTCTCATGTTAAGCTGCAGCTATTTACGACAGAGCAGTGCTGTCCTCAGAAAGGACTTATTATAAAAGATGAATAAAACAACATAGGTCTAATTAAAAATTATTTCCTGTGTTGACTCTTTTTTTCCAGTCCATTGCAGATAAATTATATTTACTAACCAAAAATATAGCATTCACTTCTTGACTTTTCTGTTGCATATCTTTTTCTTTCTTGACCAGCCGTACATGTTCCTCCATTAGATCTGCTTTTGATGCAGACCCTGTGAAAAAGTTTTGACAGTGCTTTATTGGTTTCTTTTTTTTTCATGCATATCAATGTTGACAAATTATTAAATTAAAGCAAATATATGACCAGTATTATTATAGATCTAGAATTCTTAATATTATTTTTTTAAAAACATTTAACTGAATAACTCATTTTATATTTAATTAATTATTATAATTAAGCCTATTTGAACTATTTCAATAGATAATAATTACTTAATAGGCCTAATATACTAATTGTAATTAGGCCTAATATTTTTTACGAGCCGACCCGCCGCGTATCATACACCGCTATTTAGTTGTTTTATTTTCTACTTTTCAGTAATTCATAATTTGTGAATTCGACAGTACCAATGCTGCCACTAAAAATATTTGCTTTAAAACACTACCCCCCCCTTTCCCCTAACCCCAACCCTATACCACCACCCCCCCCCCCCCCCCGTGAAAGCAAGCAGCCTCCTCTTAGTTACCTCCTGTAAGTTTAAAATCGTTTCGAACTAAATTATCTCCCCTTAATAGCCGTCACTAATCCCGGCTCTACGATTTGTAAACACAGCGTGACCAGAGCTCACTAGACCATGTGGGGGTGGGGGTGGTAGTGATAGTGAAAGAGAGAAAGAGAGGGGACTGCAAGGATGCGCTTGCAGCTTGTTTTCTAGCGTCTCCCAGAAGAGAATTATATATAACGAGCCGGCCCGCGGCATAACATACGCCGCTATTTAGTTGTTTCTAATTTTCAATAATTGATAATTTGTGAATTCGACAGTACCAACGCTGACACTGAAAATATTTCTTTAAAACACTATAAGTAGCTCGTTAAGGACCATAACCCCCCCTTCCTTCCCCCCCCCCCCCTACGTTTAAAATCGTTGGCTCTGCTTGTAAACATTTAGAGTGAACACAGCTCACTAAAACCATGTAGGGGTGGGGAGGTAGGGAGAGCGTTTGCAGCTTGTTTTCTAACGGCTCGAAGAAGAGAATTATATATATAGATAAATAATATATATAGATCTAGATACCTTTAGCTTCATCATCTTTGCCCATGTTTCACTCTGCAATGTTTCTGAAATAGATCTATGTTTTAAAAGTCATCACTGAATTAACAGTCATTAGGCCTAATTATTATAATTATGCTTGTAGGTAGGCCCATAACAAGGTAAGAAAACAAATTTAAATAAAATGAAAAGCTAAAGTAGTAGGCAGTAGGTTAACTTAATTAATAAAAAGTATGACCTAGGACCATAGGCCCTAATCTTAGACTAATCTAGGTAAATTAAAAATAAAATTTTAATTAGTTTATTATTATTATTTTATTTTGTAGGCCTAGTCAGTTAAAAACTTAAGACTAGATCTAGATCTAGATCTAGAGTCTAGATTCTCTAGATTCTAGCTATAATTACTATAATAACTTATAGCTGCTATAATAAGTCTGTAGTATTGACTAGTTACTAGATCTAGGACACTTACGAGCTAGCTAAAATGTTCCAAGCCCATTCAAGAGTAATATAGCCAATAATGATATTGCAATGATAATGTTGCAAGTCACAATATTTACATTTCAGTATCCAGGCCTAATCAGCAGGCCTGTCCTACACACTACACACTTTTCCCTGGCCTTTTCCAATAAAAAGTGACTTTGAAAAGAAACGAAATAAAACAAAAATTCAAACTACGAGTAGGCCTAAATTCTAAATAAATAGCCTATTTAGTAAATACTATAACAATAGACTAAATTTCTTTTAAGTAGGCCTGCTGGATCTCGATCTATAGTCTTTTGTAGATTTAATTAATGTAACAATATATTAAATAATAAAGTAATTAAAGTTATTAATTCTAAGTCAATCTTCTTCATCTTCTTCTTCTGCGTTCTTAATGTAGTTTATGGTGGAGTATTAAATTTTAAACAACACGTCCAAGTTCGTGTATAAACTGGACTGTGGTCTCCAGATCCGCGGGTGCCCCTTGAGTTTCCTTGAGTGGGGTGTATAGGGACCAGTGCAATGTTTCTTCCAGACTTTTTTCTCCGGGGGGGGGGGGGGGGCACTTGAGATTTTCGGGGGGGGGGGTGGGGCAGCCACTGTTAAAAGTATATATTTTCTATATAAATTATATAAATTTCATTTCGTTCACGGGGGCGGTAAAAAAATTTCGGCGAAGAGATGCCTAGAAAAAACTCTGGACCAGTGTTTGGATCCTGCGAGGCGGAGAGCCCGGCCCCCTACCTGCGCGGCGGGATTCCACAGGCAGGACGCCAAATCTGTTAGTCCTTTTGCTTTCCTCCAGCATAAAATTAAGCAATGCGTGCCAGCATATTATGCGCAATATGGTATAGCTTGTTGACTCCGACTTCAGCCTGCTTTTCTTTCTGGATTTGCTTCCATAGCCTTTGATCACCCAAGAACAAACCACAAAGCAGCAGCTGTTTGATATTGGAGTTTTCTCTCCTAGAAGGGTTGCTGTCAGTAGCGTACGCAGGGGGGGAGCAGGGGGAGCGGCCGCTCCCCCTCTGGCCATTTTCAGCAAAGTGGCGCCTTTTTGGAAACTTTTTAAACTCAAAGTTTTAAACAATGATATTTGCAAAAAAAATATTTTTGGTCGGCACATCTATGTAAATCACAAAATTTCTTTTCATGCAGCAATTAAGCATTTTTGTGCTAGTCTAGAAGTGCCTACGTTTACAACACGTATTAACAGCTGCATCAGTTTGCCATTCTAAAAATAACCATTACGATGCATTTCAATGTTTAAAAACCTTTACGTGTAGTACCACTTGTAAAGAGGCGTGTTAAGTTTAAGGCAACTGTATAATGTATTTGCTTACGAATAATTGAATTAGAAAATTTTATACATAAAACTTCACACATAATTACTTTATATATACAGTTTGAATCGTGTGATTACTTTTTTTAAAAATTCAATACAGAAACAAATACAACTGATGTGGCACCTCTATTTAAATTTACTTATGAGCAAACTGCGTAGTGGTGGGGAAATTTTGACAAAGTCAACAACGTCATCACGATGAAGTAGTAGTATTCTTACAGTTTGGGCGAAAGTGATTACGATAACAAATTATAGGAAACAGTTACAACCCCCTTCCCCCATGGACCTCTCTGTAAAAAACAATATTGTTATAATACCACTGCTACTTATTTAAATCTATTTCTGTAATATATATTTGTGTAATATGTATGTATGTTTAGAACAATTATCTAAAAACTGACGCTATGTTCACTCTGAGTTGGTTATCCCGGATTCGAACTCGAGACTTACGGGTTAGCAGTCCAGCTCTCTGCCGCTAGACCACTCCGTCCCACAATTGTGTAGAGCGACATTAATGTCACATCTAAGTATACACTGGGTTGGATAATTGACCTAAAGTGACCGGACAGTGGTGATTGAAGTTGAACCCACCCCCCCCCCCCCCATCCCACCCGAACTGATCTGTTAAGTACATGTAGAAAAACGCGTAATGCTGTACCAAAGTACCATGCCGCCAGAAAATTAGCTTTTTAAACGTAAAACTGTGAATATTGTTTTTGCAATTACCAGTAAAAAGGTGTGTGATCAATACAGTGATCTAACCCATACCTATCACTATGTTAAAAAATGATCTTTAAAGAACACAAAGAAGCAGTAGTTAAATAAAAATATATGATCTGAACTAAAAGACCGATATTTAGTTAAATGTAGGCTGTTATTCCGAATGTTTTTCTATTATATCGAAAAGAGTGGTTTTATACCAACTCTTATTTTAAAAACTTTCATTATGCCGTAATACTTTCGCATTTATGATGACGGTATATTAAATTCTGATTAGAGACAAAACATTTTGTAAACACGAATAGTGCTAAGCAATTTCATATATTCTAAAGTAATTATTTATTTGTTTTGACATTTATAATTAAATGTGTAGATATATACATATTTATATTAAGAGAGTGATTATTTCCCCTATTTCACTTGTCTTAAATAATTTCCCAGGAATTATGTCAGAAAATTTTTTAGCGCAATTTCCATACTGACAATTGCGATTATTAATTCGTTATTTCTGGATGGATGTTTGTCCGCAGCTTCAAGTCGTATCTCCTCCTCAACGAAGCAATATCGAGGACTAGTTCCAAAAGCAAATATGTTAAGCAAGTTCCGAGAATGATTGTGGGCCAAACAAATTCCCAGAATTCCTTCCTGGATTTCCCGGAAAAGCCAAAAAAACCTCGAAAAAAATGCAGTTTTTGGCCCATATCTCGGCAACCAGACCACTTAGCGACTTGAAACATTTACCGATCGATTTTTGCCATAATTTAGAACAATATTGCCGAAGAAAGTTTTCAAAAATATCCTTTCGTTCGGTCACAATTTTTTTTTAAAATTACATTATACATAATACACTACAGTGCTATATAGCAATGTATAGATATAAATCTATGGTGAAAGGGATGTGTCAAAATAATCTATTTTTCGCTGTCTTTTAGATCTTGCTATAAGTTTAATTTTTACTTGTTATGGATAACATAAGGAAATTGCGCTTAAATTGTCACTAGACTTTTTATTAACTTGTTTTACAAGAATTACAAAACAGATTGTGTTCCGTTCGTTGTTTTTTTGTTGTAGTGTGTGTATATTTATATTTTTTTGCTTAGATTGATACAATTTTTGTTTTGTCGGCCTACATTGTGTGTTTTTTTCTTATTTCTTCAGAGTGCTACTTTCAATTTATTTTACATCATAGCGAAGTAATGACATACAGCTAGTAATTATATATATATATATATATATATATATATATATATATATATATATATATATATATATATATATATATATAATACACGTATATAGAACTTGTTAAAAATTCGGCGCCTTTTTTTGCTCTTTTCGCTCCCCCTATAACGAAAACCTGGATACGCCTCTGGTTGCTGTCCCTAGCTGACGAGCCCCATCTACCCGGGTTTGGAGTTATAGCGCCCCATGCTCGCCGTTGAAGTCATTTCCTTGGATTTATGAGATGTTTTAGATTGAATATCCTAACCAATGGATATCCCACTTTATCCTCCATGACCACAAACCAGTTGGCCCACGGCTGTTTATCTGGTATTCACAGCGAACCCTCAAAGGGCCTCTCCCCAATCTACCACCTGGGGATGCGCTTGGTAGGAGATGGTAGCTCCCCCATGTAAGTCAATCTAAAGTAACCTATTCTAAGAAATTTCAGATTCGTTGAAAAAAAATATGACTGTGTTAGTGATGTAGGCCTAGATTCTAGATCTATATTTTAAAAATCTTATGCTCATTCAAAATGCCAATCTAGATATCTGATAGATATATCTACATTATGCACATCAAGATGTATATAAAAACTATTGCTAGATTTCGTGTTCAGATAACAGCCGATTTATATTTAGCAGTTGTACAAACAGCTGCGCATCTGGATCAAGCTTGAGATTAACAAGCCGTGTGTTTGTTTAAACTTTATGCTTAAGCCTATATTATCAATATGTGTAGTTAGGAGTAGACCTATTTCAATCTTATCGAAAGTAACCGAATATTGATCTTATAAATATTTTAGGAAGAAACCCCTTTATTTAAAAAAACGAAAATTGCTATTTGAAAGTGTATAGGCTACGTGTGTGTAAGGGGGGTGGGTGGCTGAGGTGTGGCATTGTTGGGGAAGGTGTTTTAATGTCATTAATGACAAGGGATGGCGGCGGCTTTATTACACACACACATATATATATATATATATATATATATATATATATATATATATATATATATATATATATAGGCTTATATATATAAATATATAACGCTAAAATGGAGACGATGAAAGCTACAGATCGCCCCAATGGTCCGTATGCATATAGGCCTATAGCTTGGTTAGGCCTTTAGTGCGCATTTATCTCTGGATAGTGGTGGGATGGGGATTAACAATGTTTCAAATATAGTGTTCTTATACGTTTTCTTAAAGCTGCTGTAAATTGATCGGCCGACATGTGTCAAACAACACTTCATCGATTAAGCTATTAGGGGTCATCCATAAATGACGTCATGCTTTTTATTACGATTTAAAAAAAAAAAAATTCCGCTCTTTCTCCGTGACACATCGTCACAGACACTCACAGAAAGCCAGACTCACCACCCCCTCCTAAACTGACGACACACCTCAGCCCTCCTCAAACTTATTAAAGTTGTTTTTTTTTAAACATCAATTTTGTTTTTCTAAAATATTGACGGAGCTCAGTCAATAGAGTATTATAATTAATTAACACAACAGTTATCTCAGTGGCGTAGCGAGGTCGGGTGTCACCCGGTGCGGCACTTAATGGTGTCACCTCCCTAGAAGAAACACCCCCAACCGATAGGCTTACATGAAAGAAATACTGGCGGCGTGCGTGGTCGATAAATCTAGCGGCTGACGTTATGTAGCCTAGTGTAGGCTCCTCGTAAAAACATGTAGGGGAGCCTATTTAAATCAAACCTGGGATTAAATCAAATTTTCTGTATCTTCCGAAATCCCGTACAAGCGAAAAATAAATTAGTATTCTACTCCTACCATCATACGAGAAAATGGTAGATCCGTTATATAAAAGCGTTGTAATGTAAACACACAAAGCGACTGGAATGCTCATTCACAGGCCTAGGTCAGCCAGGAGCATTGTTATGAGCAAATCAGATAGTTTGTGTCAGAGATAATTGTAGCTGTCTCATATTTTAAAAGGTCAGATGTGGCTCTGGTCATAAGAAGCCTAGAGCTCATGTTGTTTGTTGATTAGGCAGGCTATAACAGAATATGAATGCATCAGCCTAGTTCATGGATGTGAAGAGGAAGTACGTAAGCCGCCTTTTTAGGACTATACGTGTGAGGGGAGATGAAGATTAAGAAAGTATTTTGGAATGTGTGTGGTGTTAGGGTATGTTTTGTGCGTGTGTTGCATTTGTAAATTATTTGCAATACTATTCCACTTTTATTTTGCAAATCTCACAAAAACCGCAATTGTTCTCAAAGTAATATTTTAAGAAGTTTAATTGATTAAAACAGGTTTGTCTCAAGGAATCATTATCCCATCTTAAAATTTGAAACTAATTGGCCCTTTCATAGTGTAGACAACACACAATGACCCATATATGCGAAACTACTCAGTCACCGTAACGGGTTATGTAAGGATATATTATTAATCAATGTACTCATATTTTAAAAGGTGAAAAGTGAATTAACAGTTATTTCCCCTTCCAGTTGTGCCAGACCGCTATTAGTTCTACAAAGCTAACACACAAAGATACTATTACTAGATCTAGATGATGTCTTTTAATCAATCATGAGTGTAATCTGTTTAAAAAGTTACAAAACATACTGACATTTTGTATCCATTTAAAAAACTAAAAAAATATTGGTCATAAAATGTAATACACCAATAAGTAAAAACATGTTTTAGTTTAAACACATTGTATTATCATTATGTGTAATTTTTATACATACAAAAGTGTACATATATGAATCACAAAACTGGCTATTCGGTTATGTTGTGTACTTTTCACATAACTTTTGTGTACAGATTTTATTTTTTTGACATAGGAATGCTGCCATTCTTGCAACTGGAAAGTCCATTAATTTTTAATTTAAATTTTCAATAATTGAATAAAACTTAATAAACTTAAAAATAAAAAGTACTGAATTCCTGCATGAATAACAAAAATCACAAATTAAGAATCTCAACAATTTAAATAAAAAGTATGACATGTTGAAAACACTAGATAAGTATTCAATCATAACAATAATTCTCATTTAAGAATTGATTATAAAATAATAATGGTAAAAAATATGATTATCAAATGAAATTTTTCACTAAAAAAATACAAATTTTTAACAACATACCTATCTTTTTTACTTTTCTGTAAACTTTGCAAATATCATAACATTAAAGAAAATTGTGACACTCCTGTTTAAAAAATATGCTGCCTATAGATTTGTTGATATGCAAATTAACATTAATTCTTCCAATTAGTTTCACAGCTTACAAATATATCAACAGCATCATTTCATGCAACTGAAATTTCAGATTAACGAAACTCAGTTTTTAATCGCCATACACCACTACGAAAATCACAAATTTGGTTCAACATGGCTTTAAATTTAGGAGCATCTGATTTTGGTAGGCGTGTGCCAAAATTCAGAACGATTTCTTGAGTTGACGCCTCCCCATCAGTGTTAGCCATAAAAGCAACAAAGTTCCTGATGTCTTTTAACAGCTCTTCATCTTTTGGATCCAGATTCTCAGGCACATCAGGCCGCAGGAAATCCTCATCTTCAGTGGATACAGAAGCTGTTGAAATTCTTTTCCTCGCTCTCATGCGGGATAAGAGGTCTTGCGATGTTAAGGAATTATCTTTTGTACTCAAGGACACAGTACCAGACACACTGCCATCAAAAAGTTTATCTTTTTCTGTTGCACTTTTCTGGGAGCAAATAGGAATGGTATTAGATTAGTGTTTTTCATGGATTTCATAAACATTAATTAGTTATTTACGGTGCAAGTAAAAATGGGTGTTATTAATTACATAAACACAAAACCCTCAACTTAACTCTTGGTACAAAAAACCTAGCCCTATCCTGTTGACTAGGCATTTCTTAACAACTGACAAAAAGCAGTTAATACAAATGCCTTTCATGAATGAATACTATATAGCGTGAAAAGCAGCTTTGTAGTATAGCACACATTATTGATATAACAAAAGTTTTGACTAACCTGTGAGGTGATCTGAGGTGTTTCTGATGGTGCTGACTTGTTAACAACTAATAAACTATTCTTCTTTTGTCCAAAACGTGGTCTGTAAAAATTAAAAATTGGTTTAAGAAAAATATAAAACTTCAAAACAATTATTGTGCAACAAATGCAAATTAGCATATTTTAAACTGCATTGCTTCAACTTATAGGAATAAAGGGATGTGATTTTTTTTTTTTTATTGAATGTAGATGGTCCCCAATGCACAATATCTTATAGTAAAATAACAAATTCCCATAACTATGAATATTAACCACACAAAAAATTACTTCGCTAGTCCCCCATGCTGTCCTGTCCATGTGGGAAGCCCTGACATAGCAGATGCACATTGCTGGCGAGATCTTCGTAAGGCGGCTACTGCTTCCCTCGCAACTTTCTCAGCTTCTGCCTCTACAATGGCATAATCAGGTCGCCCAGAGTCCATTATCTTCTCATGTTTCATTGCACCCTGCAGTCCTAGAAAAGTAATTTTTCAATATTCTCACAGCCCAACAGTTAGAGCAACACAATATATATAATTTATCCTGTTTTGTAGCCCCTTAAATCCTAATCACTTAACACTAATAACTTCTCAATTTACATACCTATTCAATTAAAATCAACCATTGTATTGAAAATAAATACACACAGATATTTTCATTTAATTTGTAATTGTTAAAAAATTGTGAACCTGTTTTCTTGAAAAGCTGCTTGAGAACGTAATCATCTTCTCGTTTATTATCTTTCTTCTGGGTACTAACTGAAGGTTGTTCATCCGACTGGTCAGCAGTGGACAGGCTACAGTGTTTCACTAAATTAGGTATTCTTTCACCTTCAAAACCTGGAGAAAGCATAACGGTACTTGCATTAACTGGCTTGATTAAATGGCTTAAAATAAACGTTTTAAGATTTAAGTTTTTGATTTTACTCAAATTTAAGGATACATCAAAAAATTTTTTTAACGTTGTGCTCTTTTTGAAGTCTTTAGCAAAACCTAGAGTTTTGAAAATTATTTGATAGCAGCTTAATTAAGTATTGTGGGTCAGCATGGTTGAATGGTAGAGCTTTCGGCAGCTAGCCCGAAGGTCCCAAGTTTGAACCTTGGTTTGGTCTAGTGACTGTAGGACGTACCTGAGTCCACCCAGCTCTGACGGGTACCTGACTATGTTGGGGAAAGTAAAGGAGGCTGGGCATAATGCTGACTACACCATTCCTTCATATATAGAAGTCAAGAAATATGAACTCTACCTCATCTGCACAATGGATTGCTAGGTCTAAAGGGAAGCTTTACTTTTTTTAAAAATAAAGTATTAAGAGCTAGGATTTTGTTAAATATGTGATTTTTTTAAAAACCTACTAATATAATATTATTCCATTTTCTATCAGAACAATTTCCACTTGCAAACTTTTTAATGATTCATTGGAGGAACTTACGTGCATTACGCAACTTTTTCTTTTTTTTAGTTTTATCATCATCTTTCTCTTCATCCGTGTGTGATCTGCGCCTCTTCTCTTCTGTCTTTTGCCTTTTTTCCTCACCTCTGTGATCAATATCTTGAGGTGTGGACCTCTCCTCCTTGTTTCTTTTGAGCATAGGGATGGTCCATTTTTTCCCATTGGAATGCCACTTGTTGGGTATACTGCCAGAGTGTGAGTTTTTACTGTCTCCTATTTGGGAGAGTGCTGAACTGGTGGATTCTTCTGAGACAACTTTGCTTTCAATTTCTTCACCATTATCACAGACTACTGTAGTCTCTAAACTTTTCAATTCATCGTCTTTCTTATCATTTGTTACAGGCTGAACCTCTTCTACCTCATCAGAAGGGGTGAATAGTTTTGTAGAGTCTTCTGATGCCCGTCTTTCACTCTCTCTCTTTCTTTTTTCTTCTTCCATCTTTCTACTCAAATTCCTAGCCAACTCTTTCATCCTTTCTAGCTCTTCATTATCCAATCCCATATTTTCTTCATCAACACTTTTATTGTCTTTGTTCTCACTAGTTTTTAATTCTTTCTTGTCTTTCATTTCATCAAATCTATTTTTTCTGCTCCTTTTTGAAACTTTCACATCTGATCCTGTCCCTGCAAATAGAGCACTGGTTTCTGTCCCTTCTTCATTATTATCACATCCCAGTGTGAAGAGTTCCATCAAATCCTGGGATTTGAAAAGCCTTCTTTGTTTTGGATCTTTTAACACTCGATTTGTTAAAAACTGTTTAAAAATTTGTCTGAAAATATAAATTAAAAAAAAACACTTTTTTGGCTGAATTAATTATTATATATGTCAGCTACATGTAGAAATTTATGTATTTATAAATTTATTTACGTGAAAATTTTAATTTAATTTTAAAGTATTTTTAAATCTGCAAATATACCTGTAAACTGTTAAAAAAAACTGCTTTCAATAACATCATGAGCACTTACAAACAAGCTGCTTATTCACACAAATAGAAAAATACCTGTGATAAATCTTTTCTTCAATAGTTCCTGAGGTCAAAAGTCTGTAGATGGTCACCTGTTTTGTTTGACCAATACGCCAGGCTCTTTCCCGAGCCTGTACATCAGTACTTGGATTCCAGTCAGGGTCATAGATGATAACTCTGTCTGCACCTGTCAAATTCACACCTAGCCCACCGACTCGAGTAGTTAACAAAAACAAATAGATAGATGGTGTCTGAAAATGAGAGTAGTCATGCATTTTACAAAAAATAGTAATAAGTTATTAAAGATAATTTAAATGATTTTTTAAATAATGAATATACTTACATTATTAAACTGTGAGATTAAAGGCTGTCTAGCAGATATTGCCGTCCCTCCATCCATGATTAAATAACTGTACCCTTTTTCTGCCGCAAATTTCTCCAATATGTTCAACATCTACAAGATATAAGAATGACATGATGTCACGACATAATAAATGATGTTTAAAACAATGTATGAAAATGATAACGCAGTCATTTAAAAATCTGCAGATGCAATCAACTTACAGATTTACTTTGTGTAAACAACAGAACTCTGTGTTTCTGTTTGTACCAAAGGCGCAGTAGTGCTTCTACAACAATCATTTTCCCACTTCTCTTGTGATAGCCAAACTGATATTCAGGATCTGTTTCTGAACAATCTGAGTGAAAAAACTGTGGTCCACCAGTTGACAGATCTGGATGATTACAGATCTTACGCAGCGTGATAAGGCCAGCAAACACCTGCAGAAAAATTTTGATATTTTTTAATTGAAAGATATCTTATTGATGGGCATGGGTTTTACTTTATGAATACTTTATGGACATTAATTAATACTTTGTTATTCAACTTTACCAATCATTTTAAGAAAAATCATCACCTGGAATTTTCCTTGTAAGATTGCATTACATTCTCTAGAGTCCAAATATTCTTTATAAACATCCCTTTGTTCCTCTGTAAGGCGACAAAACAACACCTGCAGAATATACATTAATAAGTTTTAAAAGAATAAAACTAACAAATGCTTTGCCACTATAAGTAATTACATAAAATTCTGACCATGTGAATATCTATAATCGTTTGATTTTTTTGTGTTCTCCACAATGGAAAACTAACCTGTTCATTTTTGTTTGGAAGATCCAAATTTTTTTTAACATCTGCTTTCATCCTTCTGATGAGGTAGGGGTTGATAGTGTCTCGAAGAACACAGGCACATCGATAGGCTGTTTCAACCTGTATTGATGTGTAATGTATGGGATCATCAAGTTATGACATTCACACAATATATTCATATTTATAATTATAAAAAATATTGTATACCACTTAGTATACTGGAAGTAAGTTTTGAGAGGTCTGTTTTATTATTGCAGATGTCCACTCAAAGGGAAGTGGGGTTAATTCAAAGTGACAGTATGTGGATAGGAGTGGTGAGCACATGTGTACTATTCCAATTTTGTGCAGACTTCATAAATGGTTGACTCTTTCTAGTAAACTAATGTAGTACGCAACCAAAAAGCATATAATAAAGTAGACAGAGGGTAGCAGAACTAACAGAAACATTTGTGTGATTAAGGAGTAAATTATACTTTTCAAAAGATAATTGTATTTATATTCATTATAAATTGCTACCTTGATAGAGGGGATGGTTGGGGGGAAATACAATAGAGAAATAAGGGAGACAAACATACCTGTACTTGAGTTGCATTGGAGTAGCCACCCTGTACAATGGGTATGGAAAAATGCTGCATAAAGTCTGGTAAAGTTCCCAACTTTCCAGGAAATATAAAGTCAAACAAAGACCAGAGTTCTTTCAGATTATTTTGAATGGGTGATCCAGATAATATTATCCTGTGAGGTGTTCGAAACTATATTTAAAAATAGAGCAGAGTGTAATATCATAGAATGCTTCAAGCAGTAAGTCTATACAACACACTGATATGAAATTATACCATGTATGCTATCAATATACAAAAGTATACAATTGAAATGTTTTCAATCTCTAATTTGTATTATTATCACTTTCTAAATCAACATTAAGCTGCTATTAATGTACAAAAGTATATATTTTAAATCTATCAGTTAATGATGGCAATTTTTGCACGTACCTGCTTACAAACTAAAGTAACTTTGGCATCTGGATTACGAATCTTATGACCTTCATCCAGAATTACATAATGCCAATTGAAGCGAAGCACAAGCTCTTGATGGATAACAAGGGTATTGTAGGATGTGATTAAAATTCCAGAACTCTTTGCCACAGATCTAACCATCTCTGACTGCCAAAAAAAAGCAGAATATTTTTCGTTCAAAATAAATTTCAACAATCATAGGTTAATTACTTTCAAATAAAGCTGTGTTAATATTATCATTATTAAATACTATACAGTATACATTAGAAAGAAACAAACCTCAGACCCAGTAAAAGATCCAGAAGAATGTAAAATAGCAACTCTAAAATCTGGCCACCACTTATGAAACTCCTTGAGCCATTGGTGCATGACAGTCGTAGGACAGACAATAATAGAAGGGCCCAGTCCTTTATACCTAAAAAAATGTATGAATATTATACACCTGAACAGTTAACAAAAATACTAAATGTTTTTTTAATACAATTTCATTTTGAAAATAGCTAGCAACAGAGTTAAGAAAAGATAACTGAAAGAAGTTACAAGAGAGGTAAAAATTTTTTTACCAACATACGGGAAATTAACATTTTTTACTTGACTAGTACGTAAGGCAGCAAGAAAAGCAATAGTCTGTATAGTCTTGCCAAGCCCCATTTCATCTCCTACAATACCCCCTACTTGTTGACAATGCAGTTCCCACAACCAACGTACACCAGTCTTTTGATATCTGAAAATAGAGTGATTATTTTATTTTGTAAGCATTTGATAGCGAATGTCTTTAGTTAATAGATTGGACCAAATGATACAGATAGCAGTATTTTACAAATTTCATTTTAGTTATTTGATCAAGCGGAATGAATAAATTAAAACACCCATCAAATACTTGAAAGCAGGTTGATGAAAAAAAAATCACTTACTTAAAAAGCTTACTCCACAGTCGAGGAGGGACTCGTAAACCACCATCAAACTCTGAATCATCATTTTCATCATCCAATTTCATGTCATCAATTTTCTCTTCTTTCTCATCTAATCTTTGTTGTCTGAAGAAAAAAGTAATGATATAAATTATATATATATATATATATATATATATATATATATATATATATATATATATATATATATATATATATATATATATATATATATATATATATATATATATATATATATGTATATATAAATGTATATACATATATAAGACTTAACTAGAAAATAGCCTACTAAAAAAATAAAAACATGTTTAAACCTTAAGAGTCTCTGTTGGTAATACTCCGGGTCAGCATCATCTCTTTCCCTTCTGTAAGACAAATCTCTCTTCACCTTTCCTTCCTCATGTTTTGTTTCATCATCCTCTATGTATTTTGGAATCTTCCTAGGTTTCTTCCTAGGAAATGAACTCCTTTTACTTTTTTTTCTCTTTTTGGATTCATCTTCAAGGGTCTCACCATCTTCATCTAGAATGAAGTAATCAGTTTTTTAAACATCATGCTGTATTAATGTACTTTTTTGTTACCTCACTCTTTAATCTCAACAAAAATTAATACTTTCATAAACCTTTAATGAGTGTGCCAAAAATCGAATTGCAAATCTTTACCAATAGATGTGTAGTTGTCAGAGGATTCCCCCATCAATTCTTGATTACTTGGTCTATATTCTTCTTCATCATTGTTAGATTCAGCATCTCCACTGTCATCATCTTGCTCCTCTATATTGTTATGCTCATCTCTGTCATAAAAGGATAATTGATACAGGCTTATCTGAACACATTCTTTATACAAGATAAAAAACAATTTATAGAATTAAAACAAAAAATTAAATATTTGATTGATGCTGAAGTAATAAATAATAATAATAAAAGAACACATAATGAAATATAAAATGACACTGTGTATAACTCAATCCATCATCAATTTTTTTTTTTAATTAAGGCATTCCAGCAAAGTAAACAAAATTATCTTACTCCATATGATCTTTATTGGCACTTGCTTGACAGTCAATTATCCGCTGCTGGTGTCTAGTTGAATAGACTACACCAGTAGAATGTGTTTGCTGTGCTTTTTTAAAATCAGGTTCTGTGGATTCCCTTTTTTGTTTTTTCCTTACAGACCAGGAAACATTACTGCCTGTATGTTCCATTTCATTTGATGTTTTAAGAGACTTTCTTTTAACATATTTTTCAAAATCCTTTTTAACCTTGACTGAAGGTAATTCTTTGGCCATTAAGACTTTTTCAAATTCTGATAAATTTGGTTCCCTGGGGTGGACAGGTTTAAGAGCTGCAGGCTTCATAACTGTGCCAAATGGGGTCATCTCACCAGTACGAATCATGCGCTCTTTTTCAGTTTCTTTTTGTGTACCAATTTGAAAAGCTTGATTAAACATGCTGTCAGCTTATTGTTAAAAACAAAAAAAATTATTGATTAGACAAGTGAAACCAAATTTTTAAAAATATCTGTTGCTCTAATTTTGTGCATATATTTTAAAGACAAGTTACATATTTCACACACTGAGTAAGTTTATAATGATAAAAAAAAAAAAAACTAGCACCTTCTTCTTCTACAGATTCTGTGTCTTGATTATACAACTGTAGCTTCTTCTTTACATTTTCTTGTCGCACCATCAATGTTTTTAACTGCTTATTCTGTCATGGTCATTATAATATAAAAAACTGTACCATTTGAAGTTGATATTATTTTATTAGCTCTATGGTTTACTTCTAACAGAAAAATATTATTTTATTAGCTCTATGGTTTACTTATAACAGAAAAAAATTACCATTAAAAAATCTTAAGACCATAAATCAAATTAATCAAAGCTATTACAAGTTAAATTTTATAATAGATTAAGTTAACCTTGTTACTCCTTTGCTTTTTTATGCCTTCGAGCTGTCGTCTGATGTCGGATGACATTTCACCCAATTCTAATTTTTTTTCAGATTTCATTATATGTTCCAAATCTTTTTTCACAAGTCTTCATAAAATAATTAAAATTATAGTTAAAGATAAACAATAGATTTATTAAATTTATAACATTCTAAACAATTAGCATTTAAACAGTGATTTTTTTAAATAACCTAATAAATTAACTAGTTAACTTTTTTAGCACATCACAAGTTGTAAGTTATGGTGACTTTGTACACATATTTTTTAATTAGGTAAAACTAAAGTCTCGTTGTATAGCACTTAAGTAAAGATACTAAACACATACATTTCAACACAAATCAGAAATAATACAATATGATGACAACAGACCAAAAAATATATCTGAGAACATAGCTTTTAATTGGTTAATATTGTCAACTGTTTCCATCCTAAACTAAATGTGCATGATTAAAAAATGAAATCAACTACTTACAAAATATCATCACAAATTACTTTTAGCTCATTCTTTAAGATTTTTTCCAATCTTTTTTTCTCTTCCTTAACCAATGCCTGGTCAACTTGATCCATTATTCCTGTAAATAGTAATTGGAGCTTACAGCAACAAAACAGGTTTTCAAATTAGTTTAGTAAATTTAGGTGTTAAAACTGATTCACAAAAGGATCTGAGTGTTGCATATGGTAAACACAATTTGCCTAGAACTTAATAGATTTTGCTTGTCTTTTAAAAGAAGACTTACTGTTACAAATGACAAAATGTAAAATGTTACTTATGCTTAGAGTGACTATAGGAGTTAGATCTAGTGTGGTTTATGTTTAGACATTACATATTGATTCAATTTGAGAAAGACTTAGATCTACCTTGTTCTAAAACATCTTGATTAAAAACACTTAAACCAAGCTCTTGAAGCTCTAGCCCTTGTTCATCCAATGTTGCCTGAGGTATCAATGAAGTATTCACATGGAAGGCATCATTTTGGCTAGCTCTCTTTTCTTCATCATGATCTGTAAGATTTACACCTGACATCTCAATGCTGCAGCCCATCTTTTCCAAATCATGTGTTGGGTTCTGATTCATTCTGAGGCCAAGAATCTGTTTGAGTAATTGATCTTTTTTTAAGTACATAAAAAAATTCTATATTTTTTAGGTCTAATGTTTTTCTAATTAAAGACTATGCACATAAATTGTGTTACTATTAAAGTTGAAGTGATGGAAGGAGGATTTTAAGAGAAAATACTGTACATGATATTAACTATAGTATAGAGCATGGGTTCCCAAACTTTTTCCAGTAGCGACCCTCTTTTATAAAAAGTAAGTGACCCACGACTCCCATAGCATTACTTATCATATTATCATTACTAGCCTCGGCGAATTTTACACACCTAAGCTAGATAAATCATTTAGAAATTTTTGTCAAAGTCCCTACTTCTTCTTCTTCATTCTTTTAGTGTTGGAGGGGATCGAACCTTAGTCCTTATCTGCCAGAGGGTTTGAACTCGAGACTTTTTCGAATTTATCAACAATGAGCTTTTGCCGACTCAACCACGCTTACATCACAATTATTATTAATTATTACATGTCAACTGGTTGTGCGCCATTAACTCCGATTTCAGCCTGCTTTTCTTTTTGGATTTGCTTCCATAGCCCTTGTCCAACCACCAAGAACAAACTACAAGGCAGCAGTTGTTTGATTTTGGAGTTGTCTCTCCTAGAAGAGTGGCTGTCCCCAGCTAACACTAACAATCCTCAGCTCATCATCATCTCTGCCCGAGGGTTCGAACTCGAGTCCCTACTAACTACTTACTACTACTAGATCTAGATCTAGTACTACTACTACTACAACTAATTTACTACATCGGACATCGATATTCGATAGATATTTTATTAGATAACCCTCCTAACCCTACTTTTAACTTTTAGTACTTACTAGAAATCTAGATACTACTTAAAAAGCATCAATATAGTCACACAATAATCAATATAGATCTAGCGTGCAGACAAGAAATGAAGTTAGATCTAAATAATAAAAAAGCTTGTAAAAAGACGATATTACATTATTAGGCTACCTAACTAAATCTAGATCTATTCTAGATAGAATTAAACTTTGAGTTTAGAAGAGCTAACTTTACTTATCGCGCATGCAAACGAACTAATTTCCGTTTTTAAGACTGTGAACTTGACGGCCAAAATGACCTACGAACCAGGCAAATATCCAAGGGAATACAATCCAAAAGTCCATGGTCCCTATCACCCAGGACGCTTTTATGGAAAACGTAAGTGTTTTTAAATATCAGCTGCTCAATAAATTATGCTCACATATTCATAACTTTAAGTAGATATAGAGTAATTAATTTTTAAAAAGTTCCTCATCCTGCTGCAGATTTTTATTATTTTTAATTTTATCTGGTCACTAGATCTAGATCTAGATCTCTCTAGATCTAGAAATCTAGTGATTAGCCTTGTAATAATACTTGTAATTACAATAACAATATTTTCAATATCATTCAGTAATAAGTAGTAGCCAGATCGAGAATAGTCTTGATCTGGCTAGAATCAATCATTTAGGTACTAGGATAAATTTTGAAAATTGGTTTAATAGGGAAACAACCACTACAGTTAAAAGGAGCAAAAAATTACAATAACAGAACAGTTTTCCTTTTTGATGTAGCTCAAACGGTTAAATAGTTATGATTTTTTTTCGTATTAAAAAAGGTGATTTTTTTAACATAGGTTTTTTCCCAATTTCTGTGATAGAGTTTTTTTAAGCGTTTACTAAAATTGTCCTAGCTTGTAAACCATATGGTCAAATTGGTTATAACTTTGCAATATCTTTATCTATCATATATGCAAGGATAATAAACAATAAAATTAGAAATTTATGGGCAGAGTTAACCAAAAACAGAAGTAGAACAGGGTACCCCCCCTATTTTTTCATATACAGTGCATTCATAAAATCTCAGTTAAAATTTTAACACTTTGAAAAATTAAGCTCAAACTTGCTGAGAATGATGAGCTATGGATGTGTCAGTTATTACAATCAAAATAATATTCATAACTGAAAAGATTTTTGTTTTAACTGCTACAAAGCTGATAAATTATACAATTTCGCAAAACCGAAGTCTTGTTGATGTGAAATGCAACATGATGGCAAATTTGAGTTATTAAGCACTTAAGTCTCAAAATTTGCCTGGCTCTAGATGACTCTATTCTCAAACAGAAACAATCAAAATATGTATTTAAATCTATCTGTTTGGCAAAAAATAAGGGGTGGAACAGGGTACACCCCCTATTTTTAAATATGAAATTTGTTCATACACTATTTGTTTACGCTCAATCTATTTGAATCTAAAGCTAACAACTAACTAGAGTGAAGCTCTAAAATAAGTGTGTGTGATGGTTCTATCTAAATAGTTGACAAATTGGTAAAGGACGGTAAAAATGTAAAATGCTGATTCATCGACACACCTGACATCATTGAAAAACTGAGCGCATATATTTAAATTTAAAAAAAAAAGGCAAATTATATCTATTAGAAATGTAAGGTGTTTTATTCGTATAAATGTAATAAACTTGTTGGTATACTTATATATATAGTTTAATTTAAAAAGATGTGTTTCTGCTTATTCGTTAATATATTACATTTCAGGAGAAGTTCAACATTGGTTGGTTTTTAAAGGAAATAGTTCATATCACAAATTAATTAGTTTGCCTAAATAAAAGATAAACACATTATTTATTTTAATAGTTTTAATTTCTCGTTTACATAGTGTTCCATCATTAGACCATATAACTGACATTAGGCCATATAACTGCTTATCATATTGTAGAGATGTGCTGGTTTTAGAAGTGTAGGTTCTACCTGGAAAAGTAAACAGTACAAGTACATTATTTGCCTTCCCATCAAAATAAAAAGGTTTTCTGAATACACCAAATATTTAATGTGTATTGTTAATACCAGACCTTCCTTTCTCCCCCCCCCCCCCTTCACTACCGTCAATATCAAAACAACGCTCGCCACTATCGCCGGCGTCAAAACAACGATCGTCGGCGTCAAAACAACGTTCGCCACTATCACCGGCGTCAAAACAACGTTCGCCACTATCAAAACAACGCTCGCCACTATCGCCGGCATCAAAACAACGTTCGCCACTATCAAAACAACGCTCGTCGGCGTCAAAACAACGCTCGCCACTATCGCCGGCATCAAAACAACGCTCGCCACTATCAAAACAACGCTCGTCGGCGTCAAAACAACGTTCGCCACTATCGCCGGCGTCAAAACAACGATCGCCGGCATCAAAACAACGCTCGCCACTATCGCCGGCATCAAAACAACGCTCGCCACTATCAAAACAACGCTCGCCGGCATCAAAACAACGCTAGCCACTATCGCCGGCGTCAAAACTACGTTCGTCGGCGTCAAAACAACGCTAGCCACTATCGCCGGCGTCAAAACAAAGCTCGACATAATCGCCAGCATCAACACAGCGCTCGCCAATATCGCCTGCGTAAAACAGCGTTTCCCACTATCGCCAGAGTCAAAACAACGATCGCTATTGTCAAAACATCGCCCGCCACCAACGCCCGAGTCAAAAATGCCTTCGGTACTATCACCAGTGTCAAAACAGCGTTCGCCATTATCGCCCGAGTCAAAACAGCGTTTGTCACTATTGCCCGAATCAAAACAGCGTTCGCCACTATCGCCGGAATCAAAACAGCGTTCGCCACTATCGCCCGAGTCAAAACAACGATCGCCACAATCGTAATTACAGTAATACAAGCATATCAGCTAGACTAAGTCACACAAGTGTTAGTAGCGAGACCCGACAACTTCCGGTTCACTTTCACTTCCAGTCTGTAAACAGTTAAAGTCCCGAACAGTACACCAAACTGTGAAGCGTTTTGCAGCTAAGAGACACATCCAATCATTACGATTTTTTACAGTAATAGAGAAAAATGGATAATAATGGAGATTATGCAATAAAATTTCAAGTAGAGCCCATAGAGAAGTTTAGGGAATAAGTCAAACTTACCTTATTTTCAATGAAACACTCCATAAAAAATAGTCCATGAAAATATTTTAAAAAAATATATAATACGCTAAGTCCATTTTTCTTCAAAATAATACTCCTCGCAATAAAATTGACTAGGCAAAAACGGAGAATAATAAAAATTACGAAACACTCGCACTCGCGCGTCCGCCAACTCTCGATATTTGGGTAACGGGAGGAAAATCTAGCGGCGCATCGTAAAACGGGAGCCAAATCCTAGTACCTACAATCATTATTTATTAGCGATACTCACTAATTTTAAATTGTTATTTTTCGATTTAAACATTACCAATGAAAACTAGATCTAGATATCAATCTCTAATCAATCAAATACTTAATTTGTTGATAATAAACTCATTTGGAGCTTAATTACTGATTTTTATTAATTGGCCACTCCAAGCATTGCAAGCCAAAGAATCCGTGACAAACCAAATCACCATATGCTTTTCTGAAGAGACGAACTCTGCAGGGTTGACCTTGCAGCTGATTTGATTTTAGCAGAATATGCACAGTACATTTGATTTTATTACCACATTTCTATTCGTATGGACACTGTCTTCGTCAGAATGAAAATCACAAGATGGAATTAGATCTAGCCTTAGTTCTAGAATTTTAAAATATTTGATTTAATTTTTTTTAAATGGAAGGTTGTTTAAAAATGAAAACTAAACCCAAATTAATGAAAAACATGTTTAAGAATATATAGTATAGATCTAATCTTTTTAAAGATATTCAATCCCGTGCATGTTTTATTAACTATTTAACTAGTGTGTTTTAGCATTGCTTAATTTATTAGGGCAATTCATAAAATATAGCTATATCAATGTAAAATGAATCCCTCCTCTCTCACTTGACTTGGGACAGGTGTGTTATTTACAAAATTTTGTCGTTGTTCAGTTTAAAATGTTAAGATTTGTAAGTATTTGATTTATTTTAAAAAAAACTGCAATAGCAATAAAATTGATCAAGTTAGCGAGAAATGCATTCTTACCAGCGTCACGGGCAGTGCGTGTGGCAGACATCTCGCTCGTGTAGTTTTTGTCAACCAGAAAAGTTAACCTATCAAATACAATTAATTAGGCCTAAAAAATACAAAGAGGCCAATCGCATTAAAATTATTCGCCTGTGAGCGAAGATATATGCAAATTACAAACATCGCCAGCCCGCCTGCGTTCTTTTGTCAACCAGCGAGAGAAAACTCACAGCACAGTGTGAGCATGCGCTAAATCAAGTCCAAGTCCTTTGTTATCCCAAGTTATAATTAGTATTGTAGGTCTAGACTCTAGATTAATATAAAGTTCACATTAAATGTATTTAATTAAGATGTGTGTCTATTTGATTTTTCAAATGTTAGCGCATACTAATTTATTACCCGAGAGCGAGAATTAGGCCTATGCCTATGCATTCCAAACATCGACACAGACCAAGTGTGATACACGACTCGCTCGCTCGCGCTGGTTTGTCAGCGAGAGAGGCACACACATGTCCTAGTCCATGCGTACTTGGTTTACTAAGTAATAATTAGTAATGTAAACTTAGACCCAACTGTGGTGATGTAATGTGTATGAAAGGTGAATACGTGGAACGGATCACTGAGTGTGTATATGTATCATGTAGTGAGATGCGAGGCCGGGTGTGTTGACGTGTATGTTGTTGTACGGAGTGAACGAGGGTACAAGGGAAGCGACTGGTCGGGTGACAGTGGCTGTGTTGTGAGCGAGAGAAAGGTGGTGTGTAGGGATGAATGCGGAGGGCAGTTGAAGGTTGAGTGTCAAAGCAAGGAGGTTGATGTTGGGACTGGAGGACAGGAGATAGAGAAATAAAGAATACTGTAATAGCCTCAATCGTGGTGTGCATTCTTTGAGATTCAGACACCCTCACACCAACGCTAAAATTATTTAATTTATCAGGCCTCTAAAATCGTAATAATATTAACATTATTAAGCCTAATAAATGTATCAACGAAGACCAGTGAAAATAATATTATAATTAAATTAGCCTAATTAAAATGTATGAAATCAATAAGAATTAAGACAAATTAAGCTATAACAAATTTGAAAACAAATAATTAGACCTAAATAAGCACACAAAGACCAACGCTCACTACTAGATCTAATTCCAGGGATCAACAAAAAAAAAAAACAGATCATCGTGGTTTAAGGGCTTTTAGTATAATCCAAAAGCCAGGTGAAATATCCATAATTAGGCTTAATTAGTCTAATTACGCTAGCAAAATAAGCTGAAAAAGAGTTTCAAGTGAATAGAAAACACAATTTAATTATATAAGCAGCGAGGATACTACTGTACAGCTTCCGTAACAATAGCGATGACGTCACAATAAAAAACCACGTGCTTTCAGTGACCTTTTTAGGAGGCCGATTTCTTAAAATCGGCACATAATAATTGCATTTTTTTTTCACTAAACGATCAATCTAATAATACCCTACCTTACAGTGCCATTTAGACACCTAATAGTCCTTTATTTAAAGTTTTTAAACAACTCAAACTATACCCATGTTTACGTTTGACCTCCATGGTCGGAAGAAAATTTTTAAAAAAAAATTCTGCCAAAAATAGGTTTGTCATCTTCAGATAGCTTAAAATACGCCAAAAAAACGCCATTTTTCGCGTGTTAATTATTTTTAAACTTAATGTTAAGGTGGTCTCTCGTACATAGCAGAAAAAATTGCCCAATCGTAGGCTAAGGTGAGGTAGCCATGTTCTGCTTAGCAACCAAGGACCCTTTCAAGTTAGTGAGTCTCGCTATTATTTATAATTTAATATTATTTAGATTTACCTAGACTTGCCCGTGTCTGAACTCATCATTGCTGTGTTAGTGTACCAAGTACTTGAGTACACCAGCTGTTTTCCCCCATAGAGAACTTTTTTATTTATTTAAGTAACTTAGGCCTAAGTTTGATGTATTTTTATTTTTGCGTGTTTGGCATGTCATGTCATATGTGATTTATGAACGCTTCATTGTCAAGTCCTTTAGACTTTGTTTGCAGGAAATTGAATAATTTTTAAAAATTGCATCGTACGCAGTTTCTCCTTTTACTTTAACTCTAAGTAAAATGTAGGCCTAATGCATTTTTAAAAAGTGCTATTATTAAAATTAATTGTAATAGGTTCCACACTGATGAATCTGCCATGTTGCGCTATTAATATTTTTTTAAACATAACTATACACATGAAATAAGAATAAAATCATCTTCAATTAAAAAACACTTAAACTAGTTATGCCTATAAGTATAAATAGATGGTAATATAGATCACAGTTTAACTATTCTCATTGGTTATATCTTCTTTCATTAGCAGAAATAATTACTTTACCCTTTAGGGCCTATTGATTGTCAACCAAAACATGGAGAAAGTTCACTTTTGATTGGTTGGCAGCTGACACTGAATTATCCATGCTAAGGATATCAAAATATGATAGTCCTATGACCTACACAAGCTGTTTTTCTTTTTAATCTTTTTTGTGTGTGGGTGTGATCATTTTTTTGCATTGGTGTTTTTTAATATTTAGAAATCTTCTTCTAGATTCTATAGATCAACTAGGACTATAGATGAACTGAACTCAAATAATATATGACAAATCTATTTCTATGTCTAAGGCATCAAACATTCACCTCCAATGGACTTGAAATTTTAAAATGGAATTTTTTTCATAGATTCAAGTAATCATAAAATTCTGAACTAATGTTAAAATTCTACTAGTGTCAGAAACATGTTTAATTAAAACTGATATCTTACTTCCATCTGTGTATGTATCTGAAATATCTTTACCAGATATGCTTCTACACAGAAATAAAAGTATAATACATTGTGCAATAAGAATAAGACTTGACCACACATTGAAAGAATTTCATGTGCATGAAGTAGAAAAGGGTTAATTGTTTGGTTTGTATTGTTATTGTTTGTAATTTGTTTATTTCTTAAAAATACATCCTTCACTTATTACTGGATACATGCTAAAAAAAAATATCCTTTTTAATTTATTTTAGCTGACACTCCATTGGCAGAAGTCAAGCTTGGTGAATTAGGAAGTTGGCTGTCTAGAAGGAACAAGAGCCCAAATGCAATCTGGGGGGCTATACATCGAGGTGTTTAAATATTATAATATTTTGTGTAAAGTTCAGGCCAAACTTAGATAACACAAGAGTATTCTTTCATGTTTTTTTTTTAAGTAAACTGTTAAGTATTAGTAATAAAACAAAGTGCCAAAGTTCTATGAAGTCCAAAAACCAAATAATTTACCTTCAGTTTGTCAAGTGATAATCAAATCATATCACATTGTCCACAGGTTATTGGCAATGGGCAAGTAAATACTACCATGTTAGACTGCCAGGATTTGTTCCTTATGCCCAGGTTATAATGGGCTTATCTGCATACTACTTTTTTTATTTGTATGCTGACAGAAGTAGGTCTTTTTATTATTTTATAATTATTTTTATTATTGTCAACTCTGTAATCCTCAATAGTTCCATCATTGCTGTGTCACTGTGATACAAATCTAAAGATAACTAAAGCTCAGAAAAAATACAACTGGTGCATCATTAGGCATAGCTTACTGTGGTTTAAAATATTAATCTTTTTTTTTTTGCTTTGATCAGCATTTTCAAAATTCTCTTTAGCCTACATTGCTTTATTTTATATCCCACAGAATACCACAGACATGCCAGGTACCATTAATAATGGAAGCAACTGATAGAAGTTGCTTAAAACAACACTGTCCTACAACTAGTGAATCATATGCTGTAAAGACTTAGCCAGCACCTTTTTTTTTGTGATTGTTATAATTGAAGATTAAAAGTCAAATAGGTTTATTTTATCCAAGGTTTGTCTTTATTGATGAAAGGTTGTTGTTAATTTGAACTCCAGAGTTGGGGAGTATTTCTAGAAATAATTCTTTGTAAGAAATTTTCTAGAGAGCTGTTGTGAAAGTTGACGGATTAACATGCATGTTGCAGAACAATGTGTGTGGAAAGGCTAGCTGGGCTGATGAATTTACTGTTTAATTTACTTGAAACATTGTTTTCAAGCACATGCCTACCATTGCCTAATGTAATCAGTAACATTGAAGAAGCTGCACCCATACTCAATGCTAATAAGTTAATGCTCAGTGCACAGAACTTTCCTAAAAATGTTATACAAATATGTACATGATTGTAAAATTGTGGATGTTATTGTTACATACTGCTGCATAACAAATAGTTGCTTGCACATTAAGTAACTACAGTTTTAAATTTTAAAATTCTAGTTTACTATGACAAACTACAGCTTGTCCCATTTTATTAGTGACTAGTCCAGGCTAATTTAAACAAGGCAGCACAAGTCTACATTATTATAAATATTTTAATAAATCTCTGTATTAGTCATGTTAAGGCAAAGATTCAAATATGTTACTTTAAAACATGTATTCGTTATACATACATCCAAATAAACCATTATTTTTAATACTAATATTTCAAGGTTTTATTGAGGAGGCTGCAGTGATCGACCTAAACAGTTATTTTAACAAAACAATAGTCATTAAATTGAAAGAACAATATGCTGATTTAATAAATGAGTAATTAGTGGTATTTTTGTATAACAGGTTTTTAAATTCAAGAAAACTGGGCACTGATAATTTGCATTCTTGCACCCTAAAAATACAACCAAATTTAGATTGTAATCATTATAATACTAACTAAAATAATTCTAAATAATTTTATTAGTACAAAACATTTTGGCACAAATACTGTGGAAAATAAACCATATTTGCTTATAATATATAACTTGGTTGAGAATAAGAAATATAGTACTAAGTGTATTAGATTTAGTTAACATGTTCTTTTTTTTTCTCTATTTTAAATTAATGCCCGAAATTATTTTCTGAAATGCTGACATTTACATTATCTGTAAAGTCTTAATTTATAACAAAAATTAAATATACAGGAGAATTCTATATTAAATTCCTCGAAATTTAGCACAGTGGTAATCCTTTAATTAGATAACAACAAATAGCAATTACTAGTGGTACAATTTTTAATATTCACCACTAAAATTTTGACCACAGAAGAAAATGCTTCACTTGTGTGTTAAAAAATTAATAAAACTGTTTTGTGTGAATTTTCTACATGTTGGACAAAATTTAGGTTTTTAATACTTTCCAAAACTAAACATTTAAAATCACCAAATGAATTTGTTTTTCCTCATTGTTGTACATGGTAAATGTAAAAAAAATATGGCTTAATTATGTCTTGCGGAGATTCAAAGTATTAATTATAGAAAAGCATGATGTGTCAGTGAACTAATGTAACTCAGAGAAATGGAATTTACGTAACAGTTTCTATATAGCCAAGCAAGGACTGTTATATTTAAAAAAAACTTATAATGTCAAGTTGGTAAATCAAAACAAATGCAGCATTAAAGCCAAAAAATTCTTTCGTCTCTGTATTGGCCAAATTTATCGTGTTAATTCTTAAAAGTTACAAGTTCTGAATTTTTATTTTTGCTTTAGTTATTTTTATTTTTTCTTTCTCATCAGCCACTCAGAAGATAAAAATTACAAAAAAAAATCATGTTTTTAGTTCATCATCATGTCCTCAATAGTGAGCTGGTCCCTCTCAACAAACTGCCAATGCCATTAAAACGTACTGCTAGTTTCCACTGTACATGAGTGTATATGCATATAAATAGATTATTTTTAAATACCATAACAAAATAACATTACAACCCTCTCATTATGTATGAGTAGAAAAAAAACCAACCTCAAGATATTTAATTTCTGGGGTGACACAAAAATAATGTGCCATGCAATTGCAAATGAAAGCAGGAATTTTTAAAATGGAATACTTGCAGTAAAGTACATTATGAAACAAAATGAACAGTGGATTCATATAACAAATATCAGTTACCTGTGCTCAAAGATCTAAACTATGTTTCAAGGCTCAATACTCATCTTGTTAGACTACATTTTAATATTTATAGGTAGTTTATACTCCATTGATATAAAATAAACATTGAAGTTATCACAAACTTGAAAACAGCCAGGTCAACGACAGGCACTTTAGAAATGTACAGAAACATTGCATTGAGCAAGTGAAGAGTTATGTCATGTAAAAAATGTAAGCACCAATTAATCAAAATAGTGATATTCAAAAGATTTTAAACCTTGCTGATACTGTTTCCTACTTTTACATTGCTGTCTGCTGACTCAACATTAATCAGATCATTTTTTATAGCTTGCCTAATATCAGCCTCATTGTTTTGAAGTACCATGTTAGGAGTTGGTGGTGCATTTACAGCATTTCTCTTCAGCCTAAGTGAATCATCTTCAGGTATGTCTGCCTGTTTAGCAATGTCCTGTTGCTGAACTTCTGGCGCTGGCTGGTTTAATTTTCCATCCATATCCGGAGCACTGGTCCTTACTTCATTAGCAGGATGAAGATCTGTATCTTTAATCACTTGGGGCCCAGTATGGCTGATGTCAGGTATCTGTTGAGCTTCTAGCATGTTTTGCTTTGGCACACCTGGTTCTATTTTTTGTGCCACTGAGACATGATTCTGTTGTTGATTTTCTAAAGGCTGTTGAACAGGCAACTGTTGATTATTACTTTGGTTGTCTTGTAATAACCTTGGCTGAATTATTTCTTGAGGTTGGTCTACATTTAAAACTGGTTTCTGATTAAGTTGGGGCTGATGGTCCTGTATTGGTGGCTGATTATTTTGTTGACCAGCATTTTGATGACCTTGTGAATTTAGCTGTAATGGTAAAAAGTTTGTTTAGAAAATGGTAGTCTAACCTCAGTTTTAGTGTGGTGAAATCACAATACTGAATATAAATAAATGAGGAAAAATAACAAATAATTCATATTCAAAAGTTAAAAAAACCATGATCCCATTCTTTTTATATTTGTATATAATACAAGTGCTAAAAAAATTGAAGACTTGAAATATATCAAAAGTGTAAAGAAGACTTCACAACTGTGTTGATTAAATTTTAATAGATCAATACTTTTTTGACCTACCATATCTTGTACATGATGTTCTTTAAACTGCTTAAGGAGCTCTTTCTGCTCCTCAATAAGTTTCTCCTGTTCCTGCCTTTGTAGCTCCAACTTGGCCAGTAAATCTTCTTGTTTTCTCTCTTTCTCAAGCTCCTAAAAATATAATAGATTTTCAATTGCATCCTATTCCAAACAAAACAGGATAAATTGGGGAATAATGTCTATGTGAAAAAGAGTTAAAGCATGAAAAAATAATATCCAGAATCACATTATTAATTTTTTACCTGTCTTGCTAAAACATATATTAAATTAAAAAAAGAAAACGGTGAGAAAATTAATTAACTTTTTAAAAACAGGATGAAGATATGTCTAAAATATATTATTACCTTGGCTTTGCTATCACTGCCCTTGTCTTCTAAATTTTGTATCTTTTCTTCAAGGGGTGCTTTTATTTCATTCTCTAAAATATTTTTATCAACTTCAGCTGCTTTCTTTACATCTTTATTCTGCAACAATAAACAATAATAATAAAAAGTAAAAATATTTTGTGATAGAGAGTAAGGAAATATGCATAATTACTAAAAAATAATGTGTTTACATCAAACCGTCTATGATTTGGGGAAGCACACAAGTTGATAACATCAAATAAGTGATGTTTCATAGTATTTAACATACAAAAAAAAAACTCAGCAGGTTTGGTACAATAGGCTAAGTTAGGAAATTTGTAAGTGGATATGCAACCAAGCAACTGCACAAAACTAAAACATATTTTTTAGATTTAACTCTGGTTTAATTTCATTTTTAATTTTAAAGAGAGGAAAACAGTGACTTGTTACCACAGGTTCCTTATCAGGTGGATCTGGATTTGGTGGCTCTTGTCGTTTATCGATATGAGCAGGTTCAATGATTTTTGTTGTCATGACAACTAGGGAAAAAATCAAGTATTTAAAAATAGGAAAGATAAAAATTGTAATAAAATTCGTATAAATTTAGAATTCCCATTTGATAAACTTACCTTCAGAATCCACCGGCTTTATTTCCACATCCGCTGGCTTTACTTCCAAGTCAACTGGTTTTACAGCCACGTCAACTGGTTTTACAGGCAAGTCAAGTGGCTTCACTTCCATCACATCTGGAGGCTTGAGTGGCTCCACCACATGACCCCCAGCTTTATGTGAACTTAAGGTAGCAACAGTGCTCACAAGCAATATTGTCACTCCAAACACCAAGACCAACTAAATAATTATTAGAAAATTAAATAATTGGTATATATTACCTCAAAGCGAATTGCAATCTATTTTATCTTAATTAATTATCTTGATTAATTAATTTTATGCCTAATTAAAAACTGAAGCCATGTCATGTTTTAATGGTTACTTTAATTCACATAAAAACAATAACTGTGTTTTATGCTGAAACAATAGTACAACAGAGTACCTGAGCTTTACTTCTTTCTTCTGGTTTGCTGCCCAAAACTTTGAGAAAAAACATGGCTGGGAAGATATAGCAGATCAGAGTTCCCATAACAGCTCCATTTATTCCAAGTATGAATTCAACTGTAAAGTATTTAGAGTGAGATAAAAATAATTTTACTTTAACTTTTTTAAAAAGCTGGGTGGTAAAGCCACAACAGCAACATTACGACACAATATACAAGTTAATATTAAAGACATCAGAGTCATGAAACTAAGTGACAATTATGTCAATGGAATTTGTGTTGCTACTCATTCATGTTGTATAAAGTAATCTATTGTGTAGGGTACTAAAGAGGTCAATCATTCATTTAATTAGGTTTAGCTTTACATTAAAATGTATTCTACAGCAATAAATACAGTATGTTTTTAGTTGTTGTTTTGTGTGTAAATTTCAAATGAAGTCAGTAAGTTCTTTTTAGTCATAAATACTATTACAATCTATTGGACTATAACAGATGAAATTCTCAAAATATCTTTAAAAAAAACAGAAGTACTTGGTACATCTTTTAATTTTTAAATTATTTCAAATTACAATATAGTAAGTAGAAAAGTAGAAAAATATGGTGTCTTTTTACCATTGGGTATTAATATAGCCACTGCCATAGACACAACCACAAGACAAACTGTTATGATTTTAAATAGATTCTCTGGCATCATGGATGTGGAACTCATAACATCATCATGGTGTTTGGATTTCTGTTCATTGATAAAAGCCATTTTAATGAGAAAACACAAGCTAAATAACAATCAAAACCAGTCCCTACTGCCTGCTATATCATTTAAACTCTCATACATTTTCAAAGGCCTTTGGTAAATAGAATTGTTTAGAATATGTACATAATTATAATTTAGAGGGATAAAACAATAGAATAATAGAATATTCCGGGGGGGGGGGGGGGGGGAAATGTTGATAAAGGACCTTATTTTTCTAGACGATGGTTGTTAATATTAATTAGATTTCATAATAAAGATATATGAACAAAAACAGAACAGTGTGTGTTTTTAAAATATCAGATGTTAGCTTGAAGTTGAAAGACTTCCAAGTTTTAAAAAACCTTAAGCTTAAAATTAATTTTTAAAAATTACTCATACTGTTGCTTAAAGTGGGTTTTTTTATTTTAAAAATGTAAATAGATTTAAGTTAAATAGATTTTAAGTTAAAGCATTAATAGCAAAGTTTAAGATCAATTTTGCAAAAAAAAAAAAAAAAAAGAATCATTGAAGTAAGCTAGCACTTGATGAACATAAAACCGAGTACAATGACTATTTGATGTGAAATTTAGCATATATCGCTTCCCTAGAACCAGACAGTTCCAGCTTCATTTTTCATTCTTTTTTAGATTTATACACCAATATGTTTTCTAAATCCACTAAGGTAACAAGGTTAAAATAGTGGCCATATATCTCGCTATTATTATACATTTCACATTTTAAAATGTTATGGAAAACAAAAAAGGAGTTAGATCAGTCAGGTTCTAGGGAAGCCATGTATAAGCATCATCTAATTGAAGCTCTACTAAATTTTCTTTTACCCATTAGTATGGCAGGTTTCTGATAATACTTTATTAAGACAGAGCAAGTCTTGAAAGCAAGAATGTATAATTTGAATTAGTAGAGTAAAAAAAAGCCATGTAATAAATGTGTAGAATTAGTAAACATACAACAGTTCATGTTAAAAATCATTTTGAAATAAATTGTTTTTAAAAATGAAGGGGTATTTTCAACTTAATCCAGTCGATGATAATAGGTCTGTCTATTAAAGTGTAATATTCTACAAGTGAAAATCAAACTAAATCAACAGACTATTAAATAGTTGAACACTACTTCTGTATAACTCAAAAGTCACAGTCATATTTAAGATTTAGAGCTGTATTTCAATTTGCACTTTCAATTTTTATAATGATCACAATTTAGATTTAATGATAGGTGCTGCAGAAAACATAAATGACTCTTAAAACAGTAAAATACAATGTAATACGAATTCCTCTTAATTATATGTATTTATTTTACAGTTTTTTTTAAGTATTGCATAGTACACCAACTGAATACAATTTAAACATTTAATTTAAGAAACTTCCAAAAGGAAAATAGGTTGCATATTTTTAAAGTAAAATAAAAAGTGTTTTTAACATAAAAAAAAATCAAGCACACATCAACTAAAACAAAAATTTTACATCATGGCTGAACTGATCACAACTTTCATTTTGATTTGTCTAGTTAAAGAAGTTGGAAAAAAAGCAATTAGTTAAAATCTCCACAAAATTACCATTTTTAAATTCCATTTAAAAAAAATAAAAGTTCAAAAGTAATTATAACCAATAAAAAATTCAAATACTTAAAATTTTGTTTAGAAACTCATGAAAGAAGCATATAATTTTTTTTTCAAATAATAAGCGCTGGACACTGAAATGAGCAAGATATTTCTTGAGCAACAAATACTTTTACTAAAGGAAAAATGTCTATTTTATTTTGGGTGGATTTAAAAGCTTATTATTAAAAAAGATTTTATATTTTAAAAATGTTTCTACTTTTTAGTTTAGGAATTTTAAAAGTTAAAATAATAAGTTGATTTTTAAGCTGGTGAATACTATCAGTACTTAAGTATTTGAATTCCATTCGTTCTTAATGAAGTCAACACCACATGACTAAAAATATTTGTTTCAGAATGCAATCTTAACTAACTGCGGTCAGTTATCAGGTGTGAAAACATCTGTGAACAACAGCTCAATAGGATCACCTAATTTAATATCTAATTGGATAAAAATTAAATATTCTTGAATTGTCATCGGAAAGGAATTTATCTGGAAATATGCATTAGAAGTGAATACAAATTGAGTTAAAGGATTTTCCAAAAACCTAAATAAAAGCTCATGAAAATGTTTTTTCTTGTAGTGTTATTTTTTATTTATTTTTTGTTGTTATGATATTTATTGCAATTTTATTTGTTTATGCTAGTATTCATATACTCCTCTAAGTAGTTTCCTTTTTATCTCATATATAAGCAAAAACATTCAAAGCAATTAATCCTGATTGATTTTTCTGCAAATACTAGATGGACACTAGTTAGTACCCTTTAAATTGGCTCTACTAATCTCTAGCTAACACCAGTATATAATCTATGTACATATTCAAATCTTTAACTTAACATTCCAAATAAAGAATTTGGGGCTGCTATTAAGATGGCCTTCATATCCAGCCTGCAAAAGGACTTGCATGTTCACATTATTGTTATTATTATAATATCATCAGTCAGAATAAAATACAACATACTGTGAAATTGACATAAGAGTGATTAGCATGTAATTGCAATCACATCATAAACATGATAAACATGATACAGTGTGTTTTCTATCACATTTGCTTAGCTAAATGAAGTGCAAGAGGTGCAATTCAGAGATGTAAAAGTAAATTTAGGAAAAAAAAAATACAGGATAGGTATCATCAAATTAAATGATGCAGATTTGTAGTAGGGTTTTTTGTAAGAAATGTACTGAAGTTTATTTTGCTTTGTAAGGTCATTTACTTAAGAAAAAAACAGCATAGTTTTAATACACTGATCAAAGCAATGATTTAAATGTAACTGTTCAATAATTTAAAGATTTTATCAGCACTAAAACAAATGTAGTTTAACAGCACTTTTACATTTATATTTAGCTTAAGCTAAGGTCAGTGCTGCTGAATAAAATAAGACAGATAGGTGACAGGTTTTTTTAGTAATAGATTCAACATCCAAATCTATAAGAACTGTTTTCATTTCAGTATAAAAGCTGTCTAAAATACACTCTTAGGCTGCTGTTCTAAAATGATATGAAAGCTCAAACCCTTGTGTTACTCACCCCAGTTGTTTCAGTATCCTACAAATGTTAAGGTGTAAAATATTAAGTACAGAACTTTGAGAGTTTCTATGTTTCTAGCGGTAGAGAGCTAGACTGCTAACCTGTAAGTCTTGAGTTCGAATTTGGGTTCAAGTCAGTAGACCGTCCCTGAGTCCACCCAGCTCTAATGGGTACCTAACTCTCACGTTAGGGAAAGTAAAGGCGGCTGGGCGTAGTCATATGCCGAGGTCACAGAAACAGGTGAACTCTACTTCACTTGCCCCATATACAGTCAGGTTTGGAAAGAGAACTTTACTACTACTATGTGACTTGCTAGGTATAAATTCTTTATATTTGAGTGTTTTCATATTTCTATGAGAAAGTGTCCACAAAAATCATGCGTGAATATATATGTGACTTAAGTAATTTAAATTTAATTTAGAAACAAGAAAAAAATAAGACCAGCCACCATAAGACAAATCACAGTTTAAATATTACATTCATCCTAAAAACTGCAAAACTGGAAGTATCATTAAGAAGTAGAATTTTAGTTACGCAAAAGAAAAGAATCCGAAATTTTTATTTCATTAATAAAGGTAATTTTAAAAAAAAAATTCAAATAGTAACATTTTTTATCTAAAATAACTACTTTACACTTTATAAAGCTTTATTAGAGACTAATTCTAGTACAAACTATTTTTAACTATTTAATATTACTTGATTTAAAAAAGGAATTTGTACTTAATATTTCTGTTTTATTATTTTTACTATTCACACTAATGCAGCACCTATCATAGATCTATATGAATTAAATTACTAGAGGTAAAAGAAAAGCCAAAGTGAGGGTCATTAAAATAATAGTATTTACCTTAGCAAATAATAAGGTGTAAATACTGGCACGGCATGGAAAGATGATGACAGGGAACGTTATAACAGTTGAACCCACAAATGCAAGCTTGGTAATGTCTGTGAAGAATGTTCTTGGGAAAATATTTATAATATCTCCAGGAATATCTTGAGAGTAAAATGTGATATAACCTAGAAATCCAACCTAGAGATGAAAAAGAAAAAAATTATAATATTTCAATGATTCTGATTGAACTTTTAATATTATCTAAAAACCACGGGCAAATAAACTAACACATTTTATTAGAGGAACTTACCAAAAGATATACAACAGCACATAAATTTACAGCACTAGTTGTTACTGAGGTTATGGTCTTTAGGGACGGCTCAGGCAGTGCATCATACAAAATAAATAGTTGACTGAAAACATACACATTTGATATTTATAAATCAATCCTTTAGTTGATATAATTTTTTAATCATCCAGATAATATTTAAATTGAAAACCATCATCAGATTAGAATATAACATGTATGAGGTTGACAGCAAAAAAATTATGCGGATGCATAAAAATTAAGTAATCCTTCAGTAAGAATCTATTGAAGAATGTTAGTAAACTGGTAACTATATCCTGTATTCCTGATAGTTATAAAAAAGAAACAATTAAACATACACAAGAAAAGCAGCAAACTTACGTTTGACAACCAAATGAGAAGGAAAAAATAGGAAGGCATCTAAATAAACCTTGTGTCCGCCAAAAATATACATGTGAGATCCAATCCCCTTTCCATAAACTGGGCATTGATAAACACAACACCTGAAATTTATTTTTTTATTTTATTTTTATCTGAGTATATTTTATACAAGTTAAAAGTCCATTTCAAGAAATATTATGTATTAAATTTATGGTGGCAGCAGTAGCCATAGGTTTATAATAAACCCTGGTCATATAGAAGTTTCTATAAAAGATTCTACTGCTTGAGGTGCTGTGTAACAACTTCTAGGTATTTAACAAATGGGTGACTGTTAAATTCAAAATACTTTGGTAATTAAAAGGAATCTAGCGTAACAGTCTACCTCATTCATTTTTACATACATATGTATATGTCTACAAACTTGCATTGGTTACACCGTTACAAACACATTTCCAGTGAGTTTAATCAACTTTTTTAAAAAAACACATCTAATCACCGTTACAAACACATTTCCAGTGAGTTTAATCAACTTTTTTAAAAAAAACACATCTAATTAATTTGGTCTAGAGATGACAATCAGGACAATAATATACACTGAAATAATTTAAAAAGTTAAAGATACTTACATAAACAACATAAACAGAATAGCATAGAATGCATACAGTGCTGGCTCTACTCACAGCCCTTAAATCTTTCAGTAGACCCATGGGTAGGCCAATAGTTAGGCAAAGTAAAATTATTAAGCCTGTTCGCAAACCTGAAACATTCTGCAAGAATTTCAAAAAGATAGAGAACATTTAGTAACAAAAAATGAACAGACAATTTAATTTTTGTAGAACTGTTTTAACAAAAAAAATTGTTTGCCAGAAACTGCAAAACTGGAAGTATCATAAAGAATTAGAATTTTAGTAATGCAAAAGAAAAGGATCTGAGATTTTTAGTTCATTAATAAAGGTAATTTTAAAAATTTCAGTCTATATAATCTTAAACTTCAGTCAAAGATCTAAGCTTACTACCAGTCACACATTAAGTTTAAATCTTTATATTCACTTTAAAAACAACAATTACAAAAATATGTACATGAGTTAATTTAATTTTTATAGTAGCTATTTCATCATCATATCCCATTCCTGCCCAAGACACATAGGGAAGATGAGTTCATCTGCTTCAGAGACCTTGGCTTATGAAGGGATAGTGTGGTCAGCACTATGCATAGCCACCTGTTTCCCTAATGTTTCAGAGCTGGATGGACTCAGGGACGTTCCGCTGATTTGAACTCGGATACAAACTCAAGACTCTCGAGTTAGCAGTCTAGCTCTCTACCGCCAGGCCGCGTCATCCCATAATAGCTACTTCACTGGGTTTATTAACATTTCTGTCATAAAAACTTTTAATTTTTATCTATTAACAAAGTTAACAAGTTGTTTAATAAACTTCAGCATGCAAACCTGCAATCCAAAAAATGTAGCTACAATGCTTGGTCCAAGGTCTCCTATTACAACCATTTGTGCAATCAATGTTCCAAATTGCATCCCAATCATGCTGAAACAAATTTATGATTAAAGTAGATTTGAGTTTTACTAGTTGTCATCAAAATTAAACATCAGACCTATTAGATTATAGTTCTTTGTTTAACTGGTTTTATTAACTGGTATTCAGATTATATCAATAGTAAACATGAACCTATAATATCACTTACCCAACTTCTGTAATAAACTTTCCAGGGGCACCATGGGTATGATAAGCTAAAAGAAAAGAAAATAAACTCTTTTACAAATGTCTATAAAAATGTATTTTTTTTAAAAAGATAGTTTAGTGACGACCACTGAAGTTTAAGTACTTTGGAATGGTAAAGTCCCTTTTTCAGCTCAACAAAACAGTCTCTTGTTTTTTAATTAACCAAAGCAAACATCAGAAATACCTAAAAACTCATATGATCTTCGTCTTGAAGAGACACCTGCTTTTAAAAGCATCCTGCATGAGACTAAAGTCAGCCAAGTACAAAAAAGTAGCACAAGCATGCCAAGTAAGATGCCACACTGAAAAAAGAAAGTTCATGTAAGCAAAGTACTGAGGTTTCTTTCTAAACTTATTGTAATTAAACAACAATGTGTTTTAATATCTTTTACTCCTGATTTTAAAGGTGGTAGAAAAACTGCTTTAAATGCCACAAATTTCTGCTCTTGAAATGATTCAATATAATTTAAAATTGCATATTCCATGTTAAAGATTTCTTACACATCTTTCTTTTCTTTTCATTTTATATTCTGCTAAAAATGATCTGAAACACTGATTCTGCTCAAAAGTCTGAAGAGATTGAATTATAAATGCATCAACCTTCATTTTTAATTATGGAAAAAAATATTTTAATTGTTATGTTTCTAATCTACGAAGTTTTTTTTTATTTGCTCAAATAGATCCATGCTCTATAGTCTAATATATATAGTTACTTGTTGGAAACAAAATGGCATTGCCAGGACAGCCACTCCAATGATGCTGTTTCCTAGATTCATGATGTACGGCCAATTATTATGCCCACCCATGTTTGGGTAGGGTAACTCAAGGGTCACCTCAGACTCAATTGTAGCTGTGATTTCACTTCATACCAACAGGCCTTAAATTATCTGCAATAAAAACAAATGAGATCTTAATCTTTGTTTCACATGAGCTGCACATGTGGCATTATGATTAAACTGTTTGTAGTATTTACATTGACACATAGACTATCCCAAAAATATTTTAATGCAAAATATTTTTTATAATTTTTTATCAAAATGCTACTCACCTACTCACAGAATAAATAAAATCACCTACGAATCAGAATAAATAAAATAATTAAATAGGGCTTGTAAAAACTGAATTGTCTTTATTTCTTTATTTTTATTCCTTTTTCAATCAAATAAAAAATCATCTCAACAAATCAATTTAATTTTAGTATTTTAGTAGATGTAGGCAAGTTTTTTATTAATTTTTATTAATTTATATTTTTATTTTATTTTCGTAACAGTCGTCACAGTTGATCGGATAATAACTTTAAATTTGGCGCCCCCCCCCCCCCCCCCAAATATTTTTTATATTTATAATTCAAAATAGCAGCTAAAATGAGCTGCTTTTGGGCCCCTAGGGTCGGTGCCCGGGAACTTAAGTGTACCCCCCCCCCCCCCCCGCTTCTGATTAGCTGATGCTTTTAATGTCATCAGTTGCAACCATTGACCAAGCTTTTATAGTTGTTATATTGTTAATGTTAACTTAACAGCCATCTTTTTAAAGTTATTGTTTTTGGTAAATTAAAGTTAGAATTTTAGGGGAACCACTCTAATTTACAGATTGCAGGAAATCTAGCTCTTAACAACTGCCGGTTAATTTCTGACCAAGATCTATAGGGACAACTTGAAATATCATCTGCCGAAATAATACCAAAGAAAGAAATACTAATATTTAGTTATTACTTAGCCTAATCCGAAATTTTGTGATGGTGTGTAATGAGGGGGAGGGGAGGGAGGGGGGGGGGGGTCAGATGGTGTGACATTACACTTTTGCATTTTAAAACAGCAATGTTAGAAAATGAGTTTTAGCAGTTATTTCGCGTTTTAGAAAACGGTTTTAATAAATTGTAATAGGGATTGATCAAATACTCTTTGTTGACAGAGTTCTGACAAGATTTTGGAAAAATATCGCTGTTTTAAGAAAAATTCTACAGCAATTTTGAGGGGGTTGTAGGCTGAAGTGTGACGTTATTTTAGAGGGGGTGTCTGGCTTTTTGTGACGATGTGCGATGGAGGGGAGGGGGGTAAAAATTGTCAAAAAAAGTGTGTTAGCTTAATAATAATAATAAATAATAGCCTAAATATTAGTAGATTCAGTAATCTATCGTTATAGTAATGTGAAAAAAAGATGACTCATTAAATTTTAGTAGAAGTATTTCACATTTTTAGTCTGATTTATGTTTTGAAAATTACAAGAAATGTTTCAAAGGGTTGATTCTAAATATCATCCGATAATAAATACTAGCGATGTATTCATCAGACGCAACCAAGCTCATTTACTTAAGCAGCCATCTTAAGTTTTTTTAATAAAATTATAGTTAGAGATTCAGGGGAAACCACTCTAACTTACAGATGGTCGTATATTAAGTATAGCAAATACTGCTGTTTAAAGTTAGTTTCTGACTAATATTGATAAATTTAGCCATTGATTTTGGTTTATTATTCAGTTATCTCACAACCACAATGAAATTCAATGAATTGAAATTTTAAATTGAATGAGGCAACTTTTTCGCACATTACTCACACTTTTAGTACTAGATCTACGTAGATTATTACTAGACTAGATCTAGAATCTCAGTCAACACCATGCGGTTACAGTTGTAATCTTTAAGTAGTTATTACTTTATTACCTATTAATTATTACAATTAAAATTGTTAAACTAAATAAGCCGAAAGAGTTTATTATTATTTCATTGTTTGTTTTGTTGGCATTCATTGACACAAATATGGTGATACTAATCAACGAAAACTTGTGTGAAGATTGATCTTGTTGACATCTAAAAAATAACTGACAACTCAAAATCTACCTTATAAAATATAAATAAAACAAAAGTATTATGCGTCAAACAATATAACTGTAGAATCTAGATCTATATCATATGCTATACAACAGGAAACTGTAAAAAAAATATGCCTGCCGGCCTACTTTAGATCGGTAGAGAATCAACAGAGTAAGTTTCCATCCTCTTGAGATTTTGCGTAGTTTTGAAACCAGTTAGTGTGACCACTCAAAAAACAACAAGAGTCACATGACTGTTTCAAGATGACGGCCGATCTAACATTCGGTATTTTTTTAAATTTAAGATTCCATTATATTATACTAGATCTGCGTTAATGTGGATTCTGTAAACAATCTTTTAACTTTTTTGTGTTGTTGGTATTTTAAATCTAATTTTTAATCTAAATTTTTCAGGCTCTATTCCACCGTTCTATCGGGAGGTGTATGAAATTGTTTGTCCTAACCAAGAGCAGGTTGACCGTGATCTTTTTGTGCAGCTTTTAGTAAAATCAAGCTTACCAAAACAAACTATACTGCAAGTTGGTATTACATTTTCTATTATCATATTTGGGTTATAAGCTGTACGCAAGCCGTAGACGAAAAGACAAAATTGAATTAAACAAATAGGCCTATTTGTCATAAAGAAAGAAAACATGCATTTGATTTTATCAAAAATTTTAAGTGGGTGTGTCACTCAATCTGCTTGGTTACTGATTCAGTAGATGCTACTACTAGCAGTAGTAGTAGATTGGCTTATAGCTTGTTTAATAACTATAGGTCTAAATATTATTTATAATTATTCATTAGGCCTAATATTATTATTAAATATTAGGGGTCTATTGGTTAGGCTATATTTAATAGTAATAATAGGCCTATTAGCCTATTTGTATTACTTAATTAATAATTAACTTACCTTAATGACTTAACTGTGTAATTGTTAGTATTTTTTAAATAATAATTTATTAGGCCTATAAAAATTGACATACAACCTACACCTACAGACTTAATAATAAAAATATAATTTATAATTTCTCCCCCAGATTTGGGACCTTGTGGGCTCTCAGCAAGGGTTAATGACCAGAAATGGACTTTACAAAGCTTTAGCCCTGACAGCCTTGGCACAGCAAGGAAAGTCAGTCAATGATAAGTTGCTAGAGACGTTTTCTGGGCAAGGTATTTGTAATATAATTTGCAGTTACTATAATAGGACCTATTATAGGTAAAAATTTATTAGTAAAATAATGTTTTTTATTTATTCACATGTCTTGTCTTTCATTGCATATAGAATTGCCAAAACCATCTCTGGGAGACCTGTCTGATTTAAAGGCTTCAAGTTTAAGACTGCGAAGAGAAAGGACACCTAATGTTCTGTGCTTTGATTATAAGGATCTATGTGAAATAGATTCAATCAAATTAGAACTGGTTCCTGAAAAGAAAGGCATTATCCTTAAACATGTAGAATATGAGGTTACTAGTAAGGTAAAAAAAATTGTTAGTACTAGTAGCTTTAGATTATTTTATATATTTTAAAAACTAACAAACTTCTGATTTGATTCTTTATATAATAGTAAGTGTGACTTTTAAACGGATTTAATAATCTAGATTAGCAATATTTTTTCAAGTTGGAGATTTTTAAAAATAGCCTCTTCTAATTGTTTTCTGATATGTTTGTTTAGAAATTACTTCTTTTTAACCTACACATTTTACTTTATGGTTTTCTTTGGCTGTTTACGTAGAGGCACAAGGCAACAGTACTGCGGAGGTATAATGACTTTGTTGCACTCCATGAACTTTTGACAACACGCTTTCCATATAGAATAATTCCAAGGTTACCACCTAAAAAAGTTGGAGGTTTGGCTTTCTTTTTTAATGCATTATTGTATCCTATTTAAACTGTTGCATAATTTGTTTTGGGTTAAACCTTTTTAGCTATTCATTCAATTAATCAATTAATCCAAATCTTTTAAGTGTTATAAAGGCTTATGAACAGCTAATAAAAGTGTTATTAAAAATTTCAGCATCAAGAGAATTTATTGAACAGCGAAAGAAATGCTTGAGGAGGTATTTAAACATTGTTGCCAGGCATCCACAGATGTATGATGACAAACTGGTCAAGTTCTTTTTAACATTTACTGGAAACGTATGTAAATCTTCAACTTCAACTGATTCTATTTTACCAGTAACAATGTATTTAGTTAGTAAAGTAATAAGTCAAGTAATCATAATAATTATAATGTAAAACATGTTATTTATTACCACAGGATGTGCAACATAAAATAAAAGAACAGTTTAAGGGAATTCCAGATGAGTTTATGACCAGTGATATGGCCAGTAAAGCCAAGGTAAATACAATCTATGGGAGTTGTTTTAAATAATATCAAATTGCTGCACAATTTGACTTCACTAGAAATAGATGTATAGCTAAAACATGAAAATAATGTCATTAAAAGTCAACATCTGTCGGCATGCAAAAGAAAAGGCATTTTTAAATATTATTGTTAAGGCAAGATACTTTTATAATGTTTTGAACTAAGTTAGTCTCATCTTGAAACCAAAAATGGTGTATAGCTAAGACCAACAACATATTGATGTAGTGTTATTCTAAACAACATTTTGGTGGTCTTTGATTACCTACACTAGAAACCCATCATCATTCTCAAGACAAAGTGGTTCATTTATGAGTTTTGTTTTGCATTAATAGTTTTATTAGATAAATCTTTAAAAAAACTTTCTGGTGCTTTAAAAAGTATTTGAAATATTTTGGTTTTTTTAGGATCTAGTGCCTTTAGATACCCAACAACAGCTTGGAACTAGTAAAGAACACATTCGAGTGGTATATGAGAGCATTTGTAAGTTAAAGGAAATAGCTGAAGGTATGGTCATCAGATCAACCACCTTTGCTACTGATATGCTACAGTTTGGCAGACAACTGAGGTAACATTCCATTTATGTATTACTTTCACATTTTTACATATTGATTGCACATTTTACAATTTTTTTTTTTTAAATGTATACTAAACAAAGCTTCTTTTTAAAATTATTTTTAGCATCTTAAGCATGGATAGTACACCTATTACCACCTGGGCAACAGGGACTAGTCACACCTGGGAGAGACTCCAGAAAGGCTTTAGGCTTTTGTCAGTGGAGTTTGCATCTTTGGCTGATAAATCTACACAGGCAGTAAGTTAAGATAGTTATAATAATAAATATTTTTTGACAAATTACCTCTTTATTTTTTTTTAAAATAGCATTACTTATTCGTAAGATGGTTTTAGCTTATGTCTAGGGTAGAATCAATCAATTTACACTTTTATTGAGATTAAAATAATGGAAAAGATTTGCTAAAAACAAAGAATGTTGCTGAAGGTGACATGTTATTTTTAGTACACTGTTTTACATAGATCATTCTAGCCTGCATAGGTTTATTTATTAATAATGTTATTTACCAAGAGAAGTATGGGGTTTGACTGACTTTAGACTGGACATTCTTCATTGGAAAAGCTGTTCCATATTTTGAAAGAATGACTATTGTCTATAATATCTGCCCTGCAATTTCCCAAAATAAAATGCATGGATTATAATGAATGGCATGGAAATCTGGCATTTTGTCACCTGGTGTTTTCCAAACAAGTATTTAAAGGGTTACTGATTTTTAACAGGCCCATGGCTAATAGTGTTTTAGACCAGTGGAAATGCAATTTGTTTGCCCATTCCACTTACTTAGACACAATATACTAGGCAAAATAATATGGCAGAGGCAGAAATCTATAACTCAAAATTTTAGGAATACAACCACAAGTTAGTATGCTGGGTAGATAACTTATAAGGCACATTCTTGGGCACCGGCACAATACACTAGGCAAAGTGGTAAAGAAATACACCAACCATTTAGTTTAAAAATAGCTTACAGTTGCACACTATTTTTACAGGCTGTTGACGAGGAGGATGGGCTTGTAGAAAAACTGGCATTTTTTCAGGACCTTATTACAGCTTATAGAGTAGGTTGCATTTGTTATTTGATTATTGTTTGATATATTTTTATAAGTAAGAAATGTATTGCCTACTCATGTCCTATTTTTAATTATTAAGTTGCAAAGCTTTTTGATTGTGAATCAGTTTCTGTTAAATTAATTATTTTAAAATGAATTTTATTCTAAGCTAATTTGTATTTCATGTTTTGTTTTAAAAAAACTTTGTTTCAGGACTTATGTGAGAGGCATGAAAAGGGTGTTCTGCATGAACATCAAAGAGCCATACAAAAAATGGGACAGTACAAAAAGAAGAAGTTGTCATCACAAAATTCAGAAGTATAATCTTTTTTCTGAACCTTTGTTGTGTTCTTTTAATTTTTCATATACAATCTAGGTTTTTATATTTATCCTAAACTTACTAAATTTTAAAAACATTTAACACCCAATTTATTATTTGTTCATCTGAAAATTGTGTAAATGTTTACGAGTATTCTGCTTTTTAAAAATATAATATACTTCTTCTAGTTTATATTTCAAATAATTTATTTTTCATTAAAGACAGGTGCGATTGATCAGTTGGAACAAAAAATATTAGAGGTAAGAATCTTATTTTATTTCAGACTGTGAATAAATTGGAATGTAAGCCGCTTGCCATAGAAAATTACCTTTAAACTTCCTTTTTTCTTTTGTTCACATCAGCAAGAGGGTCAAATTGCAAACATGGAGAATCGGAATTATTACTCCTTGCACTGCCTGCAGATGGAGACACAGCTGATCAACACTCACTTAGACATTTTCTATGAGATCATTTCCTGCATGGCTCGAGTGGAAACTAGTACAAATTCAGATGTAAGTGTATGTTATCATCAGGCTTTCAGTGTATAATATTATGCCTTAGATAAAAGTTGGATTTTGAAAGTATAAAAAAAAAAAAATGCTTTATGTAATGGTATCATATTATAACTAATTTTCTAAAAACTTGATTCTTGTAATTTTTATTCATTTTTAGTTGTCACGTATTTGGGCATCAATGCAGCCAGCTATTGCCACTCTGTCTCCATCTGCAAATAATAAGGGTGATCTTTCTCCTGGTGGCTCACCTAGTATCAAGTTTCCAGGATTTTAACATTTAGGACAGTTTTCTAAAATACAAAAAAAAATGTATGCAATGAAAATAATTTTGCATTCAAATAATTAACTACAATGATTAAAAAGCTTAAAAAATTAATATTAGTTTTAGAATAACAAAAAAATTATATTTATAATTCTTGTGATGATCCTAATAGACATTCAGTTTATTTTTGGTGTCAAGCAGGGAAAAAATGTGTGATAAATTTACTGTGCCCGAAGCATTTATATTTTTTAAAATTATTCAAATAAAATAACCTCAAGCTGTTTTTAATGGAATACTATGGAGAATTTGTTCCAGTTAAATGAGTTATGCATCATGACAATATATCATCTCTACTTTTTTTGTTTTTGGGACCCTTTTCAAAGAATTTCTTCCTGCTTCAACTTCTCTGTTAATGTATATTTCCCAAGTAATAAATACTGCAATATACCTCTTTTTTTTTTCCCCAAGTTTTCAATCCCCCTGACATGTTTTTATTAATTGTTGATTTGAATTGAATGTGAAAAAAACCACACAAGTTTTTAGTGTTTAATTACAGAGGATCAGAATTTATTTAATGAATACATTCCTGTGAAATCTCTCCCTACCCCTGCCATGTGATCATATTGGTTTTGTTTTTTTTACTTCATAATTTTTAAATAATTTAGTGAAAAGTCTGCAAAATATCGTTTTCATTACATATTTTATGATAAAGACAAGCCTACAAATTACCTAAAGTTTTTAGCTAGTTTGAAATTACGAGACTAAAATAATTTTATAAACAGTGTGTATTTACCATAACCATCTATTCCAGACTGGCATACATTTTGTACATTCATTTTGTCTTACACAAATAAAGACATTATTATTGTAACTTAAAAAAATGTTATTTCACTTGCCAAATCTTAAATTATCCAGAATGGATGATAAAACAGCAGTCATCTTAATAAAAATTGTTCACAAAATGTTCTGATATAATTCATGAATTAACCTAAACATATGCTGTACCTTTATTAAAACATAATACATGACAGGAAGGTATATATTTCTTGGGTTAGATTAAACATATCAGCCACAGCATATCAAATACTGTTCACATTTAGATTTACTTCTGTTGGGGACTTGCCTTGTGTGTATTGCCTGCTCTTATTATTCTATACTGTTATTGATTTGGAATTGTACATGAACTTTAATTTAATTAGCTCTTTTAGATTTTATAGATATTGATAACTGTAAGGTTTATCTGTCTTTATCATACAAATTACAGCATGCTGTTTAACGTGTTTATATCTTATTTGGATACTGGGGTGTTTAATTATAAAATTATTATTCTGGATGGCCAAAACTTAAATTCTGAAGTAAACTGAACCCATTTAAAAATGTTATTGTTTAATTTATAAAGTGCCTAAAGGCAGAATTCATGCATTAAAATGTTCTTTTTGCATTGTGCATAGAATATATGTTTAAGTCTACCATACGCCCATTCTTGAAACCATATAAAATATGTTGGTTTTTTTTTCTTCCTGAAATTGTTACATTTTATAGAATACTATAATTTTGCATTTATTGTGATGCCCTTCTAGTCATAGAATGTAAATGGCTCATATTGCAGCTTTCGGTTAGGACTTAAACACTTTTTAAAATCTGTACTTGTGTTAACAATCTCTGCTTTTAATTAGTAAACTAGTAGAAAGCAAAATCAGATTTTTTAAGCAACAAAATTTGACCATACGATGTATTTTTTTTTTTGAAGAATTATAATTTTTAAATAAAATAAGTTATTACCGTAACATTACATACAATTTTAGGTATTAAGATAGTCAATTATATCATTCTTTTTTTGTGTAATTATTAAAATATGTGAGTGTAGCTTGTTGAATATTTTACCCAAAAGTGCCTGTACTGACCAACAATGTTTTTTTTTATGGTCCATTGTTCTGCTAAATTTTCTGTATGAAAAAATTGCCTACCTATATACATTTTTCATCAATTGTTTTAGTTATTTTTTATTTTGTAATATTTTTACCAACACAAAATGATTTTTTTAAATGTATGGGCACTCATCAACTTAAGGACACTATTTTTGTAAAGTATTTTGCATTGCTAGATTAGATCAGTAAGCCAAACAAAGAGTGAGACTAAAAATATTTATGGAATAGTTACCAACACCCTTTAATTTTCACTTTGATTTTTTGAAACAAATTTATTTTTACTAAACAGAAATTAAAGTGTGGGACAATTAGCCATAAAATGGCTATTAGAAATAATAAAGTTGTCAGGTTTGTTGTTACTATCTGTTTAGTGAAACATACTCTGTCATATTTAACTGGATTAAATGCTGTACATAAACAAATGTAAACTTTAATAAGCAAGAACAACCTAATGGTTGCACTAACAGAATGCTACCATAAATCTGTTAATATAGTTGTAGTTTTTTCTTGTGTTTTGTATATTTTTATCATAATAGTCTGTGATTTAAATGTTTCATATTTACAGTCATTCCCAAAAATTTTCTTATGTTATTACTTACAGCATTATATGTGGAATGTGTATTTTTCAGGTTTTGTGAAACAAAATTTTTAGAAATATTGACATAGATTTTTATTTTATTTTTAGAAAATACTGTGGTCTTGACTAAGTGGCTTAAGGGCCTTATCTCTATTAGACTCTTTCTCTCTGTGGAATGAGTAATTCCAGGCAAAGATTGACTTAAGCATTGCTAATGCTAAAGTGTTTGAAGTTAAGTAGAAACTATTGGACATACTCAATAATGAAAGTCGCAGAGGTCTATTCAGAAAAAAGAATAGGTGCTTTAGACTGTTGAATGCAACTCTCAAATGAAGAGAATGATTAAAAAATTTAACAAAGTGGATGAAGAGAGAAAGAAAGAATATGTGTCCTTTGCAATAAAAACAAAATATGAATGTTAACATTAGAGATAACAGATTAAAGTTTGACCATGTTGCAACATTGAAAATACACTGAAAAAACATGGCAAGTCCTCATCATTAACAAAAATGCTATGAAGTTCTGTAATACTGCGGTCATTATAATTCTATAAATTTATAAAAGGACTATATATATATATATTTTTTTTAATTGTTGCATTTTGTTTACATTTCTTGTGTTATAGGATAAAACCTTAAGCTGTATAGTTATAAGATTTTTAGAAATTTGGTTGTAACTTAATTGATTATGCTACATTGAACATTATTACAATCCCCTCTCTATATAAATAATGTGTCTTTCAAAAGATTTAATCATACCCTTATCAAGCAGCTAAGCAACATTTATGTGGCTTTATTATAAGTCTCACATGAGTGTTAATTTAAATTATATATAATTTATTATTTACTTGATTAAAATTTAATTGTGTTGCGGTCAGTTTTTTAAATTATTTTTATTTTCACATATTGGAACCAGACTCATTTTTATAGCTTTATAAGCTGAATGTTTGATAAACAGGGAAGGAGGGAAAATGTGACCATTACTCGCTGTACTTAAAATGGTTTTAGTTTAGTGCTGTCTCCTATGAATGCTATAAATCAATGTTAATAAGGTGATGTTTTGTTTACCTTGAGTGAAAAAAAAGTTTTCAAAATAATTTATCTCAGGTTTTATTTATTAATAAGAAGTCTATAATTGATACATTTTACTAAGTATAACTACAGGTAGGAATACTGAAGTCTAATTCTATACATTAACCATTCTATTTGAACAGCAAATTGTATGCAGTTTTTCCAAAAAAGATATTGTCTTAATAAGTTGTTTTTTTTTTAAATTAAATTTTCTGGTTTCATTTACTTATCAATTGTGTTGACTTTGATAGTTAAAAGTGTAAAAGTTTTCTGACAAACAAATTATAATTTTATTTATGTGAGTTTGAGCATTTTCAGAACAATAAATTCATTTAAACATTTCAGCCAATCTACTTTCTTAATTTAAGTGCATTGTATTTTCAATTAATGTTTCAAGTACCATTGTGTTGATACTTGTATGATTAAATTTTTGAAATAGTATTTCTTGATATGCCTAATTTCTTTTATTGAAAACAAATATGGTTGTCCCAGATATAAATGTATCAGTTAACATTCTGTTCATTTTATTTAACTAAGATTATTTGTCAGTAACTGAAAATATTCAACTAAACATCTTTTCCTATGTAAATTTTGCAGTAGTTGTCACCCCTGGATGATAGCTTTATAGTGTGTACAGTTAACAGTAACGATGTTCATCTATAGTAGATTATTAATACAGTTGGATGTAGCATTGTTTTCTCTGTCGTCTATAGACTAGTTATCAGGTTTACACGTCATGGTGTCACCTCCCCACCCTTGTCGGGATTTTTTAATTCGTATTTAAAAGACTCTTTCACTCGAATTAAGCATTAATTGAACTGACTAAAAAATGTTTCGTCTTTGTAGTTGCAAATTTTGGGTCTTGGTGTCACCCGCTAAATGGTGTTACCCAGTGCGGTCCGCAACCCCTCCCCGCCTCTGGGCCTACACTTTATTTTTGTTTTGATTTTTATTTGTGAGCCAGTTGTGTCAACTGTTCTACTGAATGGCAAAAATGAAGGATAAATTTGATTTTTTTTTAAACTGGAGGCAATGTTATACAGCATTCGATTATATAACGTTGTACTATACCACCACCCAGTTATGCTTCCCCTTGAGGGCATGATCGTTGGTATAACGTAGGACTGCTAGACCAAAACGTCCAGTATTCAAATCCCGGACTCGATCCGAATCCGTTGGAAGTTGCTAAGTCCATCCAGATCCAGTGGCGTAGCGAGGTCGGGTGTCACCCGGTGCGGCACTTAATGGTGTCACACCCCAGACGCGTAGCGACCCTTCCCGGCGCCCGCGGACAAACTTTCAACTTTCGATTTGCACCCCCCCCCCTCAAACTTTCGATTTGCAATCCCCCCCCCCCCCTCCACCCTTGTCGGGATTTGTCAAATTTGCTCTTAAAAGACTTTTTAACACTCGAATTAATCACTTAAGTGGAATTATCATTTTTCTCTATATATTTTTGCTATTTTTTGCCTTGGTGTCACCCCCCTAAATGGTGTCACCCGGTGCGGTCCACACCCCCCCCCCTCGCTACGCCACTGTCCAGATCTGATGGGTAGGCCTACCTGACTCCCGTTAGGAAAAGTAAAGGCGTCTGGGCTTAATGCTTCCCACTTTATCGTTTCATATGCCGAGGTCACTGAAACAGGGTACTTTACTTATAATATATTTTACATGAATTCATTCACATTCAACATACATAAAAATAAAACAGTGAAGAACAGTGTCGTTAGCAACAAGTAGATTCTATATCCACTATGGCCAATTATAGTCGTCCATATTTCTTCCTAATATTTTGCGACGTGTTTTAGAAATGTATCATCGACAACATCAGCATTCCTTCCTATGGATCTTTTGTGGAGCAACCTACCTCTCCATCGTATTCGGTTCTGGGCGATTCCTCCGAGCTGGTTCCACGTCCTTCTCTGACTGCTACTGTTTCACTGACGGCTTTCCCTTTTTAACCATTAATGTCCCATTCATCCTACCAAAACTCCACCCATGACGGCCCAATGTAAGGAGCATAACTCTGTATGATCAAGTGAATAGTTTCACAAAATATTTGTTTTTTTCTAAATGAAATTGAAAATTAAGATAAAAACTACTGCTTAATGTTGGGAATAAACCTGGCTTTCCAACAGTATTAAATAGAATATATTATATTCGGTAAAAGTACAGTAAAAAAATAAAAAATGTCGGAGAAAATTCAAAACAGGTCATTTTCGGTAGTCAACTTTATTTATTTTTGTCTAAACAACTAAGCATTGAATTTAACAGTTAAATATCAATTTGGTTATGTTTAAGATAAATAATTCATAAAATACATGCCTAGATACGTTTAGAGGCATTATTTTATTTTATTTTTAACATTAAATCTACTAAAAAAAGGACAGATGAGTCTAAAATTTCGAGATCGAAAGAAGCTATTATTTTTTATCTTTCAAAAGCGCCATTGAAATTATAAGACCGGAAAAGGATGGTGAAACTATCCGACTTCCTGTTTAGTTAAAAATTAGGATTTGTAGGCCAAATTTTAATGAAACAAATTTAATTTTTCTATGCGTATTTTAAGCGGGCGGCAGCGGGCGTTACGGGACATTAACGGTGTCGGGCGGCAGCGGGCGTTACGGGACATTAATGGTTAAGTTTGTTTTGGCCTACCTCTCCGGAGTCCCCGAAGCTGTCCTGTGCCATTCTCTTAACTGATTTCAGGTGTAGCCCATTTTGGTAGTTTTAGCATTTACTTTTAAGTTCCCGTTTCCAAGCTTGATCGACCTCTTTATCACTTTCCTTGTGGGTTCCACCTGAAAGTCTGTCTGGCGATATTGGTTGGGGGGTCATCCATAAATGACGGCACGTTTTTTTGGGACGATTTTTACCTCCCTCCTCCCCTCCGTCACAAAAAGCCAGACCCCTCCCCTAAAATGACGTCACACTTAGGCGCCCCCCCCCCCCTCAAAGTTGCAGTTTTATCGCAGTATTGTTAAGATACGATAGTTTTTCAAAATATTATCTGAACTTTGTCAAAATAGAGTATTTTAATCAATTCCTATTACAATTTATTAAAACAGTTTTCCAAACGCAAAATAACGGCTACAATTCGTTTTCTAACATTGCTTTTTTATAATGCAAAAGTGTGACGTCACACAATCTGATCATCCCCGCCCTCTCCCTCATCACACACCGTCACAAAACTACGAACCCCCCCACCCCCTCCCCCTACGAGTGTGACGTCATTTATGGACTACCCCCTTGTCAGTCAGCGGATTGTGTACCCTGTCCAACTCCACTCCATCTTCTTTCCCTGATTTCTTCATCAGTGGAAAGTTGTCCTGACGTTTCCAATAGGTGTGTGTTGCTGATGGTGTCGGGCAAGTGGATCGTGAGTAGACCTAGCCCTATTTGTCTGAGGCAACTGTTTATAGAGGTCTGAACTTTATCTATGGTGGTCTTGGTCATCATCCAATATAAATTATATATTTATCTATTTCGTACGGGGGCGACCGTGTACGGGCTCCGTACATCCACATTGCTGTGTAACTTTATATATTTATACATTTTGGGAGCAGGAAAAATGAAGTTTTGTGTTTGCTAAAATGATATGGTTACAACATATAGTGGCATTGTTGAGTGACGTGTGGACATCCACGTGATCCCCCCCCCCTCTCGCCTCCACACACTCAGAATGCGTCCAGATCACCCCCTCACCACCTAGGTCTACATGTGGACGTCATTATGTGACAGCTGATTGCCAAAAAAAAAACCTTAGGCTGTCCCATTTAACTAACAGCATAACAATTTGTTATATATTTTAGTTACTTAACTAATGGTCCCTATTATAGGTGATGATGAGGCTATCGCTCAGTGTCTCTTTCACTTCCAGACCTTTTTCTCCGGGGGGGGGGGAGGGGCGGTAGACTTTCTTCGGGGGGGGGGAGGGGCGGACACTGTTAAAAGTATAGCATATATTCTCTATATAAATTTCATTTCGTTCTGAAGGGGGGGGGGGAGATGCCTGGAAGAAACTGCTATCGCTTTCCAGTTTTTAGGAATGTCTAGTTTTTAAACGTCTATTTGCACAACAATTACGTAAATATGTAACAAATTAATTGTACAAATAAAGAACAAGGAAGAAGATACAAGAATTAATTATTTTCGATCAGTGACGCATCTTTTGGTTATTTTATTCAAACTATCAGTCGACTAATATAAAAAAAATTTGTAAGGGTGGTATTTGGAATCTAGAAATCGGTTTGGCTGTTGTAACTTTTAGGATTAGGCTTAGCCTAACCTATATTTAACAGTTAAAACATTCAGTTGATTCCCAGAAATCTTAGCACAGGAAGACAAAATTACAAACAGAACAAAAATAGTTCGACAAGATGGAGGCGGTGGCACTACACCCTTTCACAGCAACAGCTGACGATGAACTAAGTTTTAAAAAAGGAGACATCTTAAAGGTAGTAAATAGTTTTCTATTCTAATGGTTGCCCGTTTCACATTAAATCACGCGTATAGTTCTATTATTTGTTGGCTCTAACTTTGTTTTTCATCGGCTAAATAAAATTTCACTTCAGTGTCACACTGCACTGAGATGTGAAGTCAGAAGTCGCATCAGTGGGTGAAGTGTAGGCCTAAATGATTTAAAATTATTTTTGACTAAAGGGCCTAGCGAGAATCATAACTGTTTATTGATTCAATAGTTTATATTAATAACAATTTAATTTTAAAAATATTACTTTATTGTGCCTAAGTCTACTCTAGAAAGTTTTTGCTTAGACTTAGACTTTTAAAATAAATTTAGAGTAGAACTAGAAAGAGTAGATCTGGAATAAAGACTAAGTCACTAGATGATTAAGAGTTCATGTTCTTCAATTTCAACTTTAATACATTGATTATTATGATTAGGCCTACGGATTATTATGATTACAAAACGAGTGTTTAACACAGGAAACACCAACATTAAACAAAGTCATGGTTGGCGACCAGTTTCGCTTTCACTATTTGGTAGAGGAATAAAACTTATGATTATGAAGCCATCGTCAATTTTAGAAATCGGAACTATCCGTTTTTATTTAAGTCTGTTATTTAAGAATAGTCAGATCTACTTTTGACCTAATTTCTATGTTTGTCTCGCAAGCGGCGCCTTAGTGAAACTAGCCCTATTTTCTTCTTGTCTTTCAAATCAAATAACTGTAAAGTACCGCTCCCTTTTTAAACCAGACTATGTGCTTTTAAAACTTGAAAGCATTAATTTTACACACATTACAATTAACTGGTAATAATTTAATGTCTTTATGAGATGAGTTCGGTCTAAAATGATCACCCCTCAATAATGCCATTTTATTATAATCTTTTTTGGTGAAAACGAGGCGTGGGAAAATGTGTGCCGCGTAAGAATCCAATCATTTGGCTAGATTTATGACTTTTTTTATGTCACACCTAAAAATACGCTTTCTTCATTGATGATCGTTTTTATTATTTTTTAAACTGAAAATATGAATTATTTGTTACATTGCAGGTTTTGTAACTTGGTATACCTACCCTTTATCAATTTTAAAAGCATAGCATGCTCATTGTGAACAAATATAGTCATAAAACACAGAAATATAAAGTTATAATTGCAATGTGCCACACCCGGGTCACACCCCCTCAAGAAAACACGTGTTTATTAAGCTGTTTATCTCACTTTACAACAGTAATTAAAATTAATTTTCAAATTTTTATTACTTATTGGGTAAGATTAACCATTAATGTCCCATTCATTCTACCAAAACTCCACCCATGACGGCCCAATGTAAGGAGAATAACTCTGTATGATCAAGTGAATAGTTTCACAAAATATTTGTTTTTGTCTAAATGAAATTGAAAATTAAGATAAAAACTACTGCTTAATGTTGGGAATAAACCTGGCTATCCAACAGTATTAAATAGAATATATTATATTCGGTAAAAGTACAGTATAAAAATAAAAAATGTCGGAGAAAATTCAAAACAGGTCATTTTCGGTAGTCAACTTTATTTATTTTTGTCTAAACAACTATGCATCGAATTTAACACTTAAATATCAATTTGGTTATGTTTAACATATATAATTCATAAAATACATGCCTAGATACGTTTAGAGGCATTATTTTTATTTATTTTTAATATTAAATCTACTAAAAATACGACAGATGAGTCGAAAATTTCGAGATATAAAGAAACTATTATTTTTTATCTTTCAAAAGCGCCATTGAAATTATAAGACCGGAAAAGGATGCTGAAACCATCCGACTTCCTGTTTAGTTAAAAATTAGGATTTGTAGGCCAAATTTTAATGAAACAAATTTAATTTTTCTATGCGTATTGTAAGCGGGCGTTACGGGACATTAACGGTGTCGGGCGGCAGCGGGCGTTACGGGACATTAATGGTTAAGCACGTTTACTAAAAATAAAAATAAAATAAAAAGTAAATTCTGTTTTAATGAAGGTCACAGGTAAAATATTATTTCCTTCAGCCAAGTTCAGGGGAGGGTGCCACAGACTGACCTGACTTTAGAATTTTTTTCAGTAATAATGACTTTGCACAGAAAGTTAAAATATGCAAAATTGGCTTAGTTTACTAGCGTGCTCTAGCTATTATTGATACATTTTTTAATTAAAAAAATCATTTTGAAATTTTCATCAAAATGCCTAGTCATGGAGATTCTAAAACATCATGAAGGAGTATCTGTTTAGGTGTAATTGTTTTCAGAAAATAATTCTGTTTCTTGATAGACACACCCACTTAAACCACTAGCAAAGTATGGGACTATTGTTTATTATTATGATTTCAATTCTTTGGATAGATAACATTGTTAATGACTTTCTAAATGATAGTGATCTCATAGTCCACCTAAATTTTTAAAACCTGGATTGACCATTATTGAAATAAAAAATTTTTAGAATATTGGGTAGGCTATTGTTTGTTTTTATTCATGTTGGAACTAAAATGTGCTTATTATCATATTTCACATTATATATTATTGTTGTTTAGGATAAATTCATACACCATCAGAAATTTCACATAGAGTGAACATATTCAATTTTGATTCATTTGTATGTAGGCCTATTGTTTTTTTTTTGTTTTTTTTTGTAAAAATTGTGTATAATACAGTGACAGTGTGTTGTTTGCCTAAAACAATTAATATAAAATAATATTGTTTCAGATTTTGAGCACTTTTGATGACAAAAATTGGTACAAAGCTGAACTGAATGGAAAAGAAGGCTATGTACCTCATAATTATATTGAAATGTGTCCACATTCGTGAGTAACTATTTTAACTATTTATTGTCTAAAATCATGTATATACTAGTTTACAGTTGGAAGTCTTGTCTCAACTTGACTTATGTTTTTTTTATTTGTATTAATTAACATTAAATAACCAGTTTTGTTTTATGTATTACATTTTGTTGTTTCTATTTTCAGGTGGTATTTAGGTAAAATATCTAGGACAAAAGCAGAAGAGATGCTTTTACGAACAGAACAGCCAGATGGTGCATTTTTAGTTAGAAACAGTGAAAGTGCACCAGGGGAATTTTCAATCACAGTAAAGTAAGCAAAGTATCCTAACATATTTACATTTGCTGTATTGTTTTTTAATCATATATGCTGTTTTATATTTTTTTAATTATATGTGCAAAAGTAAATTTTTTAATTCTCTTAGATTTCAGTCTGGAGTTCAACATTTTAAGGTTTTAAGAGATGGTGGAGGCAAGTATTTTCTTTGGGTGGTCAAGTTCAACTCCATAAATGAACTAGTGAATTATCACAGAAAAGCTACAGTCAGTAGATCTCATGACATCTATTTCAAAGATATGGTCAATCATGATCTTGAGGTTTGATTTTTTTCTCATTTGTTTTGTAACTGTTAGCTACACCTCTGTTGTTATAGTCGTAGATCAGAAACAACACTGGTTAATGACATTAAATTAAAAAATAATACTTCATGTTAAAAGAACATGTTTGAGAAAAAAAGTTTCAATGTTTGTTTTGTAAAAAAAAAGTTCAGCCCAATGTTTTTCATATTGAATTAAAGTTGTGCTTAACAAATTCAACATTTAACCTTTGTTGATTTAGGTTCAGCGTGTGCGTGCAATATTTGACTTTGATGCACAAGGCTGTGATGAACTTGGCATTCGGAAAGGCGATATTATTAAAGTTACACAAAAAGTTGATGACAGTTGGTGGCGAGGGGAATTAAATGGCCAAGAGGGGATGTTTCCAGTTACCTATGTTGAAAGGTTATCAGAAGATGTACATCCTGTTCTCTGAAAATGTTGCAGTTACAAAAACCCTTACAATTCAATTTTGACTTGAAAAAGTAATCATGTGATTTTTACCAATGAACATCTATAGTGCATGATTTATTATACTAAAACATTTTGAAAATGTATTTAATTTCAAAAGTTTACTCTTAATAAATTATTAAATCAGATGTTAAATGGCTGTATACTGCAGCCAAGCATTTTTTAGCAATGATTAGCAAAGTCTGTTTAGTCAATTCTACTTACACTACTTACTTTGCTCTTATTTCTTAAGTAAATTTTACATCATAATTTGTGCCTGTGGTCAGTTAATTTAATAGTTGTACATATTGAATTGTTGCTGCTGTAATGTAAAAAGTGGTCTTAATCATAGACATTTATGCTTTTGGTACCTAAAGTGATATTTTTTTTTATTGCATCAAACTTGTAGAAAAATAAAGCTTCTACACTTTTTAAAAACTAAATCTAGATCATTTTTTTTATTTTTCTAGTCATATTTTAATTTAGAGTCTCTAACTAAATATCTAAAGTAAATAGAAATATTTGTTTACATAATATTAACAGTGTTGAGTTAATTCATACCCTAATTAAAAAAATAGCTTGGAAAGAAAGAAAATTTTAAAAACATTTTTGATGATCGACATAATTTAAGAAACATGCTCTCAAAATACATTTTCTTAGTGAAAAGCTGTATACTGTGCATCAACTTATAATACTTATAAAATGTAATATTTTAATTAATTCACCATTCTTTTTAAAGTTGTAAGCTATTATTTGTCAAAAAAACTAGTATTTTTTAAAAATTAATTTGATCTGATTAATTAATGTAACAAGTGATTAACATTTATTTTCTATTGATTCATTAACAAACATTTATTATTTCTCAAGGGTACGTACAGCAGTAAAACTAAACAGTATTTCTTTAAAATAAGTGTTCAATAAATAATGCATTGTAACAAAAATGATGATGAACTCCCTTACTAAATGATCTGATTATAGCTATTTATAAACTTTGTATCTAAACTTTACATTTTTCATGTTTTTGTTTCACATTGCAATTTTAGTACAGTTTAGCTGGAGCAAATTATATATGATATAATTCAGAAGAAAAGAAAGCGTTATTAGAGCAATCCTTTCAAATGACTTCAATTCAACAAAAAAATATGAAGTAGCTTGTAGTGCATAATGCCTTATTCTCATAATTTCATGAAACTACTTATTGTGTATTGTTTGCTATTTTATTTTTATTAGAAATAGTATTCTTCACTAGGTATAAATGGTTTGTTTAAAAATAGTATAAATTATCATGAACAATTATAAGTGTTTTATAGTTTTATTCAAAAAATCCGTTTAGGTTCTAATAGCTCTGATTAAAGATGACGTTAGACTGTGATTTAAATAAAAATACTATTTTTCAGCATTAAATTTTTTTTAGAAAAGATTAAGTAATTTGTATATACAACAATGTATAGGATAATTTAAAAAAAAAACATCCATTTATATTAGTGTTTAGAAATAGTCTATTACCTGACACGTCTGAGATATTTCTACATTAATAATTAGCATGCATAAACTGCAATAAAGTTAAGTGTCTCTCAATTCTGCACATTCTGATAAGATTGCATAATCATTTATTTCACAGCAACACTACACTTTTTTGCCAGTTTAAGAAAAATGTAAAGCAAAATATCTTAATTTTCTGACAGTTTATTTCTTATAAATCTTTTTGCTGTGTTTGATATTTCGTTTTTATTAAATTTAGGATCTAATTGCACTTGTTAATGATTAGGTCAATATCTAGGTTGCACTTATCTTGTCTTAAATGCTACATTACAGTCACTGGCATATTAATATTTCACTGTTTATAGTATTTTTGGTGATTTTTTTTCTTTTGTTCATTTCCTTCCTAATGCTATCAAAAAGTATGACACTTACAGAAATATTTCTAAATAATTGCATAGGCCAACATGTTTGCTTACATTTACTTTGACATATATTATGAAAAATTGTTAAAATTTATACTGTTTAATTGAGTATTACATTAGAGGGATTACTTTACTTGAATTAATTATGACAGTATACTGTATTTACTGTGTTAACTTTAGTTTTAGAAAAATAAAAATGTTGGTTGTAGGTAGCTTGTTAAATAATTCTGGAAAATTATTCAAGAGTTGTAAGTTTGAAGTATATTTTAAACTTACTGCCTTCTTCTTTTCCTTGACTTGCTGACAAGGGTATGCAGCATCTGCATTATTTTATTTCAAATTATTTTGAATCATAGAATTAGAAAACAGAAATCATGCATGATTGAAAAAGCTGTTTACAAAGAAAAACTTTTGTTATTTTTTTTATGCTCTGTAATTAATGTACAATAATGCCAGTTAGAAATGAATTTTTGTGCTAGTCACTTTTTGAAACACATTGATATTATTGTTTGTAATATAAAAATGATTTAATGACAAAAATGGAGGTTTTGATTTATATTTTTTCTTACAAAGAAGTATCAGTGTTTATAAGGTTGACAATTCATATCTTATGGTTACCCAGGTAACGTGTCTTATTTAGAAAATAAGAAGTTTGATTTTCCAGCTGTTGCTTGTTAAACATAATCAAAGGTAATACATTAAGTGTATCTGGAGATAAGGATATACAAAGGTAAAAGTCAATTTAAAAAATAGCCAGTAATTGAAACCCATATTAGGGACTACAATTTCAGCTGGGTTTTTCTATACATTTATTGTGAAATATTCTTCTAATGGTGATTAAAATCTAATTTGTATATTTTAAAAGTTTATTTGAGCATGATTGCTGTAGAAATATTTTTATTGTAGGATTTATGTTGATTGTTCTTTACCATCTAAAAGTTATACAAAAAAAATATCAAGAAAAATTTTTTTGAACATACTAAGGTAGCTGTGCTACAGTGACAAAAATATAACCTTCAAATTAAGGTTTTTTTTAAACTGAAATCTGACACAAATTTTCTAGTTTGTGTACTTTTATTCAATAAAAGCTGTTCACAACCATAAAGTTTTTATAAAATTTAATTTGCTCGTGTGCTTTTTATTTGTTTGATGAGTATATTCAATTAAAAATGGTTGTAAATTTAATGCATTTAGAAAATTATGCACCAGTTAAGAATAATTGTTTGTCCGACTTGATTTATTTTTTTATTTTTAGTTCATAATTAATTTAATCATTTTTAGAATTGTTTACACAAGCTTGTTATAAATAGTTCTGTTATATAAATTTTTTTAAAATTGAATTTGCTAAGTAAGTAGAAAAAAGCCCTTTTAACTTTTAGTTATGTAAGGCAATGTAAATACTATTAAGCAAACAAAATAGTTGCTGAACATTTGACCATGTCATTATTTTCCCCCTATATTTTAAATAGTTTTTGTGTGAACCCAGTTTATTTTAGGGATGAATTCCCAATTAGACTTTTTTACCTACACTTTTGATTGTATTTAGTTGCATGCAGTTAATTTCAGAATTTTTTATTTAACTAACATTTGTATTAAGGTCAGTACATTGCAGCTGCAGTGACATGAGTTGTGCAAATAGGCGTGATAGCAAGGTCAGGAATAGATGTTGGTTAATGTATTAAATTTGAAACAAAAAACAACTATTAAGCACAGTCATAATATAACCCCCACTGCTGTAAATATTTTCTTTGTTTTTTTTTTGGGATGGATTTTTTTTTGGTTAGTAGAACATTGAGATTTTAAATAACTTTTTCACTTAAAGAGATTTTGTTAGAAATAGAAAACATCTGATGATTATAGAATATAAGAGCAAAATATATTTTAGATACATGTACTTGATAGTTAAAAATGAGTATATTTTTAAAATCTCAATGTCAAAGTTAATCCTTTTTTGTGTATGCCACTATTGCATGTTGTTGTTTTTTTGCTTGGATTAACTATGCTTTGTACATTTGTGTACATTATTGATGTAAATATGGATAACATTCTATTGACTATGAATCATTTTATTGGCTGGTCACATTTTAAAAAAAAAAATGTCACGTGTTTAATTGAATCCTATAAATATTCAGTGTTACGTAATCAAAATAAGAACATGTATTAGTGCATCAGAATCTCTAATTATCCATTATTATTTTTTAAAGGTTTTTGTCACATTTTTTCCTATTATTACAAAAGGTTGATTTTAAAATATTTTAATTCATAATGAATGCATAAAATCATTTTTGTTACTTCAAAAACCAATGTGAAGATTTGATTGGAAAACTCAGCAGAGGCTCATTTTCATTAACACTTGTATTACACTATTAAGTAGATTGCTCTCAACCCAGTGAAGTCTTCACTGTACAACTGCCAATGATGCACTTCATGCCTTTTTAAATATGTATAATTAATGTCAAGTCTTGTGAATAAATGGCTTTTTGCATCAAGAATGTATGCTGTTGCTGTAAGTTTGTATGGTGAGCTGTTAAGAGCAATTGAACTGTGTAGCATTCCTGTTACACATAACTTATATTACTAATTACAAGCAAATTAACAACTCACATTTCATGCATACATTACAAACATAAATTTACAAACATTTGACTTGAATCATTTAAAGGACTTCAATAGCACATAGAATTTCTCTGAGATTATCTCAAAGACCAAGTTAGTTGTTTGGATATTGTATGACTGGAAATATGAATGTTTTGGTATTTCATTAGATCAAAGATGGTCATATAAATAAAAACTCATATACAAATGTTTTTGACATGTTCAAATTATTGCTTCAACTTCCAGAAACCCTTGTATAGTGTAATATTTACTACTAGTAGATTCTGAGGTGGTGAAGAAATCTAATTTACCTATATGTAAAAATAAAAAAAATTTTAATGCACATTTACTATAACATTGAAGAGCTTTTGAAACAATAAGCGTCTTTCAGATAGAGGCTTGAATATTATTATTGCACAATTTCTTTCCATTAGAATGACTATTATAATATATTCAGATAATTTAAATACTCAAGGGGCTTTCTTCATCATATATTCATCCATTTTCTGATGTCTTCCCATCTGTACCTGCCTGTTATTGTAGGAAAGTTTTTGCTAGTAGTGACTTCTCCAACCATTTTAGTTCTTTTAGAATCAATCATTTTTTGGATTATGTCATACACTAAGTCATTTAAAATCCAGTCAAGCGATTCCTATCTTATTGTTAGTAAAGTGCACCATCCATATACTATGGAAAGTATTTTTGAAGTCCATAAGTGTATTTTTCAACAATGTAACATGAAACTAAACGATTTGCTCAGTTTTGAAGCCTGATTATGACCGCTCAAGAATTGAAATTGTTAACTAAACAAATACAACTTCTACAAATCAGTTTTTAAGAAAGCAAACATTTTGTTAGGTATTTAATTGTTTTACTTTCATAATTTAAAACTAATTATGTTAATTCAAGGTGTGCTAGAAGACAGCCACATCATTAACATTTCCAACGCATAAACAGAAAATATTTAGTATGGTTAGAAACTGAATTAACAGTATGGATGAAACAGAAAGAAGACTAAGTATGATTTTTTTCTTTAGATAGTTTTCCTTTTGTTTAATTTGAACAAGTCTCTAAATGGGATTAATAGTACTTTAGAACTGCTGCAAAATTTTAATTTATTAATAAAATTATGATAATGAAAAAAGATGTTGACAGAGCCTGTAGAAAGAAACTAAAAGAACCTGGCAGGGGATACTTAACACCCTCAATTTAAAAATACTTAGCAGTTCAACATTGCTGGAGGATTAACATTCATATAATAAAATAGTTATAATTATTCTGCAACATTTTTCTGTTAATCTAAACCAATACGACTCAAGTAAAAACAATTCAATTTATTTAGTTTTTCTTCATGCATTAGTGCATTGCTTTCAGTCTATCTGTAAGGTAGATCTTAGCCTTCTTGTAGGAATGATTTGGTCTAGTAGTGTTTCTGTGTATCCAGTAGTTGAGTCTGTAGCCGTAGTGATAACTCTGTGAGAATCAGGATCTGATGAACATGGCCTCACATCTAGTCTTGCTTTATATCCCCTAGACCACATATCACTCTAAAGAAAAGTAAAAAACACTTTCATAACACAGCAGTCAGCAATATCAAACTACATAAAATTAATTTTTGATAAAAATGTTACCTAAGATGTTTATATTTGTAACTTAGTGCAAACAAAATGAAAATGCACAACTGCAATATCTGACTGGATAAAATGAACCCAGATTTGTTCCTAAACAGTATTGGTATAATATAATTGGACTTTACTCACTGGAATATAAAATCTATGAACACCAATCTTAGACTTTTTCTTCTGAGATTTTTTGACTGAAAAAAAAACAAAAAAACAACAAAAACTTGACATTGAGAAAAAATGATGGATAAAAATTTAAAAGAGAATGATTATTTCATGCACTGTTACCTGTTGGTGCTTGAAAATTAAGGGTTAGATGGTGTTCATCTAACGTCGAATAATATGGCTGCTCATTTATTACTCCACTATGTATCATTTTGGATTTCCTGTCAAGTGCAATGCTATGATCTTTGTCAGCTCGAGGCTTGTTAGCCTTGTCTACAGATGAATGTGGAGCTGCAGCATCAGGGACATCCACGTCTGCACTTTGTACATTTGATAAAAGGCTATGCTTAGAACCATTGTCTTTAGGTATCAGTCTCCTAGGAGTCTTCTGCATGGTGTTGTCTTCATCAACAGAATATTTACTACTTACATCATTCAATCCCACAAAATCTTGATTCTCCAACCAAGTTTTTACTGTATCATTTTCTCTCCCATTTACCAAAGTTTTGGAACCCTTATTAGTGAGTTTTTCTCCCAATAGACTTTTTCTTTTGTGTGGAACTGGTAAAACTGAAATTTTAGTTGTTTGAGATTTATCATCCTCGCTGCTGGTTACATCCTTGAAGCTGATAACTCTCTCAGTAGAACGTGAGACCTGGCTTAATAGAGACTTGTTGGGTTGCAGAAAACTGTCCGTTTCTTCACAGTTGAAATCATTCAGTGGTTTTCTCAGGATGGATGGATGTTTTCTTTCACTGACAAAATAAAAGTAACAGTTTGTGATTAATATCAAACAATTAAGGCCATAGTAGCCATTTTTTAAAAAGATTTTAACTATCCAGACACTTTTTAAAATTTGTGGTAACAAAACTATGAGAAAAATAATACATAAAGCAAAATAATTATCAATATCTTGTATTGTTTGATAAAACAAAATATAAAATTTACTGCTTTACCTTGTTTGGATATGTTCCAAACTTGTTGAATCACTGATTTGGGTCTTGTGAAAATTTTTGAATATTTTAGTTTTACTCTGAGTACTGTGTTCTTGACAATCAAAGAGCAATTCTTTGCTGAAAGATTCACAAATCTTTGTTGGTACATCATTTAATTCATCTTTACTGAAATCTAATGTCTTTATTCCTTCTCCCTCTTCATCTTTTGAAGAATGTAAATGACTTGAGTGACTGGCCTCAAACTTTGGCTTTGTTTGGAGTCCTGAAGGTAGCCGAGTGTTACCACTAGTTTCTTCATCACTGCTGATAATATAGTTTTCTCTAGCTTTTCTACGCTTGATCTTTTTTTGTATTTTATCTAACTGCATGCGTATCCAAATATCGCTATCTGATGAATCACTATCGTCATTTGTGGGGACAGGATTAGATTCTACTGCAGTGGTTTGACATTCCACATTCATCTTAACAGGAGAAATTGTTTTGTTTTCTTTCACTGGATCTGCACTGATCTCTTCTGGACAAGTTACCATAATGCTATCATCTAGGCCAGCTGTATTCAGATCAGTCTCCTTTTCGATCTGACAAAGGGTATCATCATCAGCATCTTCCGTTTTGTTTCCACCATCTGGAAAACTCAAACTGACACTTGTTTCACTTTTACCCACTCTATGACACTCACTTATTGATCGACCATTGAGCTTTGCTGGAACACCTTCTCTCGTCTTAATTACAGGAGATCCTTTACCTTGCTTTGAGAAAGAAACAGAACCATTATCTCTTCTATGTGTATCCTTATCACTCAAGCTTGTTTTCAGTGTCACTTTATTCAGCTTTTCCTCAGTATGACTTGATGTTAAAGCCGAATGCGACTTATTGCCATACGCTTGTGCTAAGTTTCTCTCAAAGTATTGAGAAATTGTTTTGGATTGTTTAGGAAACATTGGAGGCTTAGATGTGACATTTTCTGTAAAATCATAATCTAGATCTGTTTGTTTTTCTCTTGTTGAGGCATTGCAGTCCAGCAATGATAACTGGGTGTAAGGATCTTTTTCATTATTGCCAAAGTCATCATCGATGTAATATTCATGAAATTCAAAGTCAAAGCCACATACCTAAAAGAAAACAAAAAGTTACCACTTAAATTGAAGTTTACCTATTTATAAGTAAATGGTTATTAAAAATGATAACAAAACAATAGATTGGAAATAAGAAAGGGATAAAATAAGGGATAATTATATCACTGATGCCTGATAACAGGACATGCAACACAGGAGCTAATGTGAAACATGCAAGGAAATATGTACAACAAAATAGATGTGGGGGACAAAAAGATGTGAGCGCAGTTGTCATTAAAATATTATTAGTCTGCAAAGTGCACACTGGAAAAATAATGAATACAATAAAAAATTTAAACGGAAATGACAGTTCTTTTAAAATAAAAAAATAAAGCAACATGATCAATAAAAAAAATGGATTATATGAAAGTTGTTTTACCTCCAATTCATTGATTTTAATGGTGGTTTTTATAAATATAAGTGAGTATTTTATAACAAAAGATCAAACCTCTGGGATTGACTGCGCAGATTTTATTTTCATCAGTTTCTCTTGTATCTCCAGATCTTTTCTAGATGTTTCCAGAGGTTTGCCAGATGTTTGCTCCACAAGAGTGGATGATGATGAGATGTCTTTTAGACCATGAAGACTATTGCTGGAATCTGTGGCATTGACTTTGTTTCCAATCAAACAGATGAACAGGAAAAAAAGTATTAATTTAATGGTTGGTAATAACATACAATGTAAACACTACACTTCTAAACATTTGAGTAGAAGTCTTTTTAAAAAATTGTGCATTACATTTCATGGGGGGGGGGGGGGGGGAAGAGGGGGCTCATGTTTTCTAGCAAAGCCAATTAAACTAGATTTCTGCAATGTTTTTGTTCCAAATATCTATAACAATCCAAACAAGGAAAGAAGCTATCAGTTCTTAACATTCAATTAAAAATTAATTTGAGTCTACCAGTAATATTTTAATGAAAATATTGAATCCACAAGCTCAGAGGGAGTTGTTTAAAAGCTCTTGAAATAGAGTGCAAGTTGTGCATTATTGATAAGGATTTGGCATTATGGGGGTTGTATTGATGATGATGATGATTTGTAATTCATTGGGTAAGCAAGTTCAGTTTGTAAACCAACCTTTATTTCCATCACTTTTAATTTATGTATATCTCACACAGCCACTCAGATGCATTAAAATACACTGACATATAATTACATTAAATACCAACCTGGCATTGATGCCTTGTGACAAAGCTTATCTTTGATATTTTCCAGTTTCTGATAGATCCAATGGTTAACTTTTTCTGAATCTGGCACTTAAAGTAAATATTGTAGAATATTTATTAAATTTTGTATGAGTTAACACAAAAGACTTTTTCCAAAGTTTTGTTTTATAAAGTAGATAGTAACTTACTGGATTCTTTAGTGAAAGTTAGGGCTGAGTTTGAACTTTCATTGGTTTCAGAATGCTTGTCTGTAGGCTCTAGCATTGCATTATATGAAGCTACTAACTGGTTATCAAAATCACTTGAAGGTCTAATACACATATTTTTAAAAGACTTCTCCTGGGTAGTATCCAAGGGATATTCATTTGTGGTGTCTAATGACCACACATTAACTTCTCTTGTCTCATCCTCATTTTCTGCAATTGATTGATTATTCTCTGAATGACCAATCTCTAGACACTTTGAAGAACTCATGCCATTCGCACCTTTTAAATTAGCATTTAATGATGAGATCCCTTCTTTCTCCCTTGTAACTTTCTGAGTGTGATCAGCCTCTATTGAGTTAGAATTAGTCACAGAATCTTGGTCTGCTATTCGTTTAGATTTCCCAATTAATATATCATGAACTAATTTGATTTCACGAAGAAAATCTCTGTGGTGTATGGATGAAATTTTTTTTGGTGATGGTGCCAATTTATCTTTTCCTTCCTGCAAAAACACATCTTATTTTAAAATAGAAAAAATTACCAATGGTAAATATTTTTTCAAATGCAATGTTTTTAGACATAATAATAATGATTTTTATCTCTTAGTTTTACAAAAAAAAATATATTATAGGGCAAATAAATAACTGCAACATTTATAAATATTAAACCACTTACTTGTGAATAGCCAACTGGAACAAAGGGCTTCTTTCCCTTATCTCCATTGTCTCCCTTTTCCTTCTGGTCTCGCATACAAGATGCAGCATCCTTCAATGTTTTCTTAGCTAAGAAAATTGGATTTATGTTTGTTGGCAAATCAGAACTTTTCAAAATACTTGTCTTGGGTGTACTGTTGGTAATCAAGGTTGAGTTTCCACTAGTTTGTGAAGATATTTGACAAGCTGATAGAATGGTTGGAGTGAAAAAATTTTAAGATTCTATGTAAAAATGAGTCAGTCAAAAATTCTTTTTGAAGTACTCCAAGCTAACTATCAAAATACATTATGACTGAGGAAAAGAATGAAACGGCCTTAAAGGAAAATGTACTCAAGTTAATGTTTTAAGACAATGGATTTTAAAAACTTTTACCTTCTTTAAAGCCAACATTAAGTGTTGAAGAGTTACAAACAGAAGACTATAGAATAAAAATGTAGTTATTTAAAATGCATTTATTTGAATAAAAATTGCTACTTAAATTATGACTAAATAGGATGAAATATTTGTCTATGATAAATGCATCCCACACTCAAGTATTAATAAAAAAAAAAACATTAGCTGAAAGTCCTATGCTTAAAAAAATTAATATGCATTTCAGTTAGTATTAATATATTCATCAAATTTAAACGCAGACTTAAAAATACATAAAAGTGAATGGACGGCATAGGAGCGGTTGTTTTTTTTAAACTTCTACCAAGTTATTAAAAGAAAGCATTTATGAGTATTAAAACGAACTTACTGAAAGTGAAGCATTTTTTCCGTTGGGCACCATGCTACCTTTTATAATGGCTTGACGAAGTTCATGCTGCTGAAAATACAGTTTATTAAAAATAATATATTACAATACCTATAATACCACAAAATAAAAAAAACTTAATTCAATTTTTTTGGGAAATGATTATCAATAAAAAATAGCCTTCAATAATCATTTATAGCAACCTTATCTAGACTATAAAATGATTGGAAAATATTTTAAAGGGCGTGGATACAAATTCATTAACCATGTTTTTATATATAAATCAACTTGGGTTAAACTATAAGATTAGAAAATTGTAATGATTTTAAACTTTAGCAGTAAAAAATTCCAATTAGACTTGGTCCGCAGGCAAAATGAAATTGTTTTAATGACCCCCATTTGTAAAGTGATTGTGTGGACTCTACTACTCAGTCATCTTTACTTTAATATTTTTAATGTTAATTTCAATTTAAAGCTGGGAGGACTCAGGAACAACCTAATAACTGACTAGTCTTCTCTGTTGTTAAAAAATATTACTCAAATTAAAATTTAAAAAAAAAAAAATACCTGCACATTTTTCTGTACAAAATTAATTTTTTTTTTTACCTGATTTAAGTATTGCTGAAAACTTTCTGTTAATTTTCTCACAGAAGTAGTCACATAATGTTCATTCTTGTTGTCTACTTGTGTTCTAAATTAAAAGTCAACATGAATTGAACATAGGATAGGTCAAAGAAAGATGTGTGAAAATATATTTTAAACCAAGCTAAAAGCAAATCATCAAGGAAAGAAAATAACTTCAATTATGTTTCCAATTTTTTTTTTTCGCAGACATGATATCAAAGTAACTATAACCTACAATGAGTAAGACTGCATTGTTTCCTTTGGTAGAGTTTGTGGTCTTTCATTGTAAGAAAATATGCCATTGTTGTTTCTCTCATACATGTTATTTAGATTGTTGTCAAGATTGTCAGGATATGACAGTGATATTGGATGAATTTTATCCATGGTTACAATCTGTAAAGGAATATAATTGTTCATATTTCAGTGAAACCATGATGATGTATAAGAAATCAGCAAATAAACAAAACAATCCACATTATATTCTGACCTAACAAAAAATAACTAAGGTAGAAGTATGGTGAAAATTCAAAGGAAAATTTTCAAAACTAGATACAAATTGTTAATTTGAAAAATGTAATAATTGCACATCACATACGTTTATAATTCAAACAATGATTTTGTTACTTCAGCCAAAGCAAAAGACAAGAGCTTAAAAAAAAAAATTTTGTCTTCACAACCAGTAATAACCAGGTTACTTTTACCTGGATAAATGAGATACTTATCAAATAAAACTTAGTTCAAGTTTTTTTCCTTATAATTAATTTTTAAAATGGTTACTAGACATAAAAAACCTACTGGTGACTTGGTAAATGAATCAACTGTGTCAGAAACAGAAGAAAGTGTCTCACAATATATATCTAAATTCCAATCATGGTAAGCTTGTGTGTAAGCTTGATTCCCCAAGCAGTCGCTGAAACTTGAAGTGTTTCATAAATGAAGATCAATCCATTTTTTTTATTTAACTTGTATTAGAAACAACAAGCTCATGTGATTAAATATTGTAAATATTTTCAAACAAAACAGTGTGCACATATTGCTTTAGTGAAAATAAATGTTTGATGATTGCAATCCTAACAAATCATGATGTAGGCCTATATTAATGGTAGCAGCATTGGAAAAATAAAACTTTGAAAATAAAAACATCACTTCATAATGTAAGATAATTAAAATTTACAGATCTATTAATGTTATGTCTCATTGATAAAATTACTTCACACTAATTAAAAAACAATGCAGATGAGTTTATATAACTATATAATAAAATATGTTGTTTTAACAAAATGTAACAAATTTAACCCTTGATTAAACTGTAGATTGTCTTGTGTCCAGTTTTCTCCTGCACTACATTCAGTATCTGCACCAGTAGATGATGAAGATAGTTCTAAAAAGTTGGAAGATCTATCTTTCCATTCTTTAGAACAATGTGGTAACTGGGAGTAGCTGGAAAACTGTAAAGTAGTTTAAAATAGTACCTGGAGTTTTTTTTAAAACCAGTAAACAATATATTTAAAATTATTCACTTGTTGAAGTTGTAAAAAGACAAATCAATTTATTGATTAGGCTTTATTTGTAAGAATATCTTGTGGATACCCTACTGTAATTAGATTTTTTTTGGTTCAAGTGAAAGGTTGATGTAAAAAGGTAATTGAATACTTACATCTGATTTTAACCATTCACAAACATGTGAAAACTTCTGAAGCCTTTCAGGTTCCTTTACTTGCAAACCATAACTAATAATAGGTCTAAGTTTATTTGGTATTCTTGCATTACTAATACTCAAGGATGTGAAGTTTTCAACAACATTGGTTTTGATTTCATGAGCTTCAAGTCCAGCCCATGGTATTTTACCTTGAGTATCATATACAATACAGAATATTATTATATAATTAACTTTTTGAAACATGATTTACTACATAATGAAATTGTTGTTTGGAAAAAGATTTATTTAATTGTGTAATCTTTACCTGAGAAAAGTTCCCAAACCATGCAGCAGTAGCCATAAATATCTGAACTGAAACGCGGGGCTTGTCCCACTATGAGTTCAGGTGCCATCCAATTATAAAGGTGCCAACTGTGAGCTACTGAGGAGACAGGGCTTGGTTTACCTAAGTCTGCTTTGCTGCTGCAGTTTAAAAAAAACAAAACATCCCTATTAAAAAATCAAGAAGTTAATCTTAGAACAATGTACCCAAACAAAGCAAAAAAAATTCCCATCTACCTATTAGATTAATTGGCAAACTCAAAATCATAACTAACCTTTCAACCATGTATTCAAAGTTACCAACTTTAACTAAAGTTTCAGAAACCAAATACACAGCATAAGAAGAGAGACCACAGTGAATTAAAGACTGATTGTGAATAAACTCCATAGCGGCACAAACATGCTTTATAATAGTCATTTGCATGTAATACTGAATATGATGTCCCTGAAAAAGAAATATACAATTACATATGTTTTGTGTCAATCTTTTCAAATTTATTAAGATTCAACAAACAACCTTACCCAACCCTTGAGGAGTCTTCCAAAATGGGGCGGGGGGGGGGGGGGGGGGGGGGGGGGGGAAGAGAAATCTCAATGAAAAGCCTTATGGTGAGCTTCTAAAGTTTAGTAGGACATTGCATGAAAGAACAAAAACTACAAAAGGAAAATCTGAATAATAAACCAGCAGAGATTTTCAATCTAAACAGCAACAAATACTCCTAGTAGTAATCAAACAGCAGTGTCACACATTTCTCTAAACATCACCAAATGGTAATTGTTTTTTAATTATCTATTATGCACACTTTACTCAACTGACTCATTCCAAATTTTGGAAGAATTTCAAGCTACTGTCATTTAAATAGCAATACTCTGATTTCAACATAAGTCAAGCAGAAATACTAGTTTAAAATCTCTCCACACACATACACTTTCAATCAGTTAATCAATCATCTCTAAACTCTTATTGGGGTTGTTGGGGCTCAACAGTTGATTTCCTCATAATTTCCTGCCATCTATCTCTAACCTCTGCTTCTCTGAGAAGTTGTGACTGGGAGCCAAGTCCAATTTTTTTTATGTCCTCCATCAAGTGATATCTTTGCCTTCCCCTTCTTCACCCTTCTAACAGTGCCCTGCATTTTTTTGGATGGGCTGTTGGTTTGTGTGACATGCCCATACCATCTTAATTTTTTTTTTTTTGACTATGCTCAGCAGACTCCCAAAGGAACCAATCACATTAGTGTTCCTTTTACAGAGTTCTTTACTATGCACTTTACAGAGCATTTATCAAACAAATTTTATTGTTTAGGGGTGAATTTTATGATAACCATATATTGTAATTTTTAAAATTATTTAAATAAATAAAAACTAATTATTATGATATATCCAAAACTGTTATTGGGTGAGATACTTACTGATTTGTGTAAATAATGGTACAAATTAGATGACTCTACATGCTCAAATACCAGCATCATACTGTCAAAACAGATAGATTGACAAATTCCCATTAGGAGTAAGATGTTCGGATGTCTTATTTTCCTAGTAGTAACAAAAGATAGAAGCCAAAAAATTGCAATATTAATAATTTAAATCATTGGATGGTGGTTGATTATATAACTTTTTAGAGCAATTTTTGAAAATAGTGTCTAAAACGACAACTTTAAGGAGAGGTGAGAAACATATAAAAGATATGTTACAATTATCTGCATAAACCGTTGATATAAAATAATGACTTTAAGAAATAGAGTGGTAATTATAAGAAAAGGAAATAATGTAAGACTTAAAAAATCACTTGGAAGAAGATTAGCAGTAAAGGAGATGAACGATGCAGGAATTACATTGCCTGAGGTAAAGAAAGATTCTGAAAATCATGTATGTGTGGTCTAAAAATATGATGAAATATTTGCAACAGTAATACACTAGTCAACAAACATCAACAAAATATAACTGTTGTAAGGAAAACACAATTACCCTGAATATTCAGCATCTGTTATCAGAAGATCAAGACCTTCTTCCCCTTGAACGTCAGTCTTTTTTTGCTTGACTGTTACCAACATTGTGACCCAGTGCATTCTGAAACAAAATGTAAAGAATAAGCAACAATACAATTTTAGAAACTAAATTTAAAATTTTAAAAATATCTAAAATTACCAAAAGAACAGAATGGTAAACACACATTATTAGAAACATTGGATTTTTAAGGCAAAATTGTCATACTTTATAACATCTTTCATAAATCACTCATTTGGCTAGGAAAATTAGCACCTTCTTTAAGACTGTTAAGCCACCATAATAAATTGAATACCCATTCACATTTTATTCTATAATAACACTTAAAGTAAAATAAATTTCAAACAGGAGTAGGCTGAGACTCACTCCTCCATAAATGTGCCATATCCACAGTCAAATCGTGTAGCCCTGACAACATGCAGGACATTTTCGCTGATTAGAGGTATCACTGAAATAATGCCTCCAGAGTTATCATTGCCTAAATAAACCTAAAGGGGGAAAAAAAGAGAAAGATACAACTGGAAATTAGTTCCTCATTTTCTTAAAACACTCTATGAGTTGGCCTAAATATTTATTCTATTCAACAGCTGCTAAGAAACAGCATTTTTTGGATTAACATCTGTTTTAAATGTAATTCCTTCAGGCTATTTTATTTTATTTTAGATTTTACAGGTATTTTTTTTCAAAAGCTACTTGAATCACGAGTGCACATTATACATGTCTCAGAGAGTTCTAAGCCAGCAAATGCATTGAAGACCCTAAAATAATACCAACCTTTCCAAATCCCATACTGTGTACTCTTTTGAGATTTTCAAAGCTTGTATCACTACCTGTTCTTATCTTCATAATTTCCATTATTGATGTCTGTTTCTGTGGTCTGTAAAACAGAACCGTTTCAATTCAAGACAAATTGAAGAGCATTTTCATATCAAGTAAAAATTAATAACAATTATTCCAAGATTTTTATTGAAAGGTACTAAATGGATTTTTAGGGTTATACTTAGTATTTAGGATTAAAACTGTTTTTTGAGCTACATGAAAAATTGGGCAATATGATTATGAAAAGAATATAACAAGTTGCAGTGTTTAATAAACAATAGTTCATTTTTTGAAAAAGTATGAAAATAATGCAAATCAAATTGTAATATAGACTAGAAATAATACCAGAAAAAAAGAGCAATGTTATGGAACCAATAGCAGTAAAATAACACCAGGAAATAATCCAGCTATACAAGTATTTTAAAAAATTTCACCTTCTAGCATATTTAGTAAATGTATCAACGTTTACAGCATCCCCACTATATGCCATAGCATAAAAGTGAGTTTTGTCCAAAAACTGCAACATTCGTAGTCGTGTTTTTCCATCTTTGTTCATATTGGCCCAATCTCTCATGCTGTTTCCATCATTGTCATGAAGTCTGAGATCCCCACCAGCCTCAATTAACTTCCCAACAAGTCTAACATTGCCCACATAGCAAGCAGCATGTGTTGGTGTAATGCCATCTTGACTTTTTCTGAATTTAATTTTTTTAAAAAGCAGTTTAAAAAGAAAATGTGAAAGGATGAAAAAAATAATTTTAAAATTGATGATAAAGAATGATCACAGTGTAACAGAAAAAATATAACTCTTTATTTCATTTTCATGTGCCTATGAATTAACATTAAGTTACAAATGGACCAAAAATAGTCTTGATCCAGTTTAAAAAGGGTTATAAACATTAATATTTGTCCAAGTAAATAGTTATTATAGTTATTATAATAACTTACTAAGAAACTATTCCAATTCACGATAAAAAACATAGCAACATACTCATTTGGGTTTGCACCATACTGTAGTAAGAGAAAAGCTGTGGATTCATTGTTTCTAGAGCATGCACAAAATAAGGGTGTCTGACCTTTATCATTTGGATAATCCACGTAAATAGCTATATTTAAGAATTGAAAAAATATATAAAAACAACATAAAACAAACACCTGGTCTTAAAAATCATTACAATCAAAATACTCACACTAAAAAAAGAATCAAACAAAATAATGTATTGCATGCAGTTAATATACTTAGGATGTATTTTTAATAATAATGTATGTACAGGAAAAATATCTTAATATTTATGTTATATTTAAAATTGATTAAAAACATTGCTTTTTTCATTCATTCCGGAATAAATATGGACACTTAAAATATAAAACTTAGTACATGAACTCGTCCCACTTTTTATAAATTAATTATTTTTACAAATGTAGCTTATTTTTTTTCTACATTTTAAATGTTACCAGAGTGTAACACTTTTTTTAAAGAACGTCTAGTTCCTGATACTGCTTCTTTATGAAGGGAGATTCCTAAAGCATCTGTTTCTTCTAGGTTCCCAAGCGGAATCAGTCTAGGATATTGCTGAAATTTAAGTCATTGAAACGTTATATACATTTCAAAATTCAATTAGGAAAAGTATGCACTATATCACAGCTATATATTTTTGCACTTTGTCATCTCAGTGTTAGGACACAAGTCAAATATAGGGATTAACAATTATTACATACCCAAGATAAAGAGCGCCTTTCAAAGATTCCTCGCACCTGCTCAATAATTTTTTTTGTTCTTGCTGACATTTCTGTTATCCTCTTTTCATGGCCTATAAATTTAATAAAAAGCTTTTTAATACTGGATCATTAAACTGTAATTTTATTTCTTTTATTAGTCATTTACTGAAATATAAAGAAATAACACACTAAGTCATCATTAAAATAACTTGATTTGAGAACAACTACAAAACAAAACTCAGTTTCGAGAGAAGCAGTAGCAGTCGGTATGTCATGGACCCAACTTGGAGGAATTGCCCAAAGTATGATGGAGAGGTGTGGATGTGTCCCTATGCTCCACAGAAATGATGATGATAATGACAAAACAAAATGATCACATTGTGTTGTTAAAGTACAGTTAAAGGAATCTGTAAACTTGTTTTAATGCTAAACTCTGTTGTAGTTAAAATTTTAAATATTTAAAAAATGAACATTAATAATTTAATAAATTATATTTATAATATTAAATTTTTTTATTATTATATTTATATAATAAATACTTAATACAATGATTAAGAATAAGAGTAAAAAAAAGTTAAGAGTTAGTGTATCAGTGTAATCATTTATAATTTTTGTAGTGTGGAAAGGATGAGAATTTTTAAAACACTAGATTAGATCTAGATTCTAGATCTAGAGAGTAGAGGAAGAGAGTCTACATAATTTTTTGTTACAAAAATAATTTTAATTTTTAATTTGTAGGATAGATCTCTACTCTAAAATAATTTATGTATTCCTTTTAGCCTTTTACTAAATATACATACCTAAATTAGATTTAACAGCAGATCTAATCTAGATCTAATAATAATTAGTATTAGAATAGATCTAGAGATCTAGCATCTTGAAATCTATTTTTTTAGACTAGTCTAGATCTAGAGAATCTAGATGAATTGTATGCTTTACAAAATTTCGTATGATAGGGCGGCAAAAAGTTGTTTCAATACCAAATGCCACGCTTGAATAGCATTCCAAATTGATCAGTGGTTCTTAACCTTTTTTGAGGTACAGAACTCCACTAGTTTTTTTATGCACATTCACCGAACCCTTCTTAATAGTTTTATTGTCTGGGCTGACAAAATCCGATAGCAAATTATACCTGTTGGTATAATATATCTCTAAGACTGACACAACCAAACCCCCTGGGGTCCAATCGAACTCAGATAAAGAACCACTTATCTAGATTCTGGTTACAGTAAGGCACAGAATAGTTGTGGAAATAGGGGGAACTTATAGTTAAGAAGACCACCTAGGCTTAATTAATAACTAGCTGCATACCCGTGCTCCGCCACGGTAAATCTTCTTTAAATGTATTATCTTGGGAACAGATATTTAATGATTTGTTATACGATAGTGCTACACTCGCATATCCCCTCAAAGCAATTAAAGCAAAATGAATAAGCAGCTGACTGCATCATTATCTTTCTATAAGGAGTGTGTAAAAAAAAATTGGCGCAATTGTAATCTTTTAGTCTTTATGTTTTTTTGGAAGGGTTCTGATAGAGTTTAATTTTTAATGAGAATTCAATACATTAAAATAACAGACGACCATAAAATATACCTTACGACACATAAACAGCAATCTGAAAAAAATTCAACACTGTACCGACCCACACCTGACTCATTCTCATAGCCCAGGGATCGGCAACCTTTTGATACGCAACAGCCAAAAGTTACAATTTACAAAATTTCCGTTTTTAAAGAGCCACAATTTTAGTTCAATATTTTGGTATTTGATTAGGATTAGGTAAATAAATTTGATTTGTTATTTAAAATAAATAGCTTTAAATAAGAAATAATATTTATTCATATAAAACATAGACATGTTTTGACAGAATAGTAAAATTAGTAATCAAATAATATTATTCTAAGACTAACTCAATCCACTTTAGAAGCTGTTAATTTTTTTTTTTTTCTTTACGGATATCACCGGCTCAGGGGGTGTCTCCCATTAGCCAGTCAGGCCTCAACACGGCAAACGCCGACTAACTGGTTTGGATATCGGTTTGAATAACTTGCATCGTACGCTTCTATCCTTTGCCTTTGGTTCTCACCAGGCTTATCTTCCATCCCACTGAACGCAGGGTAAAGTCTTACCCCACCGTCCAGTAAAAATGAAATTATATATTATATAACTATTAATATTTGTGCAAGGAGCATCTAGACCTCAATAGAGCCGCATGCAGCTCCCGAGCCGCAGGTTGTCGACCCCTGTCCTTGTCCTAGCCGCATCAACCCGCAAGCACCACTCGTACACGGCACATCACTGTATTATCCAAACGGCTGCATCTATAATGTTTTTTATGCTGATATAGCAACCAAAACCGTAACTCATAAACCTCTCTAAAATTTAATTTTACATATCAAACAATATATTCCTCAATATAACATTTTTAAAAATGGCGCAACGCTCTAACTGATGTCTGCCGAGATTTCTCTTCTCCCCTTCCCCGTGGTGTAATGTAAACCGCCGACGTACATCACGTATTAAACCACATACATTCAATTTAACTTTAGCCATTTCGTAGATTTTAATAATTTAATTATTTAGCGTGAGTTTAATTTATTTTTAAATTAACTCCCTTGTCAACATTAGAAAAAAAAGAGTTTAATTAATTGGATTTTTCTAATCTACTGTTATTATGATATTAAAATGTATCCCTTTTTTTCTGAGAATCTAAACGAAAATGATATTTGACATTGTTGTGTCTCACATATTTTGTACACATTTAATGTTCTGTAAATTTTAAATAGGCCATGCCTAGTTTTTTTTATGACTTACAACATGCAGACTTAGACAAGCAGAGCGCCTGGCCTTTTTCCTTTTTGTAACAATATCACTCCACATTAGCGTCTGCACTTCTGCAGTTAGTGTCATACCTACTAGATTTGGACCGTCAATTTTCATTGAACAAGTGTAACATTTGCTTGAGGTATTAGATTTATTAATAGTAGCATCAATCAGCTTTTCTATAACTAGCGTATCCGTCTCGCGTTGCTAAAGCGATCTTGTCATACACTGGGTGATGGAACATTTTAGGCTATATATATAGGGTTTCATCAACACGTTGCTAATGGTGTATGTTTAGACGTGTGACCTTTTTTCTAAAAATAAACTATTTACATGTAAAGGGGTCGTCCATAAATGACGTCACACTCGAAGGGGGGGGGGGGGAGGGGGTCCGTAATTTTGTGACGGTGTGTGATGAGGGGGAGTGGGTGCGACGTCATACTTTTGCATTATAAAAAAGCAATGTTAGAAAACGAATTTTAGACGTTTCGCGTTTTAGAAAACTGTTTTAATAAATTGTTATAGGAATTGATTAAAATATCGATGTTTTAAAAAAAAATTCAACTGCAATTTTTAGGGGGGTTGTAGGCTGAGGTGTGACGTCATTTTAGGGGGGGGGGGGTCTGGCTTTTTGTGACGACGTGTGACGGAGGGGAGGGGGGGGGGGGTAAAAATCGTCCAAAAAAGCGTGACGTCATTTATGGATGACCCCAAACATATCCTGCGCTATATTTCTTGTATCTTAGTTGTTGGGGCGCGGGTTTGTGCACACTACCTCCCAAACGCCACAAGAAGATGTGCTGTATAAAAGCCTTGGTACACGCTAATCATTCTCCGTAATAGCGAGATAGAACACCTCCCTGTGCCAGATCGTCCCGGGGAGCCATATATTACACTACCACATGGGCACTGGATGCGATCGCTCGTTTGGTTCGGCCTTCTAATGTAGTTGCCCGACGTGTCTATAGTGTAGGGTGCTCTTTAAACCGAATAAAGGCGTCATAGTGCTAAAAGGGGGAGGCGGGGTGCTCCGGGTCACTCTACCACAGGAGGACGCCCAAGTTACTGTTTAACAATATATTTAAGCACTACCCTTGACTCCCCCCCCCCCCCCCCGCCATGCAGGGCGCTTGGAAACTCGGGGCACCCATCTGTATTCTAGCGCCGTACTACTACCCTATTTCGATTTAATTAATGATAGTGTATGACGCTATTTAAAACAAAAGTAGGCGTCATAGTGTTCATACGACCCGGACCTCTAGGTGCCGGATGACGCCCGTTGCTGGATGTAGTCCATCGTTTCCCTAGTAAACGGCGCTATTTAAAATGAATTTAGGCTCTCTAGTGCTCATGTGGAAGGCCGGGGCTGCGGGGCACACGACAGCTGTGGCCCTGGTAAACGTGGCTGGTTCGATTTAGTCAACGATTACTGTAGTCCATCATATCCATAGATTATATGGCGCTCTTTAAAATGAAAACACCGGGCAGATGAAGCTCGATAGTTGTGGACAGCAATCCGTCTTGGAGAGAAAATTACTGCCTTATAGTTTGTTATGGGTTGGACAAAGGTCATGGGAGCAAATCCAGGCTGAAATCGGAATCAATGGCCTATATAGGTGCATAACAGGTTGACACCTAACAATAGTGTTGGAGGAAATCCTTTTACAAAATTACAATAAAGAACATAGAAAAAGAAAATGAATGTAGGCGCCATATTGCTCATGGATGCGCTTGGTACAGTTTGAATTAATTAGTACCCATGACCCTATGTACTGAGCATGTACAGGACGTTTAATCAACGGATCCCAATGATAGCCGCTGTGGAACTTTGCATGCAAAACCGCATCCTACCACCGGGGCGCCGCCCCTGTGACGCTTAATTTTTTTAATGGCAGAAACCATCCCAGGGATACTCCTACCAACTTTCCAAAGTTTCATTGCGATCGGTTGAACGGTGTCGTATCGTAATAAAGACCTACAGACACACAGACACAGACACAGACACACACACACACACATATATATATATATATATATATATATATATATATATATATATATATATATATATATATATATATATATATATATATATATATATATATATATATATATATATATATATATATATATATATGGATGAAAAATTGATATTCCGCCCCCTGCTCCTAAAGGGGTATCAACGCCTCTGATCGGGAGATGGTTAGACATAGTGTGACACGTTGTGTGTGAAAAAAATCCATGATAAAATAAAAATAAATGATTCTTCTTAGCAGTAAAATATGTGAAAATATAGGAATATAGGTCTACTTTACCGAATGCATTCCTTCCTCTCAATATAGATTTTCGATGTAAGTCTGTTTTTTTCTTCTCTTTATAGAATAAGCTTGGAAATTGGCCCGATAGTTTTTAATAGGTTATTGTATTGTTTCATTTTGCTAGCACCAAATGCAAATAAAATAAAGAACTGACAAATAATGAACGTTTTGAAGTTATGGGTCACACTTCTTAGGGTAAAGGGTGGTGAGGGGGGGGGGGTTCGAATTTTGTGATGATGTAGGATACGTCACGGGGTGTGTGGACGTCACACGTTTTTTTTTTTTTTTTTATTTCAAACTGGATTTTAGTAGTTATTTCGCGTTTATAAAGACTTTTTTGTGTGTGTTAATTGTTTGCAATAAAAAACGAACCAAAAAATCTAGTGCTTGCCCAATACATTAATATTTTATAAAGAAATAGCCGTTTAAAAAAATACGAGTGTAGCACACACTGAAGTGTGGCGTCATTTTATGGGTAAGGGTGTGGGAACTGAGGTTTTTTGCCTACGTGTGACGATGGGAAGAATATGCGCCTTATATATATATATATTGAGATATTAGACAAAATGGTGAATACTGGGATAATTTTCTTTGAACTTTTTGAACACTTTTTAGCGCAATTTCCATTCTGGAGAATTGCGTTTATTAACCCGTCATTTCTGGATGTATGAATGTATGAATGAATGGATGGATGGATGGATGGATGTATGTGTGTCCGCAGCTTTAAGTCGTATCTCCTCCTCAACGAAGCAATATCGATGACTAGTTCCAAAAGCAATTATGTTAAGCAAGTTACGAGGATGAACATAGGCCATAAAAATTCCGGGTTTCTTTCATGGATTTCCCGGAAAAGCCAAAAAACCTCAAAAAAAGCAGTTTTTGGCCCATATCTCGGCAACCAGACCACTTAGCGACTTGAAACATGTACCAATCGATTCCTGACATAATTTAGAACAATATTGCCGAAGAAAGTTTTCAAAAATATCCTTTCGTTTGGTCACAAACATTTTTTTGAATTAATTAAAATTTGGACCGAATTAGTAAGCATATTTATCCAACCACACCACACGCGTCATCACGTTCAATAGCTGCGCCATCACGTTCAATGGCTGCGTCATCACATTCAGTAGGCGCGCAATGGTTTTTAGTCATGTAACTTTATTGTAAATAAAACATGTAAAATACTGAAAAAAAAGAAAAAAAAAAAAACGTTTTAATAACTAACCAATGGTTTTACTAACCCTGCTATTGATTTACGCTACGACAGTGCTATTTTTAGATAACATAAGGAAATTTCGCTTAAATGTCACTAGACTTTTTAATTAACTTGTTTAAGAATCGATGTTGAATCAAATTAGCTAAACCAATTTTTTTTGTCAATGCTTACAAATATAATTAAACGAGTGCTAACAACAAGTGTTTCTTCCAGGTATTCCTTCGGGGAGTGGGGGGAGGGGTCAAGAATATCTCCCCCCCCCCTCCCGAACGAAATAGAATTTATATAAAAAATATACCAGTGTCGCCCCCCCCCCCCCCGAAAATATAAAGTGCCCCCCCTCCCCGGAGAAAAAGTCTGAAAGAAACACCGCATAGGGTACTACGAAAGCCTCATGTATAAGCAGACGTGGGTAGAGGCTAGTGCAATGTGCACAAGGACATGCGGTCAGTGGGTGAGCAATGATCGCGAGGTGGAATGTGGAGGGGATTAACAAAACCACAACTCAAAAAAAAAAAATGCACGCAGCGCTTCTTCCACCTGCTGTTACGTCGCCCAATTAATTTATTTTCTGCTTCAACCGATCGATAACAGACATTTGGTTTAAAAATAAAATTATCTTTTTAATGAATGTGCTTAGATCTAGGCCTACAAGTAAGAGAAGAGCAGATGCTGAGCGTTTGTCTCAACCCACTTAGTATTAGTAGGTCAAAAAGAATTAGGCTGTCTGCAAAGCAAAGGAAGCGCTATTTATTTCCTGCAGTCGCTGCAACTTACTTATCTACTACGAGCTGACCCGCGCCCTTTTATTTCCCCTACCCCATCCCCCCCACCCCGTGAAAGCAGTTTACGGACGACAATGAAAAGATCAAGCAGAACTTCTTACCCCAAATAGCCGTTACTTATTCGATCAGGCTCTACGATAAACATTCGGGGTGAACCTTAGCTCACCAGAATGGTGGAGGTGGGGGTGGTAGCTATATCAGAGGCGTAGCGACCCTTCCCGGCGACCGGGGCGAACTTTCAATTTATATATATACGAGCTGACCCGCGACGTAGCATACGCCGCTATTTAATTTAATTCCTATTTTTAGCGCAATTTCCATTCTGGAGAATTGCGTTTATTAACCCGTCATTTCTGGATGCATGAATGTATGGATGGATGTATATGTGTCCGCAGCTTTAAGTCGTATCTCCTCCTCAACGAAGCAATATCGATGACTAGTTCCAAAAGCAATTATGTTAAGCAAGTTACGAGGATGAACATAGGCCATAAAAATTCCGGGTTTCTTTCATGGATTTCCCGGAAAAGCCAAAAAACCTCGAAAAAAGCAGTTTTTGGCCCATATCTCGGCAACCAGACAACTTAGCGACTTGAAACATGTACCAATCGATTCCTGTCATAATTTAGAACAATATTGCCGAAGAAAGTTTTCAAAAATATCCTTTCGTTCGGTCACAAAATTATTTTTTAATTAATTAAAATTTAGTAGGCATGTTTATCCAACCACACCACACGCGTCATCACGTTCAATAGCTGCGCCATCACGTTCAATGGCTGCGTCATCACGTTCAGTCGCTAGGCGCGCAATGGTTTTTAGTTATGTAACTCTATTGTAAATAAAACATGTAAAATACTGAAAAAAAAATTAATAAAAAATGTTTTAATAACTAACCAATGGTTTTACTAACCCTGCTCTTGATTTACGCTACGACAGAGCTATTTTTAGATAACATAAGGAAATTGCGCTAAAATTGTCACTAGACTTTTTAATTACCTTGTTTTTCAGTAATTCATAATTTGTAAATTCGACACTACCAATGCTGCGACTGAAAATATTTTGCTTTATTTAAAACACTATCAGTAGCTAGTGAAGGACGATTCATCACCCTCACTTTCCACTCCTCTCTCCCCCCCCCCCCCCCACTCCGCCTCCATGAAACTGAAAGCAGCCGTCTGTGACGACAGTTTACAGGCGACAACGAAAAGACCAAGCAGAACATGTTATTATCTCCCCTTAGTTTCAAATCGTTTAAAAAACTAAATTATCTACCCCTAATAGTGGTCACTACGTTTGTAAACAGCTCACCAGACTGGTGGGGGTGGGGGTGGTGTCTCGCATGGTCCCAATAAAGAGAATTATATATAGATATATAGATTCTACTTTTCATATAATTCATATTTACAGAGTTTCTTCCAGGCATCTCTTCCGCCCCCCCCCCCCCCCCCGAAGAAAGTCTACCCCCCCCCCGAAAATATGAATATATATGTGTGTATGTGTGTATTTGTGTGTGTGTGTGAGAGAGAGAGAGAGAGGGAGAGATAAAACCCGGACAAGACTTTCAATAATTACCAACACTTACATCGATGCCAAATGTATTTCTTTTTTTAAATGCTTTACCCTTTAGAAAAGTAATATCGACAAAAATCAGTGTGCCTGGCTGAGTTTAGAATGTAGCTTGTGGCAGGTGCAATTTAATCTAGATCTAGTCCCATTTTAAATGTTCTGTTTGTGGAGAAATTTAACCCAGGATCTTCAGGACGCTCTTTAAAACGATTGTAGGTGCCACAGTGCTCACTTGATGGAGGAGACAGAGAGTAACTGACAGCGTAGAACGAAATAAGAGAAATGATAAGGTGGTGGGTAGAGCATACCTTCAGAAAGACTGTCATTTCACCTATAGGCAGGTGTTGGTGTAGAAACCACAGGGGAAAAGGAAGGGGGGGAGACCAAAAACTCTTTGAAGAAAATCGTTCGAAAGAAAGATGGGGGAGGCTGGGTTGTATGGACTTGAGCTTAAACAAAAAAAACTCAAGGTAGTTAATGAAGTGTTACTTATCTGTTACTCACATCTATTTAATCAAAAAGAAAAATGGGATACCACTACCAGCAATCATATTAAAAAAGAATGCAGCTTAGAATGAGATTTTTATATTTTTATCACGTTTGCCGTAGGTTGAGGTGTGACGTCATTTTAGGGTATGGGGTCTGGATTTTTGTGACGACGTGTGACGGAGGGGAGGGGGAGGTAAAAATCGTCAAAAAAGCGTGACGTCATTTATGGATGACCCCATAGCAATCGAATGATTGGTGTTGTAAGGGGGTCATCCATAAATGACGTCACGCTTTTTTGACAATTTTTTTTGGACAAATTCTAACATTGCTTTTTCAAAATGCAAAAGTGTGACGCCACACAATCTGAACCCCCCCCCCTCCCCCATCACAAAATTACGGACTTCCCTCGGCCCACTAGTCCACTACGAGTTTGACGTCATTTATGGACGACCACTAATGCATAAAATACATTCTTTCATTTCTACATAGGCTTCTAGATTTTTGTATGCATTTAATTAAAAAAAAAGCTTTATATTTATATTAGGCCTATATTTACTTATCTCGTACATGCCTTTGCATAATTTTAACAAGGATTTTTAAAAGGATTAATTATCCATAAAACAATAAATACATTGTAGTATGATTGTAGGGCTTAGACTATAACAATAGGCTTATTTAGTTCATATCCACTTCATTCTGTCCCGCCCTTCCCCAACCTATTACGGCTTCTTTGGCTTTGAAAAAAAAGTTAGTTGAGAATGAGTGACAGCGGTTATTGTTAAAAGACAGTAGATCTAGATTCTAGTCGAGATCTATCTAGATCAAGGTTTTGCTATTGAGTAGTCACTTCAGATATAGAAAAATATGTTAGTATCTTTTTAGTACCTTTTGTGTCAGTTGAGAAGGAAAAAGTAATCGCTAATTGCCAGAACAAATTCTGATAATGTGACAGCAAGCAACATCCAAAAATGCTATATTTCTGAATTTCATGTTATGAGTGATGTACTTTCTATCTTTACGTACTGTGTACTAAAAATTAAAGTGGTAAGAAATAATAATGTTAGCCTAAATTAAAAATATATGTCGTGGTCTAGACATTTAGAATCTGGATCAATTATTTGAAGGGGATTGCTGGTTGATCAAAATTAAAAAAAAAAACCACTGTGTGAGTGACACACTTTTCTGACTTCTCAACTAAGTCAACTGGAACTCCTGTTTCACGCTCATCATCATCATGCATTGATTAAATTTAAATTAAATCAATGACACCAATCATAGACATAGATTCAAATAAAGTAAAGTTCTTAGATTCTAGACTTTAGTTCTGTAAGTCACTGACAGTTACTCAGATTCCGTGGTCACCCAATTTGCCAATTTTATCAAACTATTGGAAAATTAAATTAGGCCAAACAACCGAAAACAAAATCCACAATTTTTTTCCAGAGCACAATAAATTAATAATGAGATCTGGCGAGACTAACAAAATTTTCATTAATAACAATAACAAACCCACCCTTTTAGTGTCAAAAAAACTATTATGCAACAACCCAAAGATTAGGGTCAGGGATCACTTATGAGCAGCAGATTGACAACATACTACTACTACTAGACTTATGCTATTAAATACATAAATACATATGTTTAGAATTTGAAAATATATTGCTATTCATGTACATGTACTAACATAAAATTAACATGTTACATTAGTTACACTGAATTGATGTTTATAAAACAAGCTTTGAATGACCATTACTATTATATTCAGAACCCTTCTCTCATTGTAAGAGTTTGTTCTTTGACATTTGAAAAAAAGATTCTTTAACTCATCATGCAAAACATAACAATTAAAAGCATACTTTGAGTGCATTTGTGGTAATTCATGATCATTTATACAACTAAACTTAAGTAAGTGAACCCTAGTTTGTTTACATTACATAACCATTCAGAGACTAGAACATTTTTTGTGTCTTGAGTTTGTTTAGCTTTTGAAAATATTAATAACTCACACTCCATTAAAATCCTTTTTAAATGTCCCCTTTTAGAGTTTTCTGAGCTGATGATGTTTTCAAAGTAATATAATCTATGTATATAAAAATGAAAGTACGTTTGTGGGTATGTGGATTTGTCCTTTATGCATTACTACATCTTTATCCCATCACCATGAAACTGTGATTTTTCTCTTTATACGGTTTATACAAAGTAAAAGTCGTTCATCCAAGTGCCATGAAACTTTTGGGAGTTGATGAAATTACTCCCGAGAAGGATTTTGCAAAATATGAAATTAAAATTTGTTATGGGTGCCGCCCGGGAGGGTGCAATGTTTGTTATGAATGGTTTTGGCGCCACAGGATGGTTTTGGCGCCCCAGGCTTTCCCTTGAGTGAAATGTTTTAAAAAGTACCCTACAATATTGACACTGTGGCACACAACATTCGATGATTAAATTGAGCCAGGGGCCGTATGCTGTGCCCCTGTGGTAGTGTAACTGGGTTCCCAAGAGCACCCCTCTACACCTTTGACACCTGAGCGGTTGCCGAAGTGTGTTCTACCTCACTATTGCAGAGAATAACGTACACTCAAGGCCATCATAAAGCACCCTCTGGGGTGTGCTGGGCGGTAGTGTGGACAAACCCGTGCCCTGACAAATATGACCCAAGAAATATAGCGCCGGCATTGTTTACATTTAAATAACTCAGTTTTATAAAACAAGGTCACACGGCATAGAATATAGGATTATTTTGTCAGACTTTCTTCTGAAACCGCAGCAAGGTATGGGAACGGGCACAGTATTAATACAAATCAATAGTTATGTATGTCAAACATATTAAAGTATAACAATTTGTAGATTACTTCTATAATTTTTGTTGAAAATAGTAATGACTAAATAAACAGAAAAAATAAACCAACTTAAATGATAACACTAGCTATAATAGATTACTTCCATTAAAATACATTATGTTATGATTTAGCAGTTGTGACATAAGTTTAACTATGATGTCATATAAGTGCTAATTATTAGTATTTATTTAATTTAGTAATCACACTTTTAACATTTTAAATTCCCAGCAATTATCTCGGAGTTTATAGATGATGTTGTTTGTCACCATAATTTGACCAAAAAATAATCACCTTAAAGAATGGCTGATTCATCAAGACAAAGTCGATTAGCTCGTATTAAACCATATTTAGTAGATCTAAGGTAAGATTTAAAAGCTCTTTTAAAGTTTATAGTTCTACTGTTTATGTGATTGCTTATAATATTCACTATAGATCATAGTATAAGATTTCTTTGGGCTGATTGTCCAAATTCAGGTGAATTTACAGAATTAAAATAGAAAGTTGGTCTACTAGATTTATGTTAATTTGATAAATTAGATTACTACATGGGGTGAGGGAATGAAGAGAAGCACACTTGTATTAGACTTATCCGTCTAGGACATTACCCCTCCCACTTTGTCATTTGCTCCCCATAGGAATTAACTCTTATCAATTATGCTCTTGTCAGTTATCTTATGGTCATTACCCCCTCTGTTGAATACTTTTATGTTTTATCTGTAAAATAGTTAAATAAACCATATTTCATACTTTAGAAAACTGCAGAATAAAAAACAGGGTCACCTAATTGCAGAATATACTTATTCACTATGGTTTGTTCCCTCCTAAAAGATTCATCATCATCTTTTCTCATTTGTGTCCAAGACACATGGGGCATATGAAGTAGATTAATCTGTTTCAAAGACTTCAGCATACAGAGGGAAAGTGTGTTCAGCACTCACTATATGAGTCAGGTGCCCATCTGACTTGAGCTTAGATTCTGAAGTTGAGAGCTGCGAGTTAGCTGTCATAAGCTCTACCTTCCAAACACAATGCCCCTTCTAAAACATTTCCTAACTTTCTTGTGTCCTGCTTCCTATAATATAAATGTGTATTTAAATAATAATAATTTTCTTTCTACAGAAAGAAGGAGGGTTTACGCACTAATAATAAGGTATAGTTTTTTAAATTTTAATTGTACTATGTTTATTACTGTGTTCCTTTTAGTTAAACAGCATTGTGATTCGTTTAGTGTAAAATATATCTGTATTAAGTTACAAATAATGAATTATTTGCATCCTTAATAGTTATAAAGCATTTTGAAATTTTGCAGCCTAATCTTCTAATGCTAATGCAAGATTTGAAGGATGAAGGTAACACGCTGTTTAAAGAATCGAAGTATGTAGATGCATGGGAGTACTACCATCATGCTTTATTTTTAGCGAGTCAGTTGGAAAAAACTTTTTATCACAGTGTGGAAAAAGACTTTTTAGCCACGCTGTATTGTAATGCATCACTTTGCTGTATAAAAACAGTAAGTATATGTCCCTCTTTTAAAAAAACGTTTTATTATAATTTAAATTCAAATAAAGCATTTTAATAATTTCTTTCAAAATGTTGAAGATATTTTACAATAGCAGGCTTCTGATTCTGTATGACCTATTTTAATTACGTTAATTAACCATTTCTTTTTATTTTAAAGTTAATTAATTTTAGCTAATTTCTTTTTTCAAACAAGGACAATTATGTTGATGCTCTAAAAGATGCTGATAAAGGTATGTGTCTAATCATTAACTTTAATTAATTAATTAATGAATAAACACAATTGTAATAGCTACAATTTTTATACGGTATTAGCAATTTATTAATTAACTTTTCTAAAAACTGTGGCTTATCCACAGCAAATATGGTTCCTAACATGTGTGTTACTTTTTTCATACTTCTCATAGCTATAAATTACAGTACTAATACAAATATTTCCACCTAGAACAATTTTGTAGAATAAGTTTTAAAAAAACTCAGTAATTTAAAAAAATTATCATGTCAGTTTAAGATACTTAATACAGCACCTGATTCTGAGTCTCTAATTCAGCTTTGCAGTATCAAGGCTACAATATAAAAGCTATGTACCGTAAAAGTCTAGCCTTAAAAGAATTAGGAAACTACAAAGACGCATTAAAACAGGCCAAGAGAGGAAAAGAAATAGATCCTAAGGTTAGTTTTTGTTGTTTGCTATGTTGTGACTGCTGTAATTCTACCATTATAAACTGTTCTTTGTTGCTCCATACTTTTAGTAACACAATTTATAATTCAAAATTGGTATGATATAATCCAACATTAACCCCTAACCCTTAAGAAAGTAAAATCATCAGGGTCCTAACCCATGCTTTCTCAAGACTTGACTCTACTCTTTTCTCATTCTTTGTTTAAATAGGAAAGCTTATTTAATTTCACCTAGCAATAGTGCATCAAGGTATCTAAATGTCTGTTCTGTCTTGCCTCATTTTAAGCAGGAAAGTACCAACCTTTAAAACAGTTATAAACTAATCTTACTGGTACTTGTTCAAAAATAAAATTATACAACTTCGTTGTAGTATATCAGGACTTAAGTTCAGATATCATGGCAAAGTTTTTAAAATAATAGGAGCACAAATAATGATAAAATAAGGTGCTACTTATATTTTGTAATTAAAATGTTTAAATTTAAAAGGGAAATCACACATTTTTTGCTGTTACAAATAGTAAACAATAGTAAACCTTATGTTGTGTTAATAGAAATTTTATCTAGTTGTGTCAATATACATCTATACAACTAACCATTGTAAATAGTGTATTGAATTATTTGAGTGATGTATAAGAACCACCTAGCCTATCTATATAATATGTAATTTAATTGTGAAGGAAGTTGCCATGTAGATGAGAATCGCTGGAAGTTTAATCTAGAATTATTTGGAACGCAGCAGGAAATCTAATTAATGACCGGACATTATCTTCAGCGTCAAATGATGGTTGGGACCAGAGTGACTGAACATTATTTGAGACCCTTACCAAAGAACGACGGGAACCTGGAGTGGTTGGGTATATGGAGCACAGAGTGAGCTTGACTTGTGATCATTTGATAAGTAGTGGGTAGACAAGGCCTATATATTGGGCCAGGAACCAAACTATGGGCAATCTCCGTGGGGCAAGGTCAAGAACAATGGTTACTACATTCACAGAGACAGTCCCTACATTATAGTCTACGCAGGCAACTCTCTAAGAATCGCTGTAGACCGTTGAGGAAGTAATAAAGCAATTAGGAACCATCCTTGAGACTTGACTTCATTTGGTAGAATGGGCTACATTGTGAAAATGTCCAAAGGGCCCAAAGTCAAAGAACAAGGCAATTTTTTGTTCAAAAATCATTTTATTCATGCACTTTGATTGTGGTTTTATAAAAAAATCAAAAAGGAAGCTCTACATCTGTGATTGTTCTACATTCACTAACCTACACAATTGCATAGAAAAATATAAAACAAAACCACTACATGAACTCAGAGGCGCCCCCTAAGGACAGGCAATTACCCAATTGGTCAGAGAGGGGAAATTTGGTAATTGAAAAACATAATTTAAAACGATGGTATATCTTGTACTAGATCTAGTATTACCATGGGAATTGAGATTCCCATGGACGGTAATACTCTGGTTAAGTAATTAAGTAGGCTACATAGGATTTATTAATTCTTATACTATTACTATTAAAGAATTAGGCCTAGGCCTATACTTTATTTTTTTATAGGCCTATTACTTTTACTTATTAGCCTACAGTTTAATTTAAATAATTTTATTTTTAGTTATTCAATAAATAATACATTAATATTAAAGTTACTTAATAACTTAGGCCTATACAAATTATTTTATCATTTTAGGCCTATAAATAAAGTATTTGTAATATTTTATACATTTACATTATACTATACATAGACTAGGCCCCAGATCTATATATACATTTACTATAGGCTATAGGGCCTAATAATAATTTAATATAATATTATAATTATAATAAATAGGCCTAAATTAGTAAATAGGGCCTACTACTAATAATAAATATTTAATTATTTTTAAAATTTTTAACATAGTCGTTAAATGTGTTTATTCAATAATTTCGCGTCATATGGTTCCTTTTTGCAATTTATGATAACAAAAGTGAAATTGATTTCCCCCCTAACCTCTTAATAATTTGTAACAAAAGTTACTGACAAACACCCACAATAATTCATGAATCTAAAATCTAATCTAAGATTTGTTTACGTTTTCCACTAATTTGCAATGAATGGCCAGATAAAAAATTCGCTTTTAAAGCTAAATCAAATATAAATACAGTGCAAGTATTTATCAAAACGTAATAAATTAAAGTGAAAAACGTTTTTCAACTTTGATGGATCTAGATTCAAGGTTTTATGATATATCTATTTTAAAATGTTCTCTGTCCGCTGTTTCTTGATTGTGATAAGAGGTTCTTATTGTATTGTTTTTATTATGTTGATCAATAGTTAAAACTTGGCATGCTATTATATTATTATCACATAATTAGAACCCTGTTTTGTGTTAAATATTCCTTGACATTTTTCACAGGGAAGATAAGCTTGAACCCCTAAGTTCCTAAGTACTAGCATGTTATGACTCTAAAATCGGCTTTTGGTGCTAATCAAATGCTACCATATTTAATTTAAGTTGGTAACAAACAAGTTTTAAACGACCACATTGGTCTATTATGTTTAATATTATTCATATGTAAAAATGGAAAAAAAAATTGCAACGCTAAAATGTAAATATTTTGTATTAAATATAATTTGATTTATTTGCCCAATATGGCAACTCTGTACTGCAAACTGGGAATTCCCCAACAGAATGTTTGGTGTTTTTTTTCCCGGTAGGAATGACTGATAATCCTGATTTCATCGTAGGAATGGTATTTACATTATTTGTTGAATAGTATTTCGAAAATAAATGTATAACAAAAGTAACTTATTTGATGATAGGTTATTTCCTTGAATACAACTCTGACTATTTTAATGCAGTTTTTAGATAGTGAAAGTTTTTGGTTGGCACACGTCCATGTAACGACTGTAATGTTAGTTTTAGTTTCTAGGAAAGATAAAAAAAAACAAAACAAAAAATTAGTGGAATGTTAGGTTATAGTTATATGCTTATGTCAGCAGTGATTTTTAAATACTTTTATTAGGTAACTTGCTCTTGATTGCACATAATCATAATAAATAGTAATATGATGGATAATGGGAATTTATTATAGTATAATTATTTATTAATTAGCTTAAAGTAAAGGGCCTATTTTTGTGATATTAGCTTCAAGTTAGGTATTATTAATTATATATCAGTAAACATAGCTTGAACTAGCACAAAAACTTCAATATTTCATAATTTAAAATAATTAGCTTAGATTTAATTATCAGGTTTTCTGTTCTTGTGTGGGTAATAATTAATTTTCAGCTGTCTTTGACACATTTAGAGCGCTGAATTTTATGTTTATATAAACTACTGTAATTTTAAAGAATAGTCTCACTAGCCATCATGTTTTAGTTCAGGAAATGACCATAGATGTTTCGTTTTTCTTTTGAAGAACAACTTTGATGACTTGGTGCAGGAGCTAGAAAATTTAGTTGGTAAAGAAAAGGAAATAAATACAGATTGGTTAAAGGGACCTGTGGAAACTGAAAAGGTTAGAAGTCATTATGATCATAGATACAATAGTACATTTTAATACACAGAACATAATACCTAATGGTTAACATACACATTTCAAGGAAATAAGGTAATATATATGTTACTACTATTATTAAAGATCTTAATGTGTTAATAGATTACATAACAGAGAAATTGTATTCCAACCGGTTTCATTTTAATTGCCATACAGCACAAACTTTAGCCATAAGTTGCCTTTTAATTTAGGAACAGAAAATATAAGTATATGGTTTTGAGATTTTATATTATTCAGGCTCTTATTGGCAGCTTTTCAGTTTTGTTTAGCTAAGGCGTATAGAGCCAACTAATAATAAAGAATCACTGCATAGATTATGTGGTTATGAAAAAAACTAAAATGGTGAGGAAATTAGGGCATATTTAAACTTATTTCTCAAAGGATGCACTTTTTTTTTTTCAGAAAAAAGGTGCAGAAAAGAAGAAAATGCCTTCAAAGAAAAAGAAAGGTCAGATATTCTAAATTTTATTTATAGTTCTTGATAGCCAAATGTTGAAATAAAATTTGAAAAAAAAAAAAAACCCACTTTTATTCACTGCAGTATTTTAATACATTTTAGTATTGTATCATTAGTTCTTTAATTTCAAATTTAAATCAAGAAAATATAAAAATGTTCTTATATCTAAAATGACAGGCAATGGATTGGGTAATGTAGGCCAAGATAGTAAATCACAATCAGGTTCCAAAGCTCAGAACAAAGGCAGTAATTCTGATAGAGATTCTGATTCCACTTTAAGTGACGATGATGCCCAATTTGCTGCTAAGATGCAGAGTGTTAAGAGCCAACCCAAACTTAATTCAGCTCCAGTGAATGCCCCGTTGGTAGGAAATATCAAGACAGAACCTGTGAAAAATACAAAACCAGTGGTAATTACTTAAAAATAAATAAATTCTGGAATTAGTTTTATTTTATTTATTGTACATGAACAGATCTTTTAAGAGTGATAATTTTATAATTTTAAAATGTTTAACATGGTCATCAGTGGTTGTCAGTCAATTAGCTGTAGTACACATTATGTTGTTAAAGTAAATTTGTAATATTTCCTTTCACTTACTTTTCCAAATAACAAATAATCCTGGAAGTTCATGCTAAATATTCTGTATATCTGTCATCATATATATTACAAAAAAAAAGATCCTAATGTGATTTAATATATACATGCACAAGATTGATGTTCTTAGCATTACTTATTCCAAGTGTAATTTTGTATTTTGTAGCAGCAAAAAACTTCAAAAGTAACCAGTTCAGATGGATTTACTACAGGTAAGACTTATTTGTTACTTTCTTAATATAATTAACCAAATACAAGTTTAACATCAGATGTACTTTATCTTCAACTTATTTCTATTGATCTAAATAAATGGTATCATAAAACTTTATAAAAACATTAATTAAAAAAACCCCCAGAAGAATGGTTTTGCAACCTTGTACCATTATTATATTAACTTCACCCTTAGTGTTTTTTTTTTACCATTAATTATTTTTAAACCAGGTGAAAGCATTTTTGAACCTGTGAATTCTTTACAATTTATTTTTGCTGTAAAAAATTGTGTTAATAAAAAACAATTTTGCATACTTTAACCAACCCCCCTACTTTATTTTAGGAAAAACTAAAGGTAGCCAACAGCAGAAACAGCCAGCTGTACAGATTGTCTGGCCATTAGAAAATTATGATTTTCAGTTAGCGTGTAAAAATTGTTTCATTAAAGAAGGGGAAGGAATAAAAGGTAAGGTGTGAAATAATATATTGTTTAAGAATAATAAAATGTGAAAAAATTCATATTCAAATAATTGTTTGTCAGAGTACTAAATATTTTTTCCATTTTTATTGTAGGATATAGATATAAAGCGGATTATTCCCATAATTGTAGTCATGATTTATTACTGGTGAGAACGAAGAACAGCCCAAGCTTAAACTGGTTAAAAATTCGACCACGTGATACCAAACAAGTTATTTCAATGTATTTTCTATGCAATCAGTTCAAGATTAATGAACCATGTAGATTAGGGGAAGCTAATTGTACATTTGCTCATAGTCAAGCTGAAATCAATCTTTGGACCATGGATCGTGATAGGACATTTAATATTCAGAATTTTATTAGAGATGCAGCTAAAGATGGAATTTGTAAGTATCTTACTCTTAATCTGAATCAGTAATGTCAACTTAAATTGATTCAAATTGCTTTCCTTTCTAAGGGAAAGCTTCATTTAAAAACTGAAGCTGTGGTTATTAGCTACATGTTTTGAAAAAAAAATAACCAAAGAATAAAAGTAGTCTAAAAGTACAAGATACTTTTACAGATTCTTCTGAAGTCTTAGAAGCGCGAGGTATCACACCTAAAACGAGTATTAGTGAACAATACATTCCTGGTTTACAGAGTGTCATTGGTAATAAACGTCAGGGTACACCTCCAGTGCAGTCTCCCCCACCACAGGTAGTTGAAATAAATTCATATTTACCTACTAATACATAAATTAAAAAAAATTATAATCCTTTAAAAAACAATTTTTATAAATGTGGAATCATTTCTTAATTTTTCCACAGAATGTTTATGATTTATCATCTCAAAGACATGTTACACCCCAAGGTGCTAATTTTGCTAGTAATGCTGGTCTCTCAAGCTTTTCCGCGGTCAGTCAATGTTTCTTTATTAAATCCTATGTTGTCTCAATAAAACAGTGATAACATAAAAAAATACTTATCATAATCTATCTTCATCATCATCATCTGTTCCCGTTTGTGCTCAAAACATATCGAGATGATGATTTTGAGTTCATCTGTTTCAGAGACCTTGGTATATAAAGGGATAGTGTGGTCAGCACTACGCCTTTATTTTTCCTAATGTGAGTTAGGTACCCATCATAGCTGGGTAGACTAAAGTACGTTCTTCTGACTTGAACCCAAGACTCTCGGGTTATCAGTCTAGCTATCCACCGCTAGACCACACTTTGATATTAAGTAAAACCAAGAAAAAAAGATGCTTAAATTAGTTATATACATCAAACAATTTTTTAAAATCATAGAAAATACAATGAAATTTAAAAAAAAACAGAAAGATATTTTACTAAGGATTAACTTAAATGATTATTTTTCTTTTATCATTATCATTTCTATTTTAAAAAAAGACACTTCACTTTCAAATTTTAGTATTATCTCATCCTAAGTTAAAATAGCCTTTTTTGAGCTTGTAAAATACATATTTCCGCAGACCTCAGCAGCAGCTAGACCAGGTTTACTGCCCAACCAAGGAGCCTACACTTCACCACCTGCACAGTTTCTCCCTCCTAGACCTTTCCAAGCTTTCCCTACCTTTACTCAGGCTATTCCCAGACATCCAACCGTTGTCACCAGACCCCCCGCACCTCTCAGACCATCCCAGCCAGCGTTTAGTTCTGCCATGCCTAATTTAAGCCAACCGCCTCCTAATATAGGCAAGATAAAAAACCCTCTGCCGCAGTTTAAATTTAAACTTTGTTGCCCGCAGTGTTTGATATTTTCTGGCAAGCCGTGGTATTACAGTTTAAACCAGTCTACCCATGACTGCTCGCAAAACATGCTAGCATTTTACGTTCAGGATACCATGGGGCAAAACTATTGGGTCCAAGTACGAGAAAGATCTACACATAGAACTTTTAAAGGCTTTTATGTTTTATGTCACAGTGTGCGTTTGGGTAATCTTGAACTGTGTAAATTTAGAAATAATTGTAGCTTTGCCCATAACAGTATCGAACAAAAATTGTGGAAATGTGAACAAGAAGGGGAGTTTGACATTGGCGAGTTTATTCTACAAAATAAGCAGGGTTATTCACCTGGAACTTCTAACACTGAACTGTATATTCGGCATATATTAGAGAAATTTGGAGGCTATTTTAGATTTATTTGCCGAGACTGTTTCTTTGCTCCTCATCCAATGATCAGCAGTGAAGGGGACTTTAACTCATGCTCTGGGACAGCTAGTCATTCATGGAGTAAATCAAGGATTTTAGCTCATGTCAAGAACACATCATTTACACCAATAGATCAACCGAAGTTTATGCATGACTCCGCATTTTATCTGATGTGCAACCACATGCAGTTTTGCCAATATTGGCTAAAAAATAGGTAATTGTAGTAAATATTAACTGTAGTAAAACGCATTTTATTTTGTCATTAGGTTGTACAAAAAGTGTGTAGACTCCATTTAACCTATGTCTTCTTTATTGTGCCTGATGTTGGTTGTGCATAATAACCCTAAAATCTTTCAGATGTATTTAAATATTTACTATTACTTCTATAGTGCTGTTCTAAAAGTAGTAAATTGAGTTTTATGGTTATTGATGCTCTATTAAATTTAACCTTAAGGTTATAAATGTAGAATTTTATGCACTCCAAAACAATTATACTGAGAAACTAAACTTTGTTTTGGTACAGCTGCAAGTATGCCCATAGTTTGGTTGAGAAAGCTGTGTGGATGATGGAGAGAGACACTAAAGCCTCCCGTGAAGAATTGGTGGCCATGAGTGCCAAGCTATTCCAGACTTTACCAGCCCAGGTGAGGCTTTTAATGCAGTGTCGTACAAGGTTTTGTTAAAGACTTGTCAGTGACAAAACTGTCCATAGAAACAAGTCAACGGTCAATGCTGGATCAGAATATATCTTGTCTAAAGATACATATGTGTGCTAGGAACTTGAGCATATAACTTTTAAACAGAAGATTGCACATGTTATTAAGGAAAGAGAAAGCAGGCATTTTTTACTTTTAAAAACATGAAAAATTGTAGTAAAACCTGAGATTTGCTCTACATAAGCAACACAAAATTAGCAAAATAAATGTCAAACATATTTTTAATGCAGTTTTTGCTGCCCAATATTGTAAATTATGTTAATAATGAAAGATACTGAGATCAGTGTTAGTTATAATTTTATGCACTCAAAAAATAATTTGAAAATTTTTCTTTTCCAATGTAGCCAACTGCTGCTCCTTCATCTAATTCTAATCCATGGGGTTACAAGGGACCACCTCGAACTATAGTACCTATTGTAGAAATAGCAGAAAGCCCGTCTCAGACCTCAGTTAATTTAGCTGAGTTCTGTAGAACATGCTGGGGCAAGGGTCAGAAGTCACAGGAAGATGGAAAGAAAGACAAATGTGTACGGGGTCATAACAACTTTAAGGTTGGTTTCATCATCTCTATTGTATTATTTATTTTTGATATATGAGCTGTTGATTGTGTACATTAAAAATTCTTTTTTTCTTCTACAGGTGAACAGTGTATTTTTGTCAATGCCTGCTGGTAAAGAAATTCGAAGTTTGCCTCCTGATCTGCCTCTTGGAATGAAACTTGTTTTATGTGAATTTCATCCCAAATGCACTCGTAGAGTATGCAAACATCCACATGGACAAGATGAGCTGGATGTTTGGACGTACATGATGAAAAATAGGAGTAAGTTTGTAGTTGAAACTTACATATTAATAGATGGTAAATATGAATAGTTTCTTTACCCAAATGTCCCGAGTTCTGATCCTTGGGCAGATGTGGCTTGTCAGCTGAGGACAGCAACATATATAGACAATCATTAACTGAGACTTTGAAAGCATATCTAGTAAGAAAAGCAGGCTGAATTCAGTCAACAGGGCATATATGGCGCAAAACCTGTTGATACATAGCACTTAATTGTATTACAATTAAGAACAAAAAGAACTTGAATGCTTCTGTGGTACTCATGTTAACATTGTCAATAACTTATGTTGAGTCAACACATTTTTTTAGATCTCTAAACTTGTTAGTAAGAACACTTTTTAATGAAACAAATGGAAAGGGGTACAATATTCTTTGTGCCATTTACTCTAGCTTTAACCTTAGCAATTAATTTGTTGTAGTGTCACCTACTGTCACTAAGTGTCTACCCGTACTTTGTTTATTTCAGTCAAATCTCTAAGGGAGGTGTGTGACATATGTAAAGAAATGCAGAAAAGTCGGACAACTAAAATAAACATGGGAGAATCTGTTGTTAATGTAATGCCTGAGAACGCAGCCAGACCAGTCGTGACTAAGCAAGTGAATCAGATCATCGCGCCAGGAGACCTGGTCATCAATGAACATTACTGCCACTACTGCGGAATCAGTTGCAACAGTAGTCGCCACTGGGATGAGCACTGTATGAGTGAAGTGCATATCAACAATGTCAATTCTGATAAGGAGCATCAATGGAACTACAGACAACCACCATGGGCCCAGGGAAATAATTTAGCTCTATGTGCCAAGTAAGCTTATGATCCTTACATTTATTAATATGGAAACCATAATAGATTAATTGAAAATTACTTCTGTATTGTTACTGTATGTTGTTTCAGTCAAAAGTATTTTTCCACCCCAGATTATTGTGCTATGTTTTTTCCCCAGACATCTGCATAATGAGTCTTGTCAGTACTCACATGTACCTGACATGTACAACCTGTGTAAATATGCACACAGTCAGGAGGAACTGGATGAGTGGAGGGAGAGATATGAGTGGAGACAAATGAAAAGAGTAGTTGCTAAAGAACGTCACATGTTTTCATACACAGAGTCATTACTGGAAGAATTTTATAGTGAAAATAACAGTATCAGAGTAGTAAGTAGACTTAATTTTATTTAAACAACTTTTAAAGTCAACACATCTGAAAATGATATATTCTCTTAAATATGGTCTATGTCATTCCATAAGGTTTTGCTTTCTTAAATGATTTTTTTTCCTTGTCAGATTTATCTTACCCATTTGATTATTCCAAAGGGTTTTTAGCTAATTATTCATTGATTTGTATAAGCTGTATTCTACCCACTCACAGTTAAACTTTTTGTCTAGTTTTGTCCAGCATTTTATTTTTTAAAAACATATTTTTTAGTTACTTGGTAATCAGTATTAGTTGTATGTATCAAGCTATAAAAATCTATAGCAGTAAGTATAAGTAAAAATAACCCTCCAAGTTTGATAAGAATGACAGTAAGAGAGAAAAGACTTTATAAAATCCTTTAAAAACATATATGAACTTGTACAGACATTGACCAGAAGGCTCAGGATAAACTATTATATTATTACTATAGCAAATAGCTAGCAAAAATACTTAAAAGAACTTAATATACTCCTTAAATTTAAAATAAAACAAAAAAACAACACATTTCTATTAAAGCAGTTCACACGAATGAAGCCTACCAAAAGTAATTTAAAGTAAAAAAAAAAAAGAGATAGCAACAAAGAAATCTTTATGAAAATATGATTAACTTCTGTTTATTTTGTGCAATTTTGTATTCTGGAATGTTCACTATTTTTTGTAAAAAAATGTAACTATGCAGTGATTTCTTTGCACAGATATGTGAAAATTTGCCTGATGTTCGAGTTGTCTGTGATGATGATCTGGTCCTGTATAAAAATGAAAAGAATGCCATCTTCACATGGATTTTCAAAGTATACACAAGGGTAAACAGAAAGAATTTCAGCTATTTTTTTTTCAGATTTCAGGACTCTTTACTTTACATATCAACTTTAAAAAGGAAATATTTAATTACTTTTTTCAGTTAGTAAGTTTTTTAATTTTTTAAAAACTGATTTCTTACAGAAAGCGTTAGAGAAAGTGGCTCTACTACACAACAGGGATCGCCTTCATTTTACACTTCAAGGTAGTGACAACTCACACCACCAGGTGGCTTCAGGTGATTCATTTATTGCAGCTGATGGAGGAGGAAATCAGTATTATAAAGTCAATGTAAGTCAGTTTAAACTTAATGATAAATGGTTTTTACTTTTGTATCCTGTACAACATTTATAAGTAAAACTCTAGTTTACTGTCAAACTTTTTACTGTATAACTAAAATAATTGCATTTTAATTGCATGCAGGTAAACTTCACTGCTGGAATGTTTGGTTCTTTTAGCCAATGGGTGATTTTTGATTTTGGAGTTCGTCCTGTGTTAGTTAGAAAACTGGCAATAGAAATAGGAGACCACTTGAAGCATGAAAAAGTAAGATTTTTTTTTGTTACTACTCTGACATTATTTTATTATTTATGTAATGAGTAAACTTTGTCCATCTAGATATTTCTTAAAATGAATAGGGATTTTTCAGTACTTGTTTAATACTAGGCCAGGAAATAAAATATCTATATTTTTGTATCAGGTGCGTGAACTGCGTGAAAATTTGGCATTTGATCGCTGGACCAGCTTAAATCGAGAGATAGTTCGAGCCAATGAGGAGGTAGTTGACAAGTTTACTGAACAGCTGCTACAGAAATACAAAGAGCCTGTGTCCTCTGAGGATGTTGTAACACAAGACAGCTTAGCCGATCTCAACCAGCACAATTATGTTCATAAAATGCACAAGTTATTAGAACTGGAAGAAATCACTAGACACAGGATTATTGCAGGGTAATTATGTTAACCACACTAGCAAAAAGTTGCAGATATAAAAAAAAAACAAAAAACAAAGGTTTTTAAGGAAAAATGTATGCAGTGTACAGATTTAAAAAAAAAAAATATTGTCTTGCTAGTGAAAACACACTGTTGGTTTGAATAATTCTTTCTATTAAAATATACAAATTATTTTTTAATATACAAATAATTTTTTAATACAAAGTTTCTCAACCCATTGACCTAACACAAAAGTTATTAGAGGTATTTCAGGATTGGTAAAATTTAAATGTAACAATTTTAAAAGCAAGTAACTATGTTGTGAGTAACTAAAACTAAACCTCTATTTCAAGTATATTCAAATTAAATTGATATTCTATGGAAAATAAACCCTATTAAAAAAGTATATAAAATAGTCATGATTGCACGGTTGAAAAACTCTGTTCTAATATAAAAAAAAAATTATGAGAAAAGTCACAGTTGCAAAATTTGTTAGACATCTTAACTGTCTCACCAGCTACAACATGATTTCTGAAGTGACAGCATCTCAAACTTTGGAAGAGTTTGAAGTTTTCATCATTGCAAAGAATGGAGATTTATTCATCAAGCTGAACTTAGCTGAGAACCTTTCTGAAGACACACTTGCTGGGAAGCTTGTCTTGACCAGTGTAAGAACAGTCTTGTTGGCCCCTGTGGGATCAAAGTCTAAGGTAGGCTGAAACACATCTGAAGAGAAAGCTTATACTGTATTTTGTTTTATTTTGACTAATGCTATGTACACAATGTTTTTGTCAAATTTAATCTATAGTTTAAATTTAGAAAATTTCATATTTTTTTCTTAGGTTTAAAATCAAGGTATTCCATTCTATTTTTCTTAGGTTTATGAGGCCAATATAGTTGGCCAGAACAACTATGGTTATGATGGACGTGGAAAAGAGCACATTTATTTAGTTGTATCTGCCACAGTTATCTCAGCCTTACAGCTGGCACCAGGAAAGAAAACAACATTGGAGCTTCAGTTCCAGATGGACCGGACTTTCTTCTGCAGGATGCACTACGCGCTTGACAATCTTCAGACAACTGATGTTGTCTTCCCTGATGTTGTCAAATTTAAACCAGACATCAATCAGATGAATGCCTCATTTAAAATCAAGTAAAATTATTAACATTTGACTAATAATATTTACTTTATCAGTGTTGACATTTTTCAATAAATGTATTCCTATTGTCATTTATTAAAGGAGCAGCACTGATATCATTTTTTGTAATATAGATTATAGAAACTCAGACAGAGTAGTTACTCAATGTTTAAATGCACTATTTATCAAGAGATTGTATGATTTACAATTAAAAGAGTTGCATTTAGTCTTAGCATGTTGTTTGTTGCCAACTGCTGCACTGAATACTTCATTGAAAAAAAGAAGTATTACAGTAATAAACACTAAGATGCTGTTATTTTAAAAGAATATTATTTTAGAGGGAGATTGTCTTTTTCTTTTTTATTCCCTTAACTACAATTCTGTTTAATAAATGACACATTAAAACATGTTTATAAACTAATCTACTCTGATCTAGATCCAGTGTTTTGAATGAGGATCAGCTGACTGCTGTCAGGCACATTGTTGTTCCAAGAGATGGCTACACTCCTCCTTTTATAATGTATGGGCCTTTTGGCACAGGGAAGACAGAAACTCTTGCTCAAGCAACAATGACATTGCTGAGAGAACGAGCCAATGCAAGAATTCTTATTTGCACTCAGACTAATAGGTACCGTTGTGATTCTGCAGTTATTTAGTTTGGATTGTTTTGGTTGATAGTTTTAAAAATCTATAGTCAATTTACTTTACTGTACAAATAGTATAATCAGTGAAAAAAGTGGTGAACTACCCAGTCAAATACTTTACCCGTCTCATGTAACATTGAATGTTTAAATTTCACAGTTACACTCATTGATTTTAAGAAATTTAAGTTTCTTTGTTGATGTATGTTTTCAGTGCTGCAGACCTTTACATCACCAAACATTTGGATATGTTCATCAAAAAAAGTATCAAGACATGGAGAATCTTGCGCTTGTATGCTCAAGAAAGAAAAAGAGACAGTGTACCACCAGAAGTTCTGCCGTATTGTCACCTCTCCAATGATAGTTTCTCCATTCCAAGCAAAGAATACTTCCAAAGTTGTCAGCTAGTGATAACAACAGTAGAGACCTCAATACAACTCTCTATGTTAGGACTGCACAATCAGTTTACTCATATCTTTGTTGATGAAGCTGGACAGGTGAATACATGAATTTTTCACCTTAGTAAAATTATTCTAAAATATCTAAGCAGGTCTATGTTTGTTACCTTAAAAATCTGCAGCAATTGATGAAATAAAAATCTTTTATTTGCCAGGCTCTGGAGTGTGAAATCCTAATTCCCTTAAGCCTAGCATCCAACAAGACATGTGTGGTGTTGACTGGTGATCACCAACAAATTGGTCCTACTGTTTACTCACCAGAGGCCAAACGACAAAAGTTTGACATCTCCATCCTTGTCAGGCTATTCAATTACTATGATTTTATTGCCAATTGTGGAATTTCACAAATGTCAGAGAAATCACAGGTTAGCTTCTTTTTAAATAACTATTTAACTCTTTTACCAAATACTTTTTCAATAAAAAACTTCCCCACCCTCCCCCCAAAAGATTACTTGTGACAAATGTTGAACATTGGAAAATGTTTTCAAAATTTATTTTATTGCTAGAGTATGTACTTAATCTGTCCTATGGACTTAAAGGTTGGAAATAGAACTTCCTATAACTTCCTGCAGTAATTTTGATTCTCTTCTTTATTAACTCAGCATTCTCCACTGAACATATTTTTGAGCATTAACTACCGCACCAAGCCTGAGATTCTACGCTTCATATCAAGTGTATTTTATGGAGGACCTGATAACTTGAAGGCCTATGGCCAGGTTCCATCTGTCATGGGCATAACACCACTCATGTTTTATGCTGTGCAGGTAGGATAGTTCTTATTAATTTTATATTCAACTAAAATTGCATATGTATTAGTTTTTAGCATTAACTTTTATATTGGGTTCTTATCATACTAATAAGACTTGCCATATTGGGAACTATTTTTTATCAGCTGTTAAAAGATTGTCATCTTTTGTCCTGTTACTTAAATCATTAATAATGACCTTTGATAGTTTAATTGTTTGTGAAGATTGGTGCAGGTGAACAGAACATTAACTTCAGTTTTAATATTTTAACAGGGAACTGAGACCCAGAATACAGACAGTACTTCATATCTAAATCATGCTGAAGCACAGGAAGTTGTTGAGAGAGTAAGAGATCTGTTGGACAATTGGCCAGAGCAATGGGGTAAAAGAGAAGCCAAAAAAGTGGCTGTAATTGCAACATATTCTGATCAGGTTGGTAGGCTCTATATCGGCATTACAAGCTTATTATGATTTTTTTGGAGAAATATGTCCTGATATTTTACTTCTTCTCTTCAGATTAAGCACATTCGTAAGATGCTAAGAACTGATAGAACAAGACCTTATTTAGCAAGTGTTGATGTTGGTCCTATGCAAAGTTTTCAAGGTAAGATTCTTTTCAACATTCATTTTTAAATATAATTGAAATACAAGTTCTCTCGTATTCTCAAATATAAATCTGTATTTGTCAAGAACTAAAAAACCATTATCGTGCCTTAAATATTGCTTTTTTTGTTTGTTTAGGTAAAGAAGTGAGAGCTTTGTTTATTAGTACAGTCAGAACATCCAACTTGTTGCAAGAGCCTCACATTGTTCGTGCACTTGAGTGTGGGGAAGACATTGGAGATTTGGGTTTCTTATCCAACCCAAAACTCCTTAACACAGCATTGACTCGCACCCAGTCATTTGTTGCTGTTGTTGGCGATCCTGTTGCCCTGTGTTTGATAGGAGAATGTATTCAGGTAAGCTGAGGTTGTTAGATACTTGTTAAACATGAAATCCTTTTTTTTTAAATATCCAAAGCATAATTTCATTTTAATATAACTGTTGTCAAAGTATATTTAAGGGCATTGAAAAATATCTAACAATTCAAATGGACTGTATTTATTACAATGAATTTAGGAAGATGATTATTTTGACAGATATGGGACTAAATTTCAAACAAATCTTACAGGTGTGGAGAACTTACCTGAAACACTGCTCCAATATGAAAAGTGTTTGGCCTCAGACATTGACTTATGATGTAGTCAAACTTCAGGTCATTCAGATCCAGATGAGCCCCCAGGGTAAAATAGTTGACATGATTTCCAAGAGAGGCCAAGATGTCTTTAAACAAACACTTCGTACCCACCCACTTAACAGTGACACATCTCACCTCGACACTGACCTTCACTACTTGGCTAGTGGGGATGCCATTACAAATTCTTCCTTCCAAAGTCAGTTTGAAGAAAGCATTTACAAAGTGATGAATTCACAGAGTTTTGATTCTGTTGCTAGTGCCAATCATAATCAGGAAGCAAGCGGAGTTCTGAGAGTTCCCAAACAGTTGAGCGTGGATGAACTCTCCATGAGCTCTATGATAAGCTGTGAGGACATCATCTTTCAGCTGGCCAGGGAAAATATAATAGCCTCAGAAACAGGAGACAATGGCTTTATCAAATCTGAAGGCATTTCAATTGAAGAAGTTGATGGATTTGCTGTGATAGAGTACAGTCTTGAGGACTCTGGTAGCAGAGAGCCCTTTAAATTGACATCTAAAGATGATGATTTTATCACTTTCCTCGTTGAGAATGAGGACAGTGCTTTGAACACAGTCTATGAGAATTGGAGTATCAAAACTATGAAATCTAAACTGGAAAATGAACCTAATCGCTACTTAAAGTGTTTAATTAGCATAAAGGATGGAACCACCTCTGCCATTGTTCTTGGATCTTGGCCACCACAGTTAAAATCCATCAAGGGCCGTGACATTGACATTCAAGGTCAGCTGAACAGAGGTCATGCCTTAAATGGAGATGTAGTGCTTGTAGAACTGCTGGGCCAATCTGAAGATGGCAAGATTCAAGGCCAGGTAACTATGTTATGTTCATATGAATATTTTGCTTCACGTTTTTCTTTGTTTATTAATTTTTTGTTGTGTTTCTGCTCAGGTGCTTTATTTTTTAAAACTCTTTACAATTGATTACTGAAAATTTATCTGTAAACCAGTGGCAGGTTAAAAATGATCAATGTATGATTATTTTGGTTTTGATTCAAATATTGTCACTGATTTTTTTTTAAGATCAAAGGTATCTTAGAGAGAGCCCAGGAACCAAAACTGATAGTATGTAGTGCAGACATAGACCAACCAGGTATCTTGACACCCATAAATTCTGAAATGCCTTGTATGTATAGCCTCACAAGTGCAGCTCGCATCAAACTGGCCAGGTATGATTCGATCATATTATTTGATTTAGTTTTAAAATACTGTTTAGGTTATGTCACATTAGATGATGCATACAAGTCAATGTAAAATAAGATTTTCCTGACCATATTTTTCTGTTTGCTTAGGAAAGGCAATGTGTGTGTGTACAGATTTGTTACTACAAACTGCATTGAATTCAGCCATTTTAAAAGCATTGATACCTTAGAAAACAGCAGTAACTGTTTGTTTATAGTGCGCTACCTTACATGGCAGGCAGGTTTTACATTACCTCTTGGTGTAGTAGTTGGCCTGCTAAACCCAGATGGCACATTAGAGAAAGGAATTAAGGTATTTTAATGTCTTTATAATCACTTTATAACCAATCACTTGTATTTGCTTGTTAATAGTGTTTAAACCAAAATTAACTTATAGTAAAATAAAAAATAATATCTCCTTATACCACAAGTCATTTTACAATCGCTTTGGTCTTTTTGTGGTTTTGAGTATTTAAAAGTACTTAAACTTAAAAGTAGTATTTCACATATTTTTCTGTTATTATAGCACAAAGACATAAACAAAACAGAAATTAGAAAACCTTATTTTAAAAAAATACACTAATAAAAAAAATAATTAAAAACTTTAATCATATCTATTAAGTTTACTCACAACATGAAAAAATTACTGTGGCGCTTATGATACGACTGACAATATTTTGTTTTCCTTGTTTTAGATTTTAGACATAGAGTACAACATTTGTCAATCACTGCGCCCACAAGCTCTTGATGAGTCCGAATGTCTTTTCCCACCGGGTTCAGCAATACCTGCTCATTTGCTGAAGAATAGAAAAGATTTGACTTCCAGTTTTTGTTTTACTATCAACAACCCACAGACTGAAGATGTTGAGATGGCTATCAGTGTTAATCAGATAGACAACTGCTATGAGGTAATCCCATAACAATTTTAGTTTAACCAACCTTGTAAATAAAGTAAATTCCCTTAAGCCTAGCATCAAAGTAAATTTGAGGGTCAGCTGTTTTGAGGTATAAAATAAGACCACTAGGTTATGTTTTGGGATTAATTATTATTGACACATTTCTTGTCTTAACATATGTCTATACAATTTGTAAAATTAGTTATATTTATAATTTCCCTGTAATAATAATTAGATGATAAAAATGAAATAAAATACATTATTTTAAAATTTACAGGTTGGAATCCATCTCTCTGATATTGTTGCATTTGTGGAAAAAGATTCAGTATTAGATCAGGAGTGTGAACACAGAGGTGCTTCTCTGTTCCCAATTGGAAAAGAGCCCAAACATATGCTACCCTCTCAAGTTTGTACCGAGTTCTGCAGCCTTAAAGTAGGCGTCGACAGGCTGGCTGTGTCTGTGCTGATTAATGTTGATGAAGCAGGGAACCTTGTTGGTGGCCCAGAAATTTTTAGAAGTGTCATCAACTGTAAACAGAGGTTCTCACACACAGAGGTAATTTAACTACATTCTCATTTTAACTCAGCTGTCATTGTGGGGTGTCTTAGACAATTTTATAAGATTAAAAAATAATGTGTAGAAGTAAAAGCGTGTAGCATTAAACATCAAACTTAGTCTGTTTAATTATGTTTTTAATTTGTAATTTAACATGACCTCACTTTACAGACAGAAGACATTTTACTGAGCCCAGAGGAAGCTCAAGAGGATTATTTAAAGAGCTGTATTACAGTACTGTATCAGTTATCTTACCTCTGGAGATCTGAAAGACTGGGCAATGGACATTTAAATTCTGATTTGGGTGTTGAAAAACAAATGGCAAAACACTCATATTTAATGATGAATGAGGTGGGTGATTTTTTTTTCTGAGTTTTACATTGCTTGTTACAAAAATTTAACTACACAGTGTATATCCAATAGCCCCTGTGATAACCAGTGTCTGTAGTTGATTTGTACACTATAATTTTCAGGTGAAAATTCACTTCAATTCCATCATTGCTGAGCTTTTGTTGTCAAGATTCAGAGATTCAACTCCCCTGCTCATACAGCCTAGCCCAGCTATTGAAAAGTTGGAACAGTGGAGGAAAAAATATGCCTGCGATGCTTTCAACAGCATTCCATTAACAAAGGCTTTTCTTGATGATCAGGTATGTTACACATAACTACACATCTTGTGTCTGTAAGTCACTTTATTTACATTTTTAGATTAAAACACAGAGTAGAGCTTATCAGTATGGTCTAGTATGCAGTATAGTTAACACAACATTACATGTCAGAAAAAGCATAGATATAATACTACATCTTGTTTCAATTTAATAAAAATAAGTAATTTTCAACCACACTAAAGAAAACTATTGGAACACCTAGTTCAACTGAAAGCTTAGAGTGACCAACTTGTGAAATGTATATGTTAGTAAAAGCTACATTTCTCAGATCTGCCTCACAAGCTTTTAACTCCAGGTGGGAAGGGAGGTTGTAATAATCTGGCCTGTTTGGCACAGTTCAGCTTGGGTGGTTGAACTGATAAACTATTAATGTATATCATTACTAACTAGGACAAAACTTGTCAAGCTACTTATTCTTTTAAAATGTATTTTTGCTTTTTAAAACATTTTTTAATTGCCACACTTTTGTTCCATAAACATACCTTAAAGAAGCTCAATTTTACAGTTAAAAACGAACTAAAATAATATAAACATAACGTTTAAACTTTGTTTTAGGTGTGTCGTTGCCAGGAAAGATGCACATGTGTATTTAGTTACTTGAGAAAAAACCAACAGAAGAATACAGATTTTCTTTCTGTCCTGAAAGACAGCTGGCTGATGATTGTTAAAGCTGTCAGTGAGGATTGTATGGACTTTGAGCTTGCACAAGGTAGGCAATTCTATCCTCCAACAAATACTGGCCTTCAAGTAATAAAGAAAAATAAAAAATATACATCATAATTAAAGTAAGCTGTTAGAAAAATGTAATGTATCAAATTATGCATAAATATATTCTTTCAGATCTGATAAGTAACTCTGACAACATGCCCCAGCTAGCTGTTGCCACTCTAAAGCTAAAAGAAATTGAACAACCAGAGACTTTCATATGTTCCCAATACCTAAATCAATCTGAAAGGTATCATTATGGACTCAATCTGACTGCTTATACCAATTGTACCAACCCCTTAAGGAGATACATCAGCATGGTGGTACAGAGGCTGCTTGTTGGTAAGTTAATTTTATAGGATAACACTGCAGTGAACTCAACTGGGAACAGCAAGACATGTAGGAGACAATACTCCTAAATTTAACAGGAGTGGAGCCACTAAGGCAATATGATTACCAAACTCTGGTTTCCTTTTGGCAGCTTTTGTGACACCGCTGATGCCAAGTTGTGTGGAGCAAGGGGGGGGGGGGGCTAACACATGGGCAGCATCTGGCTATTCTCAGCTTATTGCCCAGGCCTTGCACTTCGATTTCCAAAGCTTAATTATCCAATATCAGACTATTTGGTTTAGCCTAATTACCAGACAGATTTTTAAAATGTTTATAAAGATCTAGTTTTAAAAACCCGAAGAAATTAAACATTTTATGCCATTCTATCATGACAGCATATGCTAATGGTGAAGTTAGTCCCTACACTATAGAAGAGATAAATGACATCTGCCTGCAGTCTTCTGCCACCAAGTACAATGTAGATAGCTACCACAGGGCTGTTTTCCAACTCAATCTCTGTGATGCTCTCAAGTCAAGACCTTTGAAGATGACTGCTCTGGTAGAGGATGTTGACATGGAGAAAGCTGTTCTCTCTTTCAAAGGAGTTTCTGGGGTGCCAAAAGTCTCTAGAACCATCAGTTTATCACTGCTGTCACCAGTCAGTGTGATCTCGTTTGCTGATCAGAAGTCATCTCAAGTTCAACTCAAGTGGGAAGAAAGAGTATATGTAAATGGAGGTAATTTACTCTTTTCTGCCTCTTTAATTGGAAAAAATATATTTGAAGTGTTTTTTTTTATTATTTAGTTTTAATCATGAACAGTGGTTCTATATTTATTAAATTGTGCACCAGATAGCATTGTTTGAACTATTTATTTTAGAAGGTAAACTAGCTGCCAAAATATTGGGAAGATTAGCCCAATTTATTCCATCTTTACTCTCAGCTTTTTAAAGAAAAGAATAGGAGAAAAGTACAAATCTACAAATGGCCATTAAAATAAGACCTCATATATATTCACTTTCAAGAAATATTCCTTACATTAGTGACATTTATCTACTTTAGATTTTTTAATGTTATTAGTTTTGGTGTTTTAATTATATTTCATATATCCCATAGCTACATTTATTAGTGTAAACTTGCTTAACAGAATGTGCATCCATATTTCAGATTCTGATTACCAAACCCGTTCAGTTTCTGAGATTAAACTTGAACCAGACAGATATATTTGTAGCATCTCTACACTATCTTGGCAACGTCTTCTTACAGCAGTAAGAGAAAAAGATGAACCAACAATAGCCAGCCATGTACAGGTGAGAAACTGTTGCACTTGTGTGGAAGAACAATTTAGCAGGACTATATACTCCATTTGTAAAATTATGTAAATAAAACAAAAACTACTTCATACAGAAAATTTTAGATAACCTGATTAACTCATATCATTGTCTTTATTAAGATTTGCAGATGTCTTTATAGTATTCTTCAAAAGATATCAATAACTCATGAAATAAAATATTGCTTTTTTGAATGACAGGAAATATCAAAACAAGTGGGAGGAGAAAGTGAACTGCTCAGCATAAGTTACCCTGACGTTATTAGTCACATAGGCAGAGATGGATCAGTGAGGCATTTTGTGCCATTTACATTCAGTTTCCATGAGAATCAGACACTTGAAATGCAAATTTCTGTTGATGATAAGCAAGGCTTGATCACTCCATGTCTCCAGCTGTTAAATATCTCTTCAGGCTTGGATATTTGTCTGGAACACAAGACTCAGCCTGATAAATGTTTTACCAACACACAAGATATAAACTTGAATAAGGTAAGGGAAGGTTACTTCACACATCTAAATATTGTATTGTTAATTCATCACAAGTGTTGCTGATTGTTTTCATTGACAATGGTGACAATAATCTAATTGTTCATATTTTACAGATTACTTATTCAGAAGAGGAGAAATATGCCTTTGAATCACTGCTGCCTATATTGTCCCTTGAATCATCATACCAAGCAGTGAACGAGGGAGATAAAGTCACCATTAAAAATCTTTGTATTTCGTGGACAAAAAGCAACAACTCAGTTTTAGAGGATGACAGTGTTCAAGGAGAATTTTTTCTGTCTGATGAATTCTGTTTAAGAAATGAATTTCAACCTGACTTTGGTAAATATACATTGTTGTTTTAATATCTGTGACCTCCCCTTTTCTGTTACCCATATTATTTATTATTTGAGGGCAACATGAATAGCTATCCCCATATAATAATATCGTTATTCTGTATGTGTTACAATCAAGGTAAATAGATATATAAAGTTACTGTTAAGCTCTACCTTGCAAAAATTATACATCAACCGGGTAGTGTGTAAGGCTGATCACATGTTTTTGCTTGGTGCCATGACTGACTTCTTGCTGATTGATTGGTTCAAGCTGACCAGTGATGCCTACCTGGTTGACCTAGTAATTACATTAACCATTCCTGAGTTACATTGCAGAATTAAACAGAGTACCACACTGAAATACACATAACAAATTTCATAGCTCAATTATTATTCTTTCTGTATTTTTTTCTTTCCAGGTAGTAATTTTGAAAAACAGCTGTATGATGGTCAGCCATTGCACAACACAGATTGTAATTACAGCTTAGATTTCCTCTGTGTCCGCTACAGCAATCTTACTATTCCTGATGAACCAGCTCTAGATGAAAGTGTGGCTGTGGTAGTTAACAATGGTCAACCTATCACCTGGGTGGGCCACTGTCAAGTTAAACAGGTTTCAAGGCGTGCAGATGGTTTTAAAGTGACCATTTCATTGATTCAGTCCAGAATGAAAATTCCTACTGAACTCCTGGGTGATGCTGCAGATACAATTGTTTGTACAGTGGAGTGGATATGTAAGACTAAAGAACAGAGGTAATGGCTAGAGCTTTTAAGTTAAACACCATAGGCACTGGGTTTTTATGTTTTATTGTTATTTCTATAAAATTGTTATCTTACAGAATTCTTGATGTATCTATTCGAGGTCTTCGTAATGCCTCTCCTTTTGCTAAAGATATCATCACAGGAAGAAGGCCCACTAATACAAGTACTGTAATATTTTTATTTTTGAAGTTAGAAATTTAAAATGCAAATTGAAAATTGATTTGCTTCAAATGTTACTTACTCTTGTGAAAAAAAGTTAGTTATTGCTTATTTCTGTTTCGTTTGTAGTTGACCCAGTCCCACAAGATAGTTCAGTACTCCCTACCAGTATGTCTATTGAGCAAGAGATGGTGATATCAGACAGCTACAGGCAGCCATTTTCGACCATTGTTGGTGGGCCTGGCACAGGCAAATCCATCATGGCTGCCAGATTGGCCCATTTGCTTGCCAAAGGAAATCAAACTGCTGATTTGGTTAGACAAACGCGGTACCAAGGCTATAGAACACAATTAATGATTTGTGGACCCAATGAGAAATCTTTGGATGTTATCACTGGTGGGTTTTGTACACATTTCTAAATTAAATCAGTCATCAGTTCTGTATATATTTTAATATTAACTATAAATATAGTAAACGCATAAATATATATATAGTAAACATAAGTACCTAAATAACTTACTTAATTCTGAAGTAACATTGTTAAAAAAAAAATTGTTTTATATGCCTTAAAGGCCCGTTATTTTTAGCATATACAAAGATAGGTTGTTTTGGATAAATTAACCAACATGTAGAATACTGAGGTTTTTTTTCTTTTTAGGATACTTAAAGGCCCTTAACTTGGCACAAGTTCACATTGTACGTGTTTATAGCGAGGAGATAGAAGAAAGAGATTACCCCTTGTCATTGAATCCAAAACCCACCTTGACTGTGAAGCCATCATTGGCCTGTGCTGTGATGGAGGATGTTGCACTACACCATTTAATTAGAAAACATACCAATCCAGAAAGCAAGGTATTTGCAGTCCTTAACATTTTTTATAACATATTATAACTCAGAAAATTAATTTAAAGATAATTTAGAACTTCAATATAAATAAAAACATAAAGAGAGGTTAATATTACATCTTTTACATCAGAATTGAAGAGCAACAACTGTAACAGTTTAAACATTCTTTTAATTCTTACATCTAAATTATTTTAAAACATTTAAACACTAACCATTTTAATTTTTCTATATTTAATTAAGAATGTTTGTCTTATTGTTCAGATGTTTGAGTGTACGAAAACCAATTTATAATTATGTACCTAACTCTAAATTTAGGAGCTACTAGAACAAGAAATGATGATGACATTGACTGGCAAACAGGTGGTACCTCTTGTACAAGCTTGCTTAGAACGAGCACAGACTCATGAATTAAAGAAGGCTCAGATCATTGTGTGTACTTGTACAACAAGTGCAAGACCTGTGCTGAGGAAAGCTGCAAATATAAAGCAGGTAATTTCCATATTCTGCAATTGAATTTGGATATCTGCTTTTTACATCAATGATACACATACAAGAAATGCATGCAAAGCTAAACCCTCATGTAAAGTATTGTTTCAGCTGCCTAATGGGCCCAAATAATGTAAAACAATTGCAGATATAAATTTAGCCTAGCTACTAATTGACCATCCTTACTCTGTATGAAAACACTTAATGTTCACCACCCTGTAAAATAATCTTGACAAAGTACTGGTATTTGGTTTTGCAAATCAGCAGTAAGCTCATATCATAAATTCCCTTCTTTATTTGAAGGTACAAACAATTATGAAGACATCCAATATTTATTTGCAAACATGTAATTTATTTTGTTTTAAGGTTATCATGGACGATGCAGGTTTTATTTCTGAAGTTGAATCTTTGGTGCCTCTTCTCATACATAAAGCTGTAAATCAACTGATATTACTGGGTGATTTGGAAATGCCTGAGGCTCATATCAGTAATCATCTCGCAGCACAGCATGGACTGTCCCGGCCTTTGCTCCAGCGCTGTACACAAAAAGCTCACAAGTTACATCTTCAGTTTAGAAACGTAAATATGTTTATTAAGCTTAAAAGAGAATAGCTATAAATGTTCAAAACCTGAATTAATTTTATATTTTGGATTAAAAACATTTCTCCTCACACTTAGACCATTTCTCATATTTAGTTACTAAATAAAAAAATCTATGTATCTAGATATTACACTCAAATATCTTCTCTTTTTATTAGTTTAATAGCTCTGTAAAGTAAGAAATTAGGTTAATATAATCAAATAAATTTTATTTAATATCTGACATCAACTGGGTCGAATAAAATAAGTTAAACATGACAGTGTGAAACCAATCCTGGACTTAATCATTTGAAAATCTTTTTTTTTTAGCTGCCCACAATTTGCAGTTTTCCCTCAAACTTCTTTTACAAGAGTATTTTGGCAACAAGCCCCAAAGCTGTACTGCATTATCCTGCCTCTACTATTCCTTGGCCTGGAGAAGCTGGGTTTCCTTCAGTTTTTTGTCACTTAAAAGGCAATGAATCTTTTGCTGGTGGAAGCCAAAGTAAATACAGATCAGAGGCTGATCTAGTCAACATACAGGAATCTCAAGTTGTCGTAAGTTTTTGAGTTTTGGATAGTTTTATTTCTTTTACATTATACTACACCACCATTTACCTTTAATATTACATTTAAGAAGTTATGTTAGGTTTGGTATTGATATAAGGTTTCTTTTCATTTGTTTCTGTTAACACTTGCTTTTTAGTTACTTTTACTAAGATAAATGATTCAAATAAAGAAATTGTTTAAATTTTCTTGACTATAATTCAGTAGTTGTACACTCTTTGAAATGTGTGGCTCATTTCCTCCATTGCCCTAAATATTAAAACGAGCAATTTTAATGTTTCAGATCTCCATTGTTGATGCTCTGATCAAGCAACATAAAGTTCAAGCCTCTTCTATCCTTGTGCTAACAGCCACCCAAGCTCAGGCAGCTCTAATCACACAGTCAACATCAAATCCTATTGTTGTCAACACTGTCTTAGAGAGCATTGGTTGGTTGATTTTTTTTTTTTACTTTACAACGCAATATTGCTATTTTATTAACGATATATTATATTTTCATCTTACCTTAGGATACCTGTTGTCTTCCTAAGTGTTTCATATTGTTTAAGATTTTTAAAATATGCCTCAGAAAACAGTTTTGTCAAAAGAAAATGTCCTATATCTAACATACCCAGTACTTGTCAACTAATTTCAGGTCAAGAAAGTGATTATGTTATTTTATCCACTGTTCGGACACTGCCTGATTCTGAGCTTCAGTTTCCACCTACAGCTAAATGGACAAGCCAGCACATAGGTGAAGTGGCAAATCCTCGCTTTGTCAACTTGTCCATAACTAGAGCTAAAGCAGCACTCTTTATAATAGGTAGGTTTAACTTTTTTAGTATTCAAAACCTTTATACTTCATAGAATGAATTGCGATTTATTGTAAACATTTCAGCTGTTATGAACCAGTAGATTTCATATACATAAAATTAAATTTAAAAATAAAGATAGGAATTTTAAAACATAGAAATTCTTCTGTTTGAATTCATTACAAAGGGAAATATTAAAATATCTGGATCAATGAAGTTTTTAAAATAGATTACTTAATCTGCCAACTTTACAAAATCCTCGAAGAACTGGGACATTCTTGTGATTTTGTTTTACAAGGCCCAAGAGTAGGTTATCATTGACCCTTCCTTATCAGCACTTGGACTTAGTGAAGAAGGATATGTATTGAAGATGTAAATTTAATATGAAAACATAAGTTATGTCTAAGGAGACACAGTAAACATTTAAGATTTTATTTACTTTATACCCCTTTGGAAAATCTCCATGGATACCCATGTATTTTTCTAGTTAACTAAATTCCAGTTCTGTATTTTGGAATTTATTGTTCTTATCTTTATTTTGAATATTTCAGCTATACCCATCCTTCCAATCTTCTGTTAATCTATCCTTTAATTAATCCTGACTGTTAAAATAATTTTACAGGTTTTTAATCTCTTGAAATATAAATTATAATTGTTTTCTTTGTTTTTCAATCTTGTGAATCTGTTAGATGCTTTTTTTTTGTTTTTGCAGGTGATAAAGATTTACTGGGTAGCAGCCATCCATGGAAATGTTTGCTTTCCACATACAGGAGACGGAAAAGCCTTCAGTTAGATTGTACACGGTTTCTTCAAACTCTAACCCTATAAATCTCAGGGTGTAGATGAATATTTACAGACATAATAAATTTAAAATCATAACCTGTTCATGTTAATTAATATGCCTTTTATTCTAATTTGTTTTACATAAAAACTTTAGCGTATTCTGGTTCCTTTTTCTTTCTTGAATAATTAACTGTTGAATATTACTTAAATACTTGGTGTGTTTATTGTTGTATAGATTTAAATCATGCTTTTTGTGTGTAAAATTGTATGTTTTAAAGGTGTAATTTTAATAACTCTGTACCTTCTGTAAAGAGAAAAAAAACTCTTTGCCTTTTTTCTGTAATGTGTTTTAATTCAAACATACTGATATTTGTTTTGATATTAAAACATTTCTTACATTTTTTTAGATTAAAATTCTTTTTTTTTTGGGTTTTTTTTAAATTAAAAAAACGTTTTTTAAAAAAATAATGCAATTACCATTCAAAACGTTAAAATGACTTCGTGGTTAAAAATAATTACTTGTATATCTGAAGTATTATTGATGTACAATTGTTTTTATTTTAATTTGATTTGCATGTTACTAGTACTTTTGTACTTCAAACAAAGCTGATGACGACAATTTATACCGGTAAATGTCATAAAACTATAAAAAACGTTAAATATGTTCTTTGCTGATATTGTTTTACATTATTAATAATCTGCTGAATGTTTTTTCTTTTGCTGATTATTCCAAAATATAATAATTTTCTTTGAAAAATTATATTTAATTATGATAACTTACAAGTTTTTGTTTTTTTATTTGTGGCAAAAATAATTGTGTAAACATAAAACAAAAAAATTAGACAAGGTCAACTGACTTCCATCAAATGCTAAGTTGGAGATATCTATCAAATCAGAAGCTGTATATTATAAATTATTAACGTAAATGATAAAATCCATTATTAGTTTAATTAACTTAAGCAATTTTATTAAGGCTAATAGATACTATAGCATCCATATAAAGCTCTGCGTATGTGTGTTTGGCACACTAATCACTGTAATATATAATGTTGTAAAAAAAATTTAAAGAAAAATTGTATTGCTTAACAGACTAAATATTGCAGTTTTTCATCATTTTTATTTTTTAATTTCTTTCCCAATTATTAAATAATGTTCACAACGCATGCAAAAACATGCATAAAACTATTTAAAATAGTGAATCAGTGACAGGTAAAGTGGCTTGTTTTGTAGTGAATTATTCTTTAGTGCATATAAGAAAGTGTTACTAGATAGGGATGATGTGTTCAATGAGGATGGGCTTTGTGTTTGGAGGGTTGCTATTTAATAGAGCAGTTCATTTAAAAGGTGCACAAAATAAATTATGATTACATTTTGCATCAATGTTAAAAATAATGTATTATATTGTGTTGTTGGGTATCATATCAAATATAATTGTTGTTGTATTTGACCTTTTTGGATTGTGTTTTTGTTGAATAGATTTTGTTATGCTGTCTTTTTTTAGTTGTATTTGATTTTTGTAACTTTTTTTCATGTTGTGTTTTGTTTTATTTTTATTGTGTCATGGTGAAATTCTGTTGTATGTTTTTGTTGTATAAACATTATTGTAAGGGTTGGATCTCAGTTAAGTTCTGTGTGGTTAAAGTTGAAGTTAGTTTCTTTGGTGGGATCAATGGGGTGGAGATGGACATGAGGCTGAGTGAAGGAGTGTAGGATGCAGAAGAGAAACAGGATTTTATATGTGCATTTAGCTGAAGTTAATTATCAGAATACTCTTCCTAAAAGAAAAGACGTATAGTTTAAAGGATAATAAATAAACCGGGAGTGATCTCCCCTAAACTTTCTCGAATATTCTTATATAAAATAACAGGGGATGGGAACTCGGGCTATAGACATGATTTTTAATCCATTTTAAATACTTAAAGTTTTAAAAATAGAATAAAATCTCGTAGACAAATTAATTGCACACCAAGTGAACGCGAAATAAAAAAGCGCATAATAGTGCGCAATATTATTATTACTTTTAAAATTTACATTAGTTTTTTGAGAAATCGGAAGTAGCGTAAAGTACTACTTCCAGTCAACGGAAATGACTCAAAATTTAATAGAAGGTAGAGAATTAGATCTTTTACTTACGTATGAAATTTCATTTATCTATCTGAAATAGTACTCAAGTTATAGGCTTTTGAAAAATTCAAAGTAGGAAAAGTACCACTTCCGGTTATCGGAAATCGCTCAAAAGTTGATACGGATCTACGATTTTGATAAAATACTTATATATGAAATTTCATCAACCTAGCTGTAACGGTACTCAAGTTATCGTGTTTACACACGGACACACACACACACAGACACACACACAGACACACAGACATACGGACAAGATTGCAAAATTATGTTTTTCCGTATCAGTGAGATGCAAAACGTCGAGATTTGCAAAAATCTCGATTTTTTTTTTTTGCACGATTACAAGACTTTCTCTATACTTCGTATATACGAGAAAGTAAAAATGACAAGCTGAGAGCTGGATTCATATATAATAGTTATATAACTCTATTTCAGTGATTTTACCCAAAATAAATAATTTTAAATTTTGATAGACAAAATGTCGTTTTGCTCGCTACTCAATAAAAGCGAGCCAAATTTTGTTGCCATTCAATACATATTTTGAGTAACACAATTTCACCTTATTGCTAAACAGACATTTACATATAAAAACGTTCTCAACAAAAATTTCAACTTTAATTATACTTTAATATTTATAGTAAAATAGAATGTTTGTGTAAGAGATATGGCCATAAATTAGTTTGCTATGAAGCTTTGTTGGATTTAGCCATGAGCTGCATATATAGCCTGTTATATATATATATATATATATATATATATATATATATATATATATATATATATATATATATATATATATATATATATATATATATATATATATATAATACGTTTAAGGAAATGCTCAGAGAATCGAATTTTAATCTTGCTCTCCAGAGGGAGGGAAACCACTTACGTTAGTAAATACTAATAATTTATAAGCAGTTACTGCCCTTACAACGCAGTGACTAGAACATAGATTGGCAAGAAAAATACAATAGAACAACTTTAAAAAACAATTTAAAAAAAAGGAAATGACTAAGTTGTTATCTAGTTATTTAAAAGGACTAGCATTATTGTATGAAATCGGGTTAAAAATTCATAATCCTTAAATTTGTTTTGGGTCTCCTATAAACAAGATTTGTACTTGTTTTTCGATGTTATAGGCTTAATAAAAAAGAAAAGTTGCTCAGATTTTGGGCTTAACATTATTACAGAGCTTAAAATACTTTCATTTTACTGGGGCTTAAAATTTGTGTTAAATTGAAAAAGATAGTTTTATTACTTTTTATATATTTTTTAGGAAATGATCTAGACATGATTTGGGTATAAAAGGTTTATTTTCAACAATCTTATTCTCTATTCTAGTCTAGTCATGATATCGTTAGTAACTCAAATACGCTTCCCACTATCCCCGTTTTAGATTTATTTCTTGTGAGTCATAAAGTAGGTTTGAACTTTATACTTAGTAAGATATTTCTAGCAATTTTTTTTCTTATTACAAATGAGTTGTCCCCCCTTTTCCCTATAGATGGCGGAATACACAGCCTCCTTCTGACTGTAAACATGGTGGCGTCAATAATTCATTGATGAATGGATTGTTCTTTTTCCTCCTTCCTCATCCTTCCATTACTCCAATGTGTATCGCATTTGCATTCTAAATCTATTAGTAAGTAGAACGGTTGCCAGCTGTTTGTGTAATTATTACTTTTGCACCCATATTCTTTTCTTTTTCACCTTATTTCTTTTAAAGACTGAACGTATAAAAATCTGAACTTGGGTTAAGTAAGTTGCATGATGTACAATGCAAGCAGACAGTGAAGCAGTAACAACACTGATTGAATAGTTAAAAGTTAAAAGTAGTGAATCTAAATTCTAATGACCTAGTCTAGATTAGAATACTGGATGTAGATATTAGAGCTAATTTTAGATTAGATTAGATCTAGAATTAAATCTAGATCTAGGTACTGTTACAGATCTTCCAGAGATAGAATTGATTGTAAAAATGTAATGATGTCTTTCTTTCTAACTCACTCTAACTAATACTTAGTTAATAGCTAAAAACTAAAACTAAAACTATAATTAAATTACTTAATGAGCTTTCCTAAGCTAAGAGTCTACGACTTTAAGACTAAGTCAAGTGTCCCCCACACACCATGCCCCCAACCCACCCCTATACACTACTATACAGTATCCAAGCCCCCACCCCTATAGTGCCCTGCCCTATACTTAATCTTATACACTATACACAGTGTCCTTTTTCACGCATCTTTTCTTTTGGATATCGCATCTTTTCTTTTGGATATCATGGCATTTTGACAAGACGTGTTTTCACTGTCGAGCTAAGTCCGAAATTGTGTTACTGTTTGTCTTTTCTGTCTAGTCTGTAACCAGACTGTTTTATGCTGACGAAGACCTTGGGTCAAAACGTCCATAGTACCTGTAACTGTCTTTAACTTGTGAGGTATTACTAACACTATTTGTTTGATTACTAATTGCATCATTAACCTCATTGCAGATACCATTTGTATTAATGATGATTGATGGGAGAATTTTTATACCAGTGTCTGATAATGATAATAGAGTCTTCTTAAAAAAGGGGTTGTTAAATAACTAAACTCAGTACATTTAAACTGTAAAAAAACTGAAAGTAATAATATCTATCTAGTTTATTCTAATTATTAAAACAAAATATATCCCCTTTTTTATCATAGAATGTGATGCGTTTCTTAACTTTTTTTTTCTGTTTACAGGGACTAGAAAGAAATTCTCATGGCATTTGTTGTAAATATTTGCTGCAGCATTTGGATTATAAACTTATCATCATGTTAAACTGGACTTTGCAAATGCCAGTTTCAGAAAAATAGATCAAAATACGTCTCATGGATATTTCTTGGAATATGTGTTGAACTTTGGATATAAATTCAAACATTGGATATCACATGCTCACAAACAGAATGTGTTTTGTTATTTTATATTATGAAAGCAGACAGCCTTGTTATGACTCTAATACTTGGTTATCATCGTAGTAGATGTGTCTACTTATCTCAACAAAACCTTGATTTTTAAGTCAAAGTCATGGCATCTGATATGGGACTTTTCATTCAGTGTTTGAAAAAGCCACCGGCTTCAAGATCCGATAAGGTGAGTTTTTTATATTTGAAATAGTTATTTTAAAATAATTATGTTGTCAAGTTTAAAATGTCCGCATTTGAGGGGCAAGCACACACTAGCCTTTTTATATAAAAAAGTACAAAAATATAGTATTTACAAAAGTAATTTGTGATTGATTCAAACCTATTTTTAGGCGGTTTTTAAAGTTCTGATTTTTTTTAAACCTATTAGTTTTTGTGTGGCTGCTCCGTTGTAGAACATTTATATCAAATGTGTATATTGATGATAATTAAATCAATAAAATTGTGATTTATTCCCACTTTTTACACTTATCTAAATACAAGAATATTTTAAGAGTCTAACATTTTTGTCATTACAATGAGCAATAAGTTTTAGTAGAATAATAGAATTCTTCCTTTCCATGTGTATTGCTTGTATGCTTATATTTTTTATGCAAACACGCGTAAAAAGGTAAAAGATTATAAAATTAAGTAAATGTATTTAACTGATTTTAATTTTATAAATGCAATGTTTCTATTTGTGTCCTGTAATTAACCCTTGGATTATTTCCCTTATTTTATCTTGTCTATATTTCTCTTTATTCAGGATCTGAAAGTAATTTATACTTACCTCCATGGCATGGAAGCCTTGGCAGGTTTAAGAGATCATGTTCTACAAGGCCTTTGCTCTGTTGTGCGGTATGAATTTCATGAAGCAAATGATATTATTTATTAGTAAGTCAAAGTGTTTTATGTCAATTTGAAAGTGATAAATAAGAGAAATGTGAAGATAAAAAGTTCAGATTAGACAGATATTAAATAATTTAGATGGATTTTAATGTACTATTGTTTTTATAACTGCAGTGTTTTGAAATATTATTAGTTTTGTCTGTTAAAAGTATCAAATGTAATACATTACAAAACTGTATTTGATCCTCAGTGTTGGAGAAGTAGCTATGTGTTGGTACATTCTCTTGTCTGGTTCTGTTTTTATAGAAGGATCCATGTTTTTACCCAGAAGCAGGTAAGATTATAGTTCTTGTATTTATTCTTTTTATTTTTAAGTACATTTGTTTCATGTTTTTGTCAAAATTTTGACTCAGACAATTGCCTGAGTCCTGAGATAACTTAAATAATAAATCTTATAAGCACCTAAACATTTCATTTACTGTTGATGTTAAACTGATGGAGTCATACACCCAAATAAAAAAAAAAATCCTCAGGATAACTAGTAATGAAAATACACTTATACACATTGTAACCAGATTTTTTTTTTTGTAACAGACTATTCAAAAAAAAAAAATTCTATTTTAATTGACCTCAGCTGCCATCTATGAATCAACTTTTAAATTTAATAAATATAGATAAGGATGCTAAAAACTGACATACAGAGTTTTTGAAAGTTTTATTAAACTTTTTTTTTGTAACAGTACTAAATTAGCTTTCAGAAAATGACCTTCATCATATCAGCTTTAAAAAAACCACATCAAATAACTTCAAAGGGCTCTGTTTATTATAGTTTACACAATTGTTTTGATATTATGTAACCAGAGTACACATTTCATTGACATCTGACTTAAAGATTTTGAGATCTATTCAAAATAGATATTTTGTAATAGGCAAAATCAAAATGCAAAAATTGTAGGACAAAATTAGAAGAAAAAAACATGATTCATATTTTAAAAACCATAAAAGAATTGTTGATCAGGAAGTTTTTTAAGTAAAAAGCAATTGTAGCAATGCTTTAAAAAACACATAACAAAATACTCTGCAGTTTGTGATTGTAAAAACAATTTTTTTAGAAGCGATTTCTAAGTCTCTTTCTTATCATTGTTGCTTAATATAACATCACTAATGTAATTACAATATTTTTTATTTTAATTTTTTAATACAAGTAAAATTAGTTAACAAGTTTCATGTTTAACATTTCTACATGGGGCTCACAGATTCAGTTGTATGTGAGTTACATGGTTTAGACAAGCTAACACCAGCAACTGCACGTTTAAAATATCAAAAAAGAAACAATACACTTTTTCAGACTACTGTAAAATTTGAATGTCTTATACTTTCTCATTGATGACTTATGGGTAGAGTTACTAAAAAACTGAGTTTGTTTTATTGAACTATTATATTTGGTGGTAGCATTGAGATTTATTTATGTAGGAACATTTAATTCCCCCTATAAAATTTACAGTTCAAGCGTAATTTAAAAAAAAAATTGTTGTGATATTTTCAAGTGCCATAGGTGGAAACAAAATTGGGTAAAACATGCTGCACATATGACAAGGGGAAGGAGGGGGTCACTTTAGGGACACAGAAGTGTTTGAGTAGGGGAAAGTTAAAAAAGTGACTTGTAGCAGTAGCATATATTTTATGTCATTTATAAAACCAAAATTAACCCTGTTAACATAATTTTTTGTGGCAAGAAATACATGCTATGTCACATCCCTTGACCTCCTCCATCATTATAAAAACAAACTCCCTTGCCTTTATCCACCTGAGGTCATTTTTGGACAATCTCTTATATTCTGATATGGTCAGTAAAAAAACATGTGCTACGAAACAAATATCTTCTCACGAATCAGAATCCCTTAGCTGTAATCTAGCAGGCTTCCGCTCCCATCTTAATCCAGAGTTAAGTCAATTGGCAGCAGTTCTCAAACGTTGCAGCTTAACACCCTCCCTGCTTGTGTGTTTAGAACCCCTAGGGCGTGCACGCGTTTAGTCCATTCCACCCTTGTTCGTGCAGTACTAGCAGTGCTACGGCAGTAGTCAGTTACTCTAGGACTGGTGTTGTGCCACACCCCCTCCCCGTTACCTTGCTGTACTTGTCCTGTTTTTTTTGTGTCAAATCTTCACCTTACACCTTGCTTGGTGGTTACTTCCGATTCAAATATGAGAAATAAATACCGGCCAAATGAACTGCTTTAAAAAATCATCTTAACAATGCAGCCCTCTGGCTGTTGCTACCAGGAGAAAGTGTAAACTTGGCATTTACGGGCAGGCTGACATTTATCGTGTACCTTGGCATCAGGTACCTGGGGCGATGGTAGAAAGGGATGCTGTGGCTTTAGAAACCGTCTGACGTAGAGGGTGACCTTCTCTGGAAACTGAGCGGGGTAAAGCAATAAACTGTCACCATTGCAGCAGCTAAAGACACGACATGCCTTTTGATTTAGCCGTATGTTCGGTCTCGGGTTATTGGTTCAAAACGGGAGGAAAAAAATCTTAACGTCGATTACAAACCTAAACATGTGTGAATAAGCTGGTGAACTTGAGCCAGTCCTTTGTACGTGTCATCAGTTCAACAAGCGGGGCTACTCCATTTCTTGATCGCTTGGTAATTACCCGATGGTCGCTTCATGTTCACTCCAGCTTTTTAAAACATTAATTACCTGGCAGTTGCATCATAATAGCTTGACCTTTTATTCCCGATTACCCACTACAAGTACTTTTATTTTCTTGACCAAAGCTTAATGACATCTTTATATTGACAGAAAGCTCAACTAGAAATGCCGCAAATATTTTGAAATTCTATTCAATGTTGTTAAATATTTTCAGTTGTATAGATCTGTATGTGAAACGTGTGTAACTGAAACATGTTGCATACTATTTTTTTAATTTAGGCTTTTGAATGTTACATGTTTTGTGTACTGTTTTGTTTTTATATACCGCTTGCTTGTATAATCGTAAGGCGTGCAATTTCCCAGTCAATTTTTAAATAAAGTAGAATACCGGTTCAGGTAAAAGATGCATCAGGAAAATGTACATGAGTTTGAACGAAGTACACACGTAGCCGTGTCTTAAGTGTAGCGGCGTGGCCCACTGTGTTGGGTTACACGATAGTTAACACCGCCCTCATTTCAAATATGATTGGACGATGCTCTCGTTAGTCGACTACGCTGTATTAACCGTGTCATGGATTTCCTCCAGGTTATCTCTTTCTCACACGGCGGCGTCAAGGCCGCTGCTTTTGATCCTGAGCTCACCTTCTGGTTTTTACCTGGGCAGGAAATATCCGCCTTTCGCGTCAGTTAGGAGACTGGGAGCAAGAGGGGTATATCGGGGGGATCATTTTCACGTGCATCCAGCGTAAATATTCTGCTGGTACTTCTTTGTTCTTATCTGCCAGGTGTGACACACATTCACTTGCTCTGAGCGTCAATTTTTTTTTTAAAAGGTAGACTTGCACTTGTGCTTTAAGTTAATCGTATACACCCATGTTAAGGTCAATTCGGTTCTTTAAGCAGATAATGGGAATAAAAAAACGTACTTGCCTATATGAGTTATATATAAAACACATAAATAAGTCCAAAGGCCTCCCACGATCTACAAACATGAATATGCCATAAAAGTAATCATAATCTACATTCTTATTCGTTGACACAGGAGCATCTATTTTCAATCTTCCTTTAATGCCATTCGTTTACCATCTGAATGGATATTTTAGTTTACATATATGTATATTATTATACTTATATGTACGTAGGCCCAGTATATACAGGCTAAATGAATGTCTATATGTATGTAGCGCCATATATATATATATATATATATATATATATATATATATATATATATATATATATATATATATATATATATATATATATATATATATATATATACGCATACAATCGATGTAAATAATCTCAAACATGATACAGCGAGCCGTTGTATTTATTTATTAACAAGCGCCATTTGATGTAAAGTGTTGTGACTAGTTTAAAAAATAAGGACATCAATCGACGTCTTAAAAAAAAAACCTCCATCAAGATACGGCACGTCTGGAACAGACACACTACCATGTGCGTGTGTGTGGGTGTGTGCGTGCGTGCGGTGAGGATGCGAAACATTCCTCCAGCCTCAAGTGCCGCTAGAGCCTGGTGTTACAGCCGGCCTGTTGGTTGTGTTTCTGTCACTCTGCATCCAAATGTATTGCTTATTAAACACGGGATTTTTTCTCATGGATTACTATCAATACTTGCCGCCTCCGTGCTGGTAGAAAGTAACATTTTAAAACATAAAAAAAAATTGGACGGCGTAACACGTACTTGATGTTTGGAAATGGTTCATTTCTGTTTTTATATCATTTGGAGTTCAGATTTTATGTATAAATGAACGGGGATGAGTTTCACAGGTTTGTTTCGATACACATTTTAACATTAATTTTAACTTGTCTAGAATCTGACTCTGTAGGACAGTAAATGTAACACGGTTAACTTTGACCCGGCTAATTGCAAATAGCTCCACCCAATGACGGTATATTCTGTACGAAAAAAAAATGCGACTGCATGTGTTGATAGACACATACTATTAAGTTACAAATTGTTTGAACAATGGTATTAAATAGTTAAAAGTGTGTCTCGTAGACTAAATGTCTGTTACCATCAAGGGCCGAGTATTACTCATGCTACCTTCCAATGACTAATCGTGGAACACAACTGCAATTGAATGTATATGGACAGCTGCACTTAACCCATCAGACCAACAAACATTGCGGTGTTGTGGCTTCAGTTAGCCTGTGAACTGTTTATTTTTTTTTTTAATGTAGCGCAAGTCTGGTAGGGAAAGTAGGATTAAGCGCTGCTGTTATCTGCCGTGTGCCTGCCTATCTTGGGGGTTGTTCTCGTGTAGAATTAGTCACTGTCGGGTTTGCATGTCTTACTAACACTTTACCCCGCGGAGTTGAACCCTCACATCTGTCTCATCGGCGGTTAACCTCACCATTGTCGTATTTGTCAAACTGTACTCAGTCACACATGTGTACAATAAGAAGGAAGAAGCGGCATTGTTGGCACATTGAAATCTAAGCTATGGGTAGGCATGTCCGTGAAGATTCCGCCGTGTAACGTATGCTAAATGTCGGCCTGCTTTGTATCGGGGTGACGGCAACCTTCACGGTGCTTCGATACTTGGAGAGGCGTTGTCACTTGGTATTATACACGTGTTACATCATTGGCGGATCAGCGGTACTTCAATGCTTAGCAATCGTGCATATATTTGGGTGTGTGTAGTATGTATCTGTCATTTTGATGTGTTATATGCTTGGTAATGGGTGGTTTCTGGAGATGTTATGTAGTTGAGGGCCTGTGGGCTATTTGGAAATGCATAGCAATACATGGGGTTGGGGGTGGTTAAAGGTCACATTGTAATGTTTGATAATATGTGCGCTCTCTTTTGTGTCTACATAAGATGGTATTACAACTAGTGTGTAGCCAATCACGATACTCAAAACTTAGGGCTGGACGAGGGTTAGAAGTAAGGCTAGGGTTAGGTGTGGGGCTGTAGTAATCTTCTCTGCCATCATCGTTCGTTCATTCACTTGCTGGTTTACTCACACTTGGTCAACTAAGTAAAACACTCGCTTCACATAGACAGATGAAGTAGAGTTCATCTGTTGCCTTGATCACGGCTCATAAAGTGATGGTGTGTTCAGCACTATTCCCCACCGGCTGTTCACTCATAACTTTTCTGTTTGGTTGTTTTATTTCGTTTTTATTTTCACCGCTTGCCTTCAAACAGTCAACTCGTGTTTTGACAGTTAAAGAACTTTGACCCGAGTAACCCTTTTACTATTGTTCGATTGAAGACTACTCCTAAAATATGAGGTGTTTGATGTTGTTAGAAACAATTAAATTTCAGGTTTAATGTTCGGGTCATGGCTATGATAGGCATAAGGTTAGCGTTGTCATCAGCAAGTATATTAGTTTATAGTTGACCTCCGTGAACCTGACACCCCTGTTTTAAAGAAAATTCCATTAGTTTGACATTATCTGACACTATGAAGCATAGCCCAAATGTTCTCGTCGATTGTCTCAAGTACACGAAGATCGGCTACAGTCCCATTCACAATCTAAGCCTCTGTTTTGCCGTCGAGTCACTGACACCTACCAGAAGCTCTGTCGTCTTTTGTATCCAGCTATCGGCTTGAGCGGCTTTCACCATAGGTCAGGGTGTTTTCAAAGTGTTCACAACATCGCGCACAAGTGTCATTTCAAGGTCAAGTGCATGTCTTAATTAAAGATCTATACATGGGCGATAATCGCTAGAGCGTGGGCTGTGTATATAAATAGACACTTCCAGTCCCGGACTGAACTTTTTGAGGGGTCAAGTGTTTGTTCTCGCTGGGAATAAGAATGACATCACTTGCTTTTCTTAGTTTCGGACAACACAAATAACCTGCTGTATGGCCTGATTATTTCTAATTATGGCGTGGCTATCTTAATTATTGGCCTGGTCGCCCCGGTGCTAATGAGCTGAGATCAATCGCCATGTCAGATAAGCTAACAAAGGCATCGTTACACGCCCTGCTAAGATATCAGCCGACGGTATGGTTTACTAGTCACACAGCTCTGTGCCTAGTAATAAAGGTTCTCTCTTCTCTTGGTTTAGCGTACTGGCTACGTTTCTTTGTATACCGGTATTTTACATATTTCCTAGTAATGCGCAATTAAACAGTTTTAAATAACTTAAATTTTTTTCCGGCTTCTTTATTTAGCGCAGTTTTGCAGGTTTCTTTGCTATACCGCAATAGGATTTTTTATATCGCAAATTTACAGGTTTCCTTGTATTGCGCGATTTTGCAGTTTTCATTGTTTCATCGTACTTTTACAATTTTTTTTTTAATATAGCGTAAATGTACACGATTTTATGTAGGCTATAGCGCAATTTTACCGGTTTGTTTGCGTAGCGTATTTTTATGTTTCTTGGTATAGTCAAATTTTACAAAACCCTAAGTGTAGCGCTTGTCTTGGTATAGCGCTATTTTTATTTGCCCCGTTGCTATTTTGTTAAAAAAAAAATCATTATTACCGCATTTCTCTTTCGCTGTTCTCTTTCGTTTTGCTCTTTGTTCGTCTGGGCGTAATATTGTTTAGTGTAGAAAAAAAAAAAGAATACCTGCCCATTTCCGCCCAAAGTTGAAGTACAGAAGAAAAAAAATTCAATAAGAAATAATTTGCCTGTACACTTCGGCTTATTATTAAATAAACAGGATAGATATTTTCATAGTCCGGATGATTCTTTTTTTACTCAATGCTTCACCCACTATAAGAGTATTGTTCCCTCTCCAGTTATTACTGAACTAAATCCAACTTTTTTTTTACGCCCACCAGTAAGATGTTGTAGGCTGCACATTTTTATATTTACATTTTTTTTTACCACTAGTTGGAAGCTTTAAATTTGTTTTGACTCAGCAGTTATCACTATGCATTTTTTAACAGAGCAGTAGGACACAGTATATTTTTAAAAATAACAGTACATTTTAAAAATCCAGTTGTACATTAATGTGTTTGTTATAGTCATTTCCTGCTCATTGGGTTAAATGTGCTGTGCTGATTTCCTAGCCTTGCCAACATTATTTCAAGTTCAGCCACTCTGTAGAGCACAATCAGTATATTTTTACATATTAATCTCCCCTTGAAAGCCAGTTTATCTGCCTTGCAACACTCAGCAGGCTGTGTAGATATGAGAACGGGAGTACTTACAGCTCATGGCAAGCTAAAAATACTTGATGTTGTACTAGTAAAAAAAATAAAGCACTAGAGCTAAGTGGAGGTAATGGCACCCTCTAGTAAGGCATTCTAATTACTGATTATAAATATAATACTTTGAACTATCCTAACATGCTCTGTCAAATGATTTCCCTTTAAACCTTTTATTGTTTTATCCTCTCCCTTAACAGTAGTAAAATTATTTTTAAAATCCAATTAATTTAATAAAAATAAAACCAACAGCCATTGTTGTGGAATTGCTGTTAGAGATCTGGTTTTTTTTTGTGTGTTGGGTGTATGGCTTTAATACTAAACTTGACTTTTTATTTCAGCTTTGGGCGAAGATCTCCTGGTTGTTTGAGAAGAACAAGTGAATGTTTGACACTGGAAGCTTCTGAAATGATTGTGGTAAGATAAACATCATCTGAGCTAAATACATGTTGTATTACTTTAAATCATGTAGGCATTTGGAGCCAGATACAGGGGCAACGATAAAATAAAATTATTTCTGGGTGTGATTATTTATCATTTCATAAGATCTGTTTCTAAAGTGTGCTTTAATTCATGAAGCAGACATTTATTTTTTGAAAATTCTTCTTTTTCTATTTTGTTCTTCCATTAGCTATGTTTATCTTATTTCCTGAGATAAATTAGGATCTCTTCTATCTGGCTTCTTTAACCCTTTACTTGTTTATTTCTAATTCAATAAAATATAAACAAAACGAGAATGCTTGCTTTTTATAACTTTTCTGCTATTCCATATTTTTTTCTTTCTTAAGCTTCTAGCTTTGATCTCCCTTTTTTTAAATTTTTCATTGGTTCTTTTATTGGTTAGATATGTCTTTTATCAACAAACCACTTCCTTTGCTGTTTTCTGTTTCACTTCTCTACTATTCCAGCACATTTTTCATCCCCTTGATTCCTGAGCTCTTTTGATCTCCATTGTCTAAGGCATTACATTTACACGATTAAGTTTCAGAGATATTTTTATTAAAGCTTCCCCCTGAATTTTGAGATCTATAAACTCAAACATCATTATTACTTTAATGAATCATTTAGTTTGTTTAAAAAAAAAAACCTTATTCTCTCACTTTCCCCCCACTGTTTCCTTTAACACTCTTGACATAAAAGTCATCTTTTCCCTAAGTGAAATTAACACAACTCCATCTTTGGCCACTCATGACTCAGATACAATACTTGTGCTTGGAAAATCCCCTTCCCCCTACCCTCCAGGAAACAAAAGTCATGTACAGATAGATACAGAATGTTCTCATCCTTACACCCACCTAACATTGCCCTCTTGAAACTGTGTGGTGTCCACAACTGATACTCTATGTGAGCCTTCAAGTGTTTTGTTTCAGGAAGTGGAATGTTTCAGTTAAAAACCTATGCAGGATTCGTGCGCTGAGGATTAATTGTTCATCATTTTCTAAGATTTTATTATTCATTGATTTTTGTGATTGTTGGCTGTGTTAATCACCTAAAACTGGTTTATTATTTCTGTACCTGGAGTATTGTTGCTAAGTCTTAAAACAAATTCTTACAATGAATGAAAATGTTAATATGTAGTGTGACATTGGCAGAGAGTTTTTCCGTAACAATTAATCAAAATGAATACTGAATATTTAGATGTGGCGGTCCGACTGGGCTGGAATATTCCAATGTTTGAATATATTTGCTTATCTAGACAACAGGTATTTCAGTAACCCAAGATTTTAAAAGTTTAACCAAATCTTGTTGACTTATACAAATAAATACACACAAAAGAAGTGGTTTCATCAATTTATCTGATTGTAATTCTTGAACTAAAACGTTTTTTTTTTTAATAGATTGATTATCCTGATACAACAAACATAAAGCCCAATTCACGAGGTGTAGAACTAATACACAATGATGTACCGGATAGACCAATGCGACGAATGAACTCTGATAGTGTCATAGAATCAGTAGGTTTCTTTTTGTCATTTTTGTTTAACAGTTTTTTTTTTACAAATATCTTGTGCATTTAAAAATATGTCTCTATTTTTGTTTTCAGCAGTTGGCAGAAGACCTTGCTTCAGGGAGTCACACACATCCACTTCTTGGAGTGGGTGGTCTAGACCATTACCCCCTACATGCTGGCAACAAGAGGTTCTCCAGAGCTAGTGACACATCCAGTGCTTATTCAGGCTCAGACATAATGCACACCTCATTAGATGACCCTGATGTCAATGACATTGACATCAGTGGTCCTTTAGTGGACTCAGATGATGAAGAGGGATATGCTGAATCAGCTGAGGTATTCTGATTGGCAAGACTTAATGTAATATGCTAAACGTGCTGAGGTGTTCAATTTCTCAGACTGAATAAAAAAAACAACTATTTTATTTCTTTAAAGACAAAATAATATTTTCATCTTTAATTACATCATGCTCGCTAGGTTTGTTTCTATACATTATTTAGACATGTTAATAAACCTTATATTTCTATATTTCTAATCATGCATGATGGTTCATTTAAGTGCACATAAATCTTTTATATATAATCATGTGTGTCACTTATATCTGCCATGTCCAATAGTTTTAACCCAAAATGTAATAAAAATAACTCTTGAAGTTTTTAACCCACTCTTATATAAACACCTCTATTTCAGACATTTTCTATACGGGATGTTGAAAGGGATTGTCTAGAAAAAGAACCATCAGAAAGAACAAGTGAAGATATTGACATTCTTCTCAACTTTACACAGCATTTAAAAGTTCGTTCATTTTTATTACTGTTTTTGAAAACTAAACTTTTATCTTAGCAAAAGGTGTCTGTCTACTCTTATTGGTAAAAAGCCATTAGTGATGACTGAGAATGATTTGAATTTGCAAAGACTATACTGAACTAGATAAAACTATTGACAATAGTTCTCTTTTGCAGGCTTTTTCTAACATGACTGAACACACGCGTAGACTTTTGTGTGAGGTGATGGTTTTTGCCATAGTTCCTAAAGAAGGGACTATTGTAATGAAAGATGGTGAAGAGCTGGACTCTTGGTCTGTTATCCTTAATGGGGAGGTGGAGATCACACGTCCCAATGGTCACAAGGAAAAATTACAAATGGGAGATTGGTAAGATAACTTTTTGTGATGGTTATAGATTGATTTAAGTTCTGGTTTTAAAATGTTATTAGATTAAATTTTCAATTCTTTTATTACATACTATCATATTTTGCTTTTACTGAATAATTCAAAGGATACTTTCAGGCCTAGAGTATTGACTGATTTTTAACATGTTAGTTTACTCACTTATCTCTGTAACACATTTGTATACAATACTTAAGTTTGCTATTTTTATGTCAAGCCTATCATTTACTGTTAGTCTATGATGTACTAAGCTCTCTTGTAATGTCATCTGCAGTTTTGGCATCAAACCAACAATGGAAAAATTATATCATCAAGGAGTTATGCGGACAATTGTAAATGATTGTCAGTTTGTGTGTATAGCCCAATCAAGTTATTATAAAATTTTACATCTGGTAGGCAATTTTAATTACCGTAATCATGTGTTTAAAATAACCGTAATCAATTCTTTAAAACAACATGAATTACTCCAGTTTAATGTCATTTATATGGCTTAGCCTCCCTTGCTGTTTTAAGATCGTGTTTAATTATAAAATAAAATTACTTAATTAACGTTATGTTTTAAATCCTAGTTGTATTATTTTTAAAGCATATCTTGTTAACTTTAAATTTTACAGGGGGAAGAAAACATCAAAAAACATGAAGAGAAAGGAATGATTGTGATGGAAACTGAACATCGGCAGCTGGATGGAGGCAACAGAAAAGGGCATATTGTTATCAGGGTAGGTAATTGGCAGCAGCCCAATACACAGCTTTGTTTCTATACTAAATGTCTGTTAGAATAGATGATTGTTTCTGTACTGTCTCTTAGTATAGATGATTGTTTCTGTTGTAAATGTCTCTTAGAATTTATGATTTGTTCTGTTGTAAATGTGTTAGAATAGATGGTTGTTTCCGTTGTAAATGTCTCTTAGAATAGATGATCGCTTCTGTTGTAAATGTCTCTTAGAATAGATGATTTGTTCTGTTGTAAATGTCTGTTACAATAGATGGTTGTTTCCGTTGTAAATGTCTGTTAGATTAGTATCAATAACCTGTATGTCTTGTTAAAGTTTTATTAGTGAATCATTGACCTGCTGTTCATGTCTCTTAAGATTAAGCTTAATTACTTTATTTCCTTTTCCCAAAAAAAAAGGCAACAAAAGAGAAATTGATGCACCACCTGGTAGAAAGTCATTCAGCTGTAGATCCTACCTATGTTGATGATTTCCTTCTCACGTACAGAACATTCCTCAGTAGTCCTCTAGAGCTAGTGAAAAACTTGCTGGAGTGGTTTAAACAAGATGACCTGAAAACTAGTGTATGTACTTCTTATTTCATGTCAGTATTTGGTGAATGTATCAATGACTTGTGATTAATGGCATCAAATGGGTTGGGCTCTTGGAATTTTGAATATTTTAAGAGATTTTTTTTATTTGTTGTGAGAACATAGTAATATTAAAGTACCTTTTTGAACCTTGTGCTCTGTGGGGCATGTGAAGTAGAGTTCATGTTCCTTTAACCACGACATATGAGAGGATAGGTGGTCAGTACTATGCTCGGCCACCTTTACACTAGAGAGGGTACCCATCAGAGCTGGGTGGACATCCCATTATCCAACTGGAGACTTGGGTTGGCAGTCGTAAAAATATTTTTTTTCAATTTTTGCAAATTTTATTACATAAATTCTTAGAATACTCAATCTCTAAATTTTGTTAAAGCTGTAATAATTTTAAAGATGTTGGGTGTAAATACAACACATTTATTTTCCTTTGTCAATCTGGTTCCTCTCATCAAACATGTCAGCTGCCATTAAATAAACACTTAAGTAAATGTTTTCAGTGTTTACATAGCAGTTACCATTTACACTTAGCCAATAAGTATGAAGATTTTAATATGAAGTGTATTGTATTTAGGTGACAAGAGTTGTTCTTCTTTGGGTCAACAACCACTTCAATGACTTTGAAACCAATCCAGACATGTGTGATTTCCTGGAACATTTTGAATGTTTATTAGAAAAAGAGGTACTACTCATTTATTTTCCTTCTACTAACATTCACTTATTTCTTCTTCTTTGACTTTATACTTTAGCTTAATTGGTGAAATGTGGGCTTCTAAAATACTTGTAGTTGTAAAATTCACCATGTATGGTTCTACTGTAGTGTATTTAAATTGGCAGCGGATCTGTTGATAACTGATTTAAATGGATGACAGTAACATACACTATTACTGCTGATTTTTTTTTTCAAAAAAAAAAAGTAACAGCAGAAATGATATTTTTTTTTTCAATACTTGAATTAGAATCTGGTTTTGTTTTTTATTTCCAGAAAGTGAGTGAGAAAAATAGTGGTACTCCTTTTGTCTTAGCATTGTTGGCTCACCTTGTTTAACTTGCATGTTGCCAAAGTTTGGTCCTGGCATGTTTATCTGCACTGGTTCTCTTTGTATACATTATTAACCCATATAATATAAAACATCTTTTCTAATTAGTTTAGAAATGGGTGTTGACAATTTTCTTTTGTTTGTTGAAAAAGGACCAAATATCTCTTAAAATTTATCCCCAAAGCATGCCAAAATGATTGGCCAGTTGTAGAAAGTGGTTAATTTATGACCACCCGCATGTCTGAAGACTTCCTGAGTTTACCTTCTTTTTGGCTAGATTTGGTAACCATCACTTTGATGTGGCACCAGACATATTCTTGTTTTATTTTCTTTACCCTACTGTAGCTTGACAACACAGCAGCTGTGGCATGTAGGTTTACATGAAAATGTTGAGTTTTGGTACATATAATCATAGCATGCTACTTTTGCACCCCCTCCATAGAAAGTATGTTAATAAACTCTAAATTTCCATGCCTTGTGACTGATATGTATACTTGACTTCTTCATTCCATTCTCAGTCAGAAAATGACTTTGAGGTAAGATGTCTTTATTTAAGCGGTAGCGGGATATATTCTTGCTTTAATTTTTGCTTTTTTTTTTAATCTTTAAAAAACATTTAAAAAAATTCAAATGTAATGTTAACATTTTCATTCTTTGATAACTTTTTCTATTCTAGTAATTTGTGAACTAATAATTCTACAAAAGTGTACCAGTTTAGGATAATATTAACCCGTAATGAAGTCATCTGCACTTTTAGCATGCTTATAACTTTCTTTAACTCAATGCTTTTTATAACACAGCTGATCTAGACTTGAAGTAGTATGTTTCTCATGTATGTTTGATAGAGACATGCTATCAGTATCTTGTTTAATTTTTACCCAACTTTGGATTTACAGCTATGTCAGCACACAATATGATTTTGTCGTAACACATAGTATATGAATGTATTGATTTATTGTGAAAGATTATTGCATATCATTGGGGAAAAAAATCCTTGAAGCCTAAATCTGATCATAGCTAGTTTGCTTGCTTACAACAAAATGTTTTAGACTAAATAGGTAAATTACAAGTGTATTAATAAACACACACACACATATACACACAACTGTAAATAATGTGCTATTGTTTGCTTGTTTAATATTTTTAGCACTCTATGCTTAATCAAACATCTGTAGTGTATTTATCACTTTTCTACCTTGTAAAACTGGAGATTTTTTTTCTTCAAAATGTATATATTTGTTTGAATAGTGCTGAAATAAAACCAAGGAAGCTGTGAGAAAGTTTAAGAGGACCAGAGTATATTAATTACACAAAAACTTCACCAGGCCAATTTAAATTTCAACCAAACATTCTTTTAGAAAGATGAGCTAACATTAATTTAACAAACTTCATAGTACTTTATTCAGAAGAAGCTAAGGTTGAGGTATCTTCTTTGACATTGTAATCCAATCTGTTATTGTTTTCCTGGCAGAAGATGATGGGACAGCTAAGTTTACTCAATATGGCATGTGCGGCTAAGGCAAGGCTCCGTACTCTCACACTGACCCGGGCCACCAGAGAGGAAATGTTGTGCTTCTCCATCTTGGGTGGCTACGAGAGAGGGCATGGCATCTATGTCACTAAAGTAACTCCAGACTCTAAGGCAGCAGAGGCAGGCTTGAAGCGAGGAGATCAGGTTTTTACTCTTTTTTTTTTTAGCACCTATGCATAGTTTATTTAGAGTACAATTTTAGGGTAACTTTTTTTTTTAAAACTGAATTTTAAAAATTAGATCCTTGAGGTGAATGGCCACAAGTTTCATCAGATCTATTATAACAAAGCGCTAGAGATCCTCAGGGGAGCAACTCATCTCTCTATAGTGGTCAAGTCAAATTTACAAGGTATGTACCATATTTGCTATCTAGGTTCTTATCCTACATTATATTTAAGGATTTAAATTGGAGGTTTTGACCAACATGTTATGTGCATTGAAAAAGATCTTATCATCAATGTTTGTATTTTTTGTTTTAGAATGGGTTTTAACTAAATTTTTAAAATCTAAAACAATTTCAACTGTTACTTTATCTATTTGTCATCATAAATTATTGTTTAAAAAGTTAACATATTGATTAACCAAATACATAATTCTAGTGCAACTGTTATTTTCTCACTGTTTAGAATTCAAAGAAATGCTGAGATCATCAGAAAAAAATACTCCACGTAAAGTGAAGAGAGAAGATGGAAATATACCCAACCCCAAACAGAGGCTGTCTGTGCCAGATCTGGACGCAACTGTTCCTATATTTACCACTGATCCTGTGGATATTAAGAAAACGGAAAAACGCTCCGGTATTTTTGGTTCCACATCAAGATTACGAAAAGCTTTAACCCGGATAAACTTTATGCCAAAGAATCTAAATGGGTAAGTCTCAGAACTTCTGATTCAATGTAGGATTACAATAAGCAGCTACTCATTTGGACTCTTCATTTTACTGCTCCTATGTTATCATAATTTTGGTGCACTTACCCAGCACCACACCCTCTTACGCCCGATAAACGACTAATTGTTTTACCATAATATTTGTCTCATCATTACTAAAAATATTGTTAAGTGTTTTTGGAACATTTATTTATTGTTAATGTAATACTTCTATACTCAGTACCATGATGATATATTGAATAACATTGATTACTATATTTCAATTGAAACAATTATTCCATATTGAGTAATGTACTTATTTTTTCATCTGTCAATTTTTAAAAATTTACAGTAATAAACATAAAAAAAGATTCCATTTATATTATAAATAATTGTTATTATTTGTAACACCATTAAACTTAATTAAAAATGTAAGCAGATTTCATTTTAACATTGTTCTTACCATTTGCTCTAGCAGAGAATCAGGTTCCATAAATCATTCTGATGAGAGCCTCTACTCTAAGCCATCACGGAAATCATCAACCTCATCCTCGTCATCAAACACCGGACCAACCCTGAGCAACCACTTCAGTGCAAGTAACCCCGACATGAGCAGTGTGGGGCTTATTGTGGATGATCGCAATGATATGCCAGAACATGTTGTCAAGGTGTACAAGTCTGATCAGTCCTTCAAGTATTTGCTTATACACAAGGTTAATGTTTTCTGCTTTCTTTTGTCTTTGTGGTTAATCAGGTACATTTGATGGTGACCTGCACATTGGTGGCTAGTTGGAGCTGTGTTTGGAAGAAAGGAAAATTATTAACTAACTTTGATCTAGTCACATTTTAAAACTATTTGTAAAATTGTAAGGGAGACTCTAGAAAAGAATGTGGTCAGTTGTTAAATATTTCACAATTTTTAATGTTGAAAATTTTATCTTGAACTCTAGGAAACCACAGCTAAGGAAGTTGTCATGTTGGCTCTTCAAGAGTTTAATATCACAGATCCAAGTTGGTAAGTTGATAAGAACTCTTAGTTTTGTAAGTAACTAAACAAAGGCTTTTGTTTATATTCATGACTTATTTCTCATTCATGAATAAGCTGAAATTTTTGCTTTATTATTTGAAATAATATAGTTTATATTGAAAGTGACCTTTATGTACATTTTTTATTTTTTATAATATGTCATTACTTATTATTCATTTTGATTACTTTGTGAACCAAGCAATTATTCCTTGCGGGAAGTTACTGTAGAAATGGAGAAGTTCATCAAAAGCAAACGACTGCATGACACAATGAGCAACCTGCCTGAGCGGCTGAACCTCAATGGCCGGTAAGTCTTCATTTTCTTCGTGTGCACATTTTTCATTAGTTTTAGCTGACCATCATTTATGTATGTACGTGGTAGTCTATGTCTCACATACAACACATGTACGTAGCCAGCATATCATTTCTTATATTTTTTGTCTCTTGGTGTATCCTGTCCTGTACAAGAATGACAAATGGCTATTGTGCTACATTTGTATTGCCACTTGAGGTTCATGGTTTTAAGGGGAAAGGAAACTATTCTGCATTTATTCACCCTTTGCCTTGATTTTTTATTTCTTTTAATTTAAAAATAAATGTGTATTTATTTTAAACAAAAAAAAGTACATTTATTCATCAACCGTTTCTGATAAAAATCAGTGGCTAGCTTCCATAACTCTTTTTATTTGTATGTAAATATTTCTGTATAAAGTCACTATTTCCTTGCTATCGTCAGTTGGTTCCTTGTTGTGACCAGCAGTTAAGTGTAACAATGTCTGAGATCAGATACATCAATTCCAGTTGAATTTGTTTAAAACTAGGAATAAACATTTTTTTTTTATGGATTAAACCAGTTTTGGACTATCTTGAGTTTTTCAGTGATCATCTGTCTTCACACAAACATTACCAGCCCTTAGTGAGATGAACTGCTACACTACAAATCAGGCAGTTTTCAGTTTAATAGCACTAAATGAGTACTTAGAATTCATTCGGTTATGCACATTATTACTGACCTTTGCTATAGCTGTTGTATGTGGAGGTGACACCTTTACTGACCTTAGCTGCGGTTGAAGTATGCCGGGGTGACACCTTTACTGACCTATGCCATCGCTGGTGTATGTAAAGGTGACACCTTCACTGACCTTTGATTGGTGTATGTAGGGGTGGCACCTGTACTGACCTATGCTATAGCTGGTGTTTGTAGATTGTCTTGGTATCGTATGTGCAACTTTTCATTTCCATTTAATTTTGGTTTGCTCTGCATTGGGTTCATTGTTTTTTGTTGCATGACTTTTTAATGTTTCTTCCCATGATTCATTCTTAACATATGTCACAGTGAATCCTTTATTCTATTGGATCGGTATATAACCAGCACATTGTTTGTTGCTCGTGGTCGATTATTATGTTGGTAATGAATAAACCTAAAGGCACCTTATTACTCCTATAAAACTTGTACAAATAATTTCTTTTATAATGTAAATATATGTAAAGTAATGACATAGACTATTGTACATGCATTTGTTTCTAATATTAACCTCTGTATTGACTTGCTTTTAGTGGCAGCTTTTAACTTACATTTTTGTAACATTCATTTGCTTTTGTTATTTAGGCTAAAAAATATTTGCAAATTTGTCATAATTTAAGTGCTTTGAGTTAACTAGGTAATTTTAAAAGTAAGGTTTATTATATTATTATAAATGTTTCAACTGAATGATTTAAAATAGAAGCAATAGAAGTAGTAAGATATAAAGTCAAATCAGCTGACACTTTGCTTTTTAGCTGCTTAAACATGTTTCATGGTTTGCTATTTGGATCATTTTACTTTTATTTACTAATTTTCTATTGACAACCCCAACAACACCAATTTCATTCTTTAAAAGCAACGTAATTTTTTTTTTTTATGTTGTTAATCTACTGTTTAATGAATATGTTAAAATTTCTTTATGTGAAAAAATGTCAATGGTCATTCAATACCATAAAGTAAATTTCATTACTACCACATATAAAATACTTAATCCCAAACATTTCTTGGTCTTTTTGGGGTTCACTTGTTTATTACTTAACAGTTTTCATTTGTTTACTAACAACTCTCTTCAAACCTGATTTGTTTGTAGCAAATTTTTTTAGATTTTTTTTTTTTAACCAATGGCAAAATCTCACTTCGGGCTTAATAATGTTGCGTCATTCTCTTTTTTTCTTCCCCTCCCTCATCCACACCCGCCACACCTTTGTCTCATTCCTCCTGGTGATTCCTCTTTTTTTATCTCCATTTTTTAAAAATTATTATAAAATCTTTCAACCATTCTCTTTCTTCAATGTTAATTCTGAACATTATAAAATTCAAATCAATGGGGTCATGACAATGGATTTCTGTAACTTTTCATCAACATCAAACTATTTCCCTTTCTTTGGCTCCTCTTCCTCTCCTTCCTTTTTCTTGTAAACAACTGATACCTACTAGGCGGGCCCTCCCTCGTGTACTTAGGTATTACTTGAAGAACAACTTGACCTCTGAACCCCTCATCCCTGACGATCTGATTGGTCAGCTGCTAGCAGAGAGTCAGATCAGTTTGCTCCACCTAAACCCACATGAAGTGGCATGGCAGCTGACCCTGAATGACTACAGAGTGTTTCGAGAGATTGAGCCTACAGAGTACGTAGATGATCTGTATGGTCTCAATTCTAAATATGGCTGTCACCAGCTGCATAAGTTTGCTGAGGTGAGTAGGAATTACATTGCACATATTAAAAGTTGCATATTTTTTCACATAATCTATTAACATTTTAGTCAGTACTGTTGTTCATTGTTGCAGTCAATGATCTATTTCACTAAACTTAAGTTTTAGCCTGAATAAAAAAACAACAGTTGTCTGTAACTTTGCTGGTAACTTAAACAGTAGATGTTTTCTATGTTATAAGACTTCATTTAGATGCCACAATTGTGACCAATATTTCTGTATTCAGTTGGTAAACAAAGAAATGTTCTGGGTGGTGACAGAGATTACCAGTGAAACAAATCTAGTCAGGCGCGCCAAGTTGCTCAAACATTTTGTTAAAATTGCCAGTAAGCTTCACTTCCTTTTTTGCAAATATTTTTGGTTTAAAAATTTGGTAAAAATTTAGATGTTTACTCTTAAGCATGCAGCTTTAGTTCTTAAATAGAAAATAGAAACCTATTGACACACTAGGCCACCTACAGACATTTAAAAAATCAGTGCGTTGTTTGTAAAATGTTTTATTAATTAACAATTGTTGATGTAAGCATACATCCTGTATGCCATTAACTAGTATTAATTAGTGTATAAGTATATATTTGGGGGAGAAAAAAACTAACAAACTAGCTAGTTAGAGAATGGCAGGCATAGAAGTCTAAAGAGAAACGAAACAGATAAAAATTTCATGATGGATTTACTACTGGGCAATTACGGTTTAGTCATTTACTACTGTTTGTCTTAAAACATTTATTACCTTGTTAAAGCTTAGTGTCTAAGTATTAAAAGATTTTAAATGAACTTCCACTAGAACACTGTAAAGATTCCAAAAACTTCAACTCCATGTTTGCTATCTTGAGTGGCCTGGGTCATGGTTCAATATCAAGGTTAAAGTTGACATGGGAAAGGTTACCCAGCAAGTACATGAAACTTTTTGAGGTTAGTTTGACATCACTTTTTATTTAGTTTTTTTTTACAAACTGTAGGTCTCAATGGAAATTTTCTTTCAATCTGTTTTTGTTTTATTTACATCTACTGACAACAATTTTATTGATGGCAGGATCTCCAATCTTTAATGGATCCTTCAAGAAATATGTCCAAATATCGTAATCTGATAAACAGTGAACATGTCCAGCCTCCTTATGTAAGTCTTAGGGTGCCAGAGTTTGTTAGGAAACTCTTCTAGTCTACCCTTTCATTAAAATATCCAATTTTGTTATAATAAAATGAGCTAAACATATTTTGTAAAAATATAAATACTAAAACATCTTAATGTTGGTTTTCTTTTTGACAAAACTGTTGGTATTTCTTTCCACAGATTCCATTTTATCCCATTTTCAAGAAAGATTTATATTTCATTCATCTTGGCAATGATTGCAAAGTTGACGGCCTCATTAACTTTGAAAAGTTGCGCATGATTGCCAAAGAAGTCAGAAATATTTGCAACATTTGTTCTGTAAAATATGTAAGTGGTTTTTATCAATAGGGCTGGTAAGTAGGTCACCAACCAGTTTTACGGCTCCATAAAAACTGCATGAGCCATAGAACTAGTTGGTGACCTACTTACCAGCCCTATAGTTAACAGTGTGTATTTCAGTCCATCCATTGATGGAATTTAAATATTTTTTATATAGTCCATCGGGATAGCATCCACTGTAATGATTCTATAATAGCTAAGCTAACTTGAATGTTTCAATATTGTACTCTCTCAGGATTCCAACAACATGTTTCTAAGCACAAACAACAGCTTCCAAAGTACTCTTGTGTCTGGTATGACAACCCTCAAGAGAACCAAGAACAGACGAGGATCTGCTCTGCCTAATGCTAAAAAAATGTATGAAGAGGTAAGTACATTTCTGTAGAGTAAAATCATCACATTCGTCTGTGATTTAACTTGATGTAAACTTGATGTAAGTGGATTGTGGGTTTAACCATAGCATGAATGTATTGATCTCATAGGCCCAGATGGTGCGAAGAGTAAAATCCTACTTAAGCAACATGCCAAGCATCTCTGATGAAGACAAGTTAACTGAGCTTTCAAATGTGTGTGAGCCTCCAGGTAATATTTTAGCTGTTTATGTCTTGTCTACCTTTACAAATCAGCAATGTATTAAAACTTGGTCTCTCTATCTAAATGATGCATTTTTATTAATTTCAATGACTTTTCACAGTAAAAAGGCGTGACCAGTCTCCAAGTGTAAATAATTCACCAAATATGGAAGACAAAAGGACAGCGGTACCAGTGGGGCCAAAATTTGGTAAGTGGGCACCTCTGGTAGAAAAATAGCTCTAGTACAGTATCTCATTAAAAAAGATACTTCTCATCTTTGTCATTTCAATTGTTTGTCCCACCTAAAAATTACTTAAAACAGATTTATTAAAACATCATATGGCTACTCATGTGAAAAATTCTCCATCTGATTCATGAAGTAGGAATTGGCTTATCAGAGTAGTGTAATAAAAACAAATATTTGAATTTACGTAGTTTAGGGTTTCTTTTTAAATTCAGGAATAATTTAGTTCTACCTGTAAACTACTTATACAGAAAATATTTTGGTGTACCCACCATAAAGATCATGGTTTGTGCACAACAAATTAGTAAAACTTCTTGATTTGGGTTAGAAAATTTACAGACATCTTCAACAGTACAATGCTTTTTATCAAATAGCAAAAAGAACTTATGTAATAGGAAGGTCATTCTTGTATTGTGATTTTTACATCCATTATAATTGAGCTTGTTAACTTTAATGAGCTTAGATATGATAATTGGGATTATTGTAAAAAGTTTAGTACGAGTGGGATATAGATAGATTTGGCATTTACTCCATGTATATAGAAAATAGTTAAATGTGTATTAATCATTAATACTAACTACTGAACACAAAATATGGTAGAAGGCCATGTATTTGAAAATCAACAAGTAGAATTGTTTTGAGATATAAACATTATAAAAGCTTAATATACTATCACAAACATGTCACACTATTTCTGCATGTTTTTTTCTGTGTCAGTGAAATTAATGACTAAATTTTATGTTTACTGCTTATAGGTGTGTGGCATGGACATTCTTTTCTCTTTCAACCATTTGTTCATAATTTTGCAGATTCAATTTTTTTTCCATTTCAAATGTTTTCTTTAATCAATGCCTTGTTTTTTAGTCATATAAAAAACAATTTGGTTTTTATCACATTTAAAAAATAAATAATTATGTTGGGAGTATCTTAGTTTGGTGTAAAAAGTAACATGGGACTTACAAAAAAAATTGGAATATATAAATGATAAGGATTATTTTTAGACCTTTTGGATGTACTTTTAATTTTATCTGATGTGCATCTTCATTTTCACCTTGGCTAATGAACGTTTTTGATTTATAAAAGACATTTTTTTAGACATAAATCTGCATGACCAACAGATGGTTGATGTAATGGATGCTTGCTTTAGTCTATTGAAATGGCTTATTTTCTTTTCATTTTGTGAGATGGCTTAATTCTACTCTGTACACTGTCTTTGAACTTTCTCTCAATAATAATGGCTGCCTGCTTGTACATACATGTATTGCACACGTTTCACACCTAATGACAGGTGCTGAGTCTCCCGGTGCCGTGAGGAAACTGATGGCGCTGTCAGACAAAGTCAAGCCCCATAACCCTAAAATACCAATAGGGAAGGTGACGGTGAGTCCGGTGTCAAATCGACGGGGGCCAGGCCCCACTTCACCTCGGATAGGGTCGGCTAGGCCTCACCCTGTCAGCCTGACACCAGAGAGCACGTGTCTGGGGTCAGGGCCCAGGAAGCAGCCTCTGAGAACTGGTAAGATCAAACACAGCTTGTATCTGTCCAATGATGATATACAGCAGCACACAATAACCACTAGACTATACAATTTATACCACTCTGGAAAATGTATGGAAAAATCTGTGTCTGTTCTCATAATATATTTAATATCTAACACTAAAATAATTTAAATAATTTTTTTTTACCTATCTTAAGTTTGTACCTTGTCTGAGATTCATCCAGATTAAAAATCAAACTACCACTTTTTTAAGAAGTTAATTTTTGTAATGGATTAAAGAATAACTGTAATATTTAAAATAGTCTAATAAATACTTTACATCTTCAATTGTTGTATGGGTGTGATTAAAAGCAAACAATGAAAAATTATTATTTTAAAAACTTGATTATAGGAGAACTGGCATCTCTTTTTGTCATGTGTTGGAATGTTTGTTTTATAGCTGTTGAAGCATGTTCTGGTATTAATAGAATGCTAGCACTTACTGGTATGGCACAAACTTAGCTGACAGCACATGAGTAAAATTTTGTTGAGGGACACCCATGGAATTTTGGCTTCTAACAGACTAAACTAGGGCTGCTTTCCCACCATTAGGTTCCATGGGTTCTATTGACTCCTCAAGTCCTACCTACAGCATTCATGGGTTCCAATCTCAAACCACATCTGAGAATGACTCAGGGCGTGGGAGCATTTGCTCCAACGTTTCCCCTCCCCCACACCGCAGACTAACAGCCCCCGCTGGCACAGCATATCATCTTCCTGGTTGGTGTCTCTATTTTTATTTTAGTTTTTTTTTTCTTTTATTAGTCTCGATGTAGCATGTTGTTTTTTGACATGTATGTACTAACCAAGTTACCCAAGTGTCCCATTAGTTGATACATTGTGATATGTGATGTACTAACTGGTATCTAATTAATGTTTCAGCCCAGTCACAACATATGAGACCTCCTCTTCCTTCTTATAGCACAGTTAGACATAATGCACCACCAATAGCAACTTGTATAGGTATATAAACCTTTTCTATTTCCCCCCTTGTGTTGAACTGTTTATAAAAGTAATTGATCAGTTGAATTTTTGTGGCCTTCTCTTACAATTGTTACATTTTTATGCTACCTACTTTGGGAGAGTTTTATTAACAACACACAAACAAACATAAGGGCTGTTCTGCTAGAGATTTACAGCCTATATTTTGGGAATGTATTTTTCTACATATTTGTTCCCCAATATATCATTGTACATGTATGAATGAACCTTGCATGCAATTGTAAAAATTGTAATTTAAAATTAAAGTTGTCTGTTTATTTAATGACTGGAAATTCAGTTTGCTCTCATTAGTGATTTTATTATATATGTATGTGTGCTTTGCTTCTTATCAAATTGCTACTCATATTTATACCCAATTCAAATGAAATGAAATATCTATTATGATTATATCTGGTAGTTTGTTTTTGTGCAGTACGTAGCAACCTGAAACAACATCTTAGTTTTTAAAATTTAGGTTAAGTAGCAATTTTACTTCCAAAGAGTGTTTATTTAGGTTTCAAGATAACCAAGTATGCTGCTCAAAGCATTACTGTACCTTAATATTTGTGTTGTGCTGCCTTTATGAATAACAGGCAGTGTTAAGTTTTTTAAAAACTTGTCTATATAACTCCTATTTTCAGTCTGACATTTGATCTAGTGCTGATTGTCTAAAATATTTGTTAAGAAAAATTTGAGTAGACTTCTCCTGTAGCTTTACTTTTGGAATTTTCTGCTGTGCATAAATTTAATTTTTTTTATTTAGCACCAATTTATGGCGCACATCAAACTTTCCGTCGTCCTCCCCTACCTGATTATGAAGCAGCAACAACAATGGCACGCCAGCTACAGCAACACCACCAACGATCTCATGACAATGTATATATAGGCCATGTCACCCCTGTAGAAAGTGATTATGACAGTCCTTTAGTTGAAGGTGTGTTCTCTTTATATTTTTTTGTATGAAGTACTGGTATATTGTTACTTCTACAAATCTCAACAACAGTATTATTTTAGCAAAAAATAAAACAACAAATAATAACTTTAAATTTCTTCAAACATGATTCACTTATTGAAATATAATACTTTCTTAAAGCTTGAAGTTAGTGCCATAAAAAAAGTTTTATTTCAATTTTCCTTAGTCCAGTTCTTCATATAAAACTAAATTCAAAATCCAAAATAAATTTCTATTTGCAGGTGTGGATGAAGAACAAGTGTCTGCAGTCTAGTCTGTAAACATGCTAGTGTATATTTATCTAATGCTGGACCTGAACCACAGATCTGATTAGCACTGAGTGCCTGGCTCAGTGCATTGCTTTCTCATTGGATGTACAGGCAGACATCCAGGACCTAAGCTCGGCTATGAAGGAGTGTTGCATAAAGCTGGCAGTGTGTCACTGGTGGTGAAAGCTGGTGTATAAATGACTTCTGAAGCTACAAACAATGGGTGCTGATAGCAGATGTGTTGTGTGTATGGCAGTTGTGGAAGTTTTGCAGGCAGTGTGTAGAGAAAACTACATTAACAGGCAGCAGGTTATTGTAGCATGGTGCATTGTAAGTGGTTGTGAAAATTTTAGTTTTATCGTTGAGGCTTGAAGTGTCATAGGCACAGCGGCGTAGCTACTGTATATCAAGCATAAGCATGGCTTAAAGTACCATAGAACATAAGGGCCCTTTTCCCCCTGTGACAAATATAAAATGTCCACATAGGTTGATTTTTTTCGCCTACAACGTTAGAATTCTGTTGTAGCCTAAGGGGCCCACTAATAATTTTAGCATTAGGGCCTAAAAATCCTAGCTACGCCACTACATAGACAGTTAATAGTTTTAACTTTACTAAATGTGTAAAATAGAAAAATATGTTCAATTCTCAAACCAAGACATTTTTATACAATGAAACTGATTTTTCTTTTTTTTTTTTTGTAATTAAATCATTCTAGTTTTTGTTAAGAAATGTTGCGAAAACATAATTTTTTTCGGTGACCTAGTCAAATTATGCCAAAGAGTCAGAGGTACTCAAAAGCTGATTTCCTTGTTTTTATTTGTATTCTCAATGTAAATAGGAGGTTTACAGTGCCGGTGCTGTGTGTGAGTTCTATACTGTCTGATGACTGCTTGAACTGTATGGCAGCTGAATGAATGATTGCTGTGAGGATGTGCTGTGATAGAAAAATACTCAAACTTGTAAACACTCCAGAGCTGCTTAGGACAATCAGACATTTCACTTGTAAAAATTGTTTATAACATGTCCATTCTTGTACAGAAAGATTTAACTGTGTTCACATTTGACTCATTAATTTTTCTGCCTTTTTATTCAGAGAAATCTATTTGTTACCCTTAACTGTCGTGTTTAAAAAAAGTAAAGAGCCTCATGGATAAGATGTTAAATGTAGGATTGCTGACACACTTTAGTTTGTTAATCAAGTCGCCCTGAATCAGGAGCTTCCTAACCATATTGGTGCAGTGTTAACTGTGATATCTTCACTAGTTAGAGTTGCTATCATCATTGTACAGATAATAATCTTTGGCCCAACAAGTTATTTTTTTTATTGTACAGTTTGATTTTTTTTTTCTAAATTGTAATTTTTTTATGATTTTACAGTCTTTTAGTTTCCAACTGAAAATATTTTGAGCACTCTAAGGATACTAGTGTTATATATACTTAATAAATTGTCCACATATAAGCAATTTTTCTCCACTGTTCAGGTATGTGTCAACCACTGCACAATTCTAATAAGATAATGTTGTAAACAGAATGTACAAAGTAAAGAAAGTTGTAGAAAGACATCTAGCTGTAACTAAGATATTAAATTGTCTACTCTGAATTAATAAACCCAGGTTACATTATTGGCTAAATTTAAAATCTACTTAAACTGATCTGTCAGTGCTAAACTATCTACTGTTCGTAGTGCATAGCCAGCAAAGTACTAACGTTAATCATTTTTAAATTCTGCCAGTTTTGAATGTTGTTTTAACATTGTTAAGTAGAGTTGAAGATTATTTTAGTAGTGTGATTGTTGATTTTAGTTTTGAATTCCAGTAAGAGATTTTAATGGAATGACTCATTTAATTTTATATTTTTAGTTCTGTAAGAACAATTTAAAAAAAAAAAACGGCTGAAAATATTGTACAGATGTATGTGTGGGCAGGCAGAAAGTTTTTATATTGTTGATGCTGTGAGAGTGTAAATAAGTTGTACAATAAAGGTTCAGTTCTAACAGCTTGCATTCATCTCACTTCACCCTGTCATCACCTGACACTCTCTGCTGGCAGTATGTCAGTCTAATCTTGCTTTATACTGGAGCATTTATTTGGCGTATCAAATCAAAACTATTTTTTAAACTTGGAGATATCTGTATAAAAACTGCAAGCATTTTTATTTTATTTATCCATTCATTTTTAATACTGTTACAAATCTGGCATACAGTATTTAGTGTTTCTAAAAACAGAAATATTTCTTCTTTAAAAATGATCTCAGGTGATTTGTAAATATTCATATTAAATTAATTTGTGCAAAAGGAGGAAATTTTCTTCACTAGTAAAAAATTGTATTGAACAGGTAAAATCTGACACTTAGCATTTCTTCTTAAGTACACGACTCAATGTAAAGTGTTTCTTTTAAGAAAGTTTAAGACAGTTCCTTGTTTGACATATTTTCATGTGTTGCTAGTAGCCACTAAAATTGTTAGCTGATGGAAGGTATTTATTTAATAGTAATACAATCTTGAACTCATATAAGTAAATAAAAACACATTTAAAAACTGAGTAATAAACAACAAATTATTGTTTTTATATAAAAAATGGAAATATTTAATGAAATTAGTGACTTATGAGCATGAAAGCACAAAGTATAAAGAAAATTAACATCATCCAGAAGCTTGATATAATGTGTGATCACATTGGTCTTCTGTACTTCTTTACTTCTCCATTCATTATTAGAAACCTCGTCAAAGCACACCAGAATTATATGAATCTGTCATTTTAATTTAAAGAAGACAAAATAGCATTGTTAGTATTATAAAAGCAGCTAAACCAGTATAGATGTTCCTGTAAGCTACCGTAGGAGTTTAAGTTACCATACATAGCAAATTATAAGTTGCTTACATTTGTACCTGGAGTTCTGCCAAACCCATTATAATTTATAGTTTTATTTTTTTGGTGTAATTTCATATTTAATAAATTAAAAATGCTAGAAAAAGCAATTTTTTAAAGCTGATAGAGATCTTCATAGATAGGCAAGTGTCTATTTATTGTAAGAAAAACATTGCTTTACAAATTCCTACCACCCATCTCTTTGCATTTGACAAAAATATAGTTTTTGAATAAACCCCATAGACAACTAGAGAAAAATATTTTAGTATTCTCCAATCATGTTCTTGAAGTTCTTGTGTCACAGTGAAACTGATTGTGTGGTAAAAAAAGGCTTAATCTTAAAATCTTTATACATTGTAAACAGCTAAAAACAAACATTTTTCTTGAACTTTTTAGTTTATTTTTATCAGTTGTGTCTGAAGTACATGATGTTTCAATACATCAAAATGCATAACATAAGAAATAACAATCTTAGAATGTGAGTCATTTACCAGTCACATCAGGATATTTCATGTTCACAGTCCTGTCAATATGTGCCGTGTTAACACAAACAAGACTATATCGAAGTTTTAAAAACGTAAGCTGACAGCAACAGTTAACATTGTAAAATAAAAAGTTGGACATCTTGAGTGTTTCATGATCAACCCATTCATGTTATCACAGTATTGTACATATTTTACAAATACCTGGTTGTACACTTGATCAGTATCCAATCATTTTGATGTCGAATTTAATATCTAGTCTTTAGTGCTCTTTCATGAGCAAAAATCTTTAAAAACATTTATTTTTAACATCTGAAAAGTTCTTGCCTTATAAGGAGTCTTTAACCAATGTGAACAATCATTTTCAATGAAACAATAAAACAGGTTATATTTAATTAAGTATTTATAAACAAAAAGAAATACAAATATTTAGACCATTCAGGACAAGTAAGCTATGTATAATGAGACATACAAATTATTGTATTTATTTCATGATTTAGAGAAGTCATCATAAATAAAAAAGTCTTTGTTATAAGCTATTATTTTTAAAAGATAAAAAAATTAGTAGTGATTCCTACTAAAGCATTCAATGAATTTGAATTAGTCATCCATTTTTAAAAGTAGCTAATTTAAAAAATCAAACAAGTCACCACTACTACCTGTGCTAACTAAAGATAAAAAAATGCAGTTTACTGAAATAAGTTACATATATGAAGTGATTACATCCACCATACATAGGTGAAAAATTACATGGCTTACATCTATTAAAAAGATGATTCATAATGAAGGTACTGATTACCCCAGCATAGGTAGATACTATTCTTATCAACATATCCAAATGCAATGATTTATGTTACACATATGACTAGTTCATCACTTATCCTAAGATTATAGTAACACTTTCAATACTGTCCTACATAAATCTTCATTGCCCTTAATCAAAAATAAATTTTAGTCTCAGTTAATTTCCAGAAGATGTGTATTTTAAATAACATCTCAATAGTAATGCCTATTTTTTAGAACCCTTGTAACATAACTGCCTATGCACTGTGCTTATTTATTTTTTGCCCAGTTAAAAACAAACCATAAAACCTCAATGAAAACCACACTGCAAGTCTGAACATAGTCTTTAACCTTCTACAGAGAGAAAAAAAGACGTGAAACTTTTTGGACAATTCAGACAATGAAATGTATATGAGAATACATGACTACATGAAATAAAATTAATGAGAAAAATCAAACACTTGTTTAATGATGGGGGGCACATTATATGGATAAAGATGGGTTGTTTTATATGTAAACCACTGTAGACAATAGCTTGCGTTGGGTGTAAATAAAATGAGTTAAAACATAAATTGTAAAATTATCAATTTTTTTTAAAAGGGAATTTTATAATCCCATAACCTCTTCTTCATTTTAAACAAGAAAAAAAATGTTTTTTTTTTTAATAATGTAGGACCGAGGAGTATGCAAAGATAAAGCTTGTTTACCAATTTCTCTTTAAAGGCCTAATTTAATCCTTGTGCATGCAAAGAATTAAACTATCAGTGAACTTAATCCCCCAAAAATCTATGTATCGATTAACTTACAGTAAAACTGAGAGTTAATATAGGCGCGATCTCATCTAATTAACAAGATTGAAGCAGGCAAGTCAAGAGTCACAAAAACCATATTATAAAATTAATAGATAAAAATTGGCTTATTCTGTCATCTCCTCAGCCCAAGTTTTATGATAGATTTCCACTGAACTATTGCACATTTTTTCTCTGTACAAAGTTTTTCAACTATTTACTTAATGGCATCAAGTTGATGGAAATATTGCCAGCACAGGGGCAGCTATTAGGATTTATGAGACATGGGAGGGAACTCACTGTCATCATGTATCCTTAAAGCTCCTAAATTCTCCTCCCCTCCAACAGCACCATCTAAAGGATCTTGGTAGGGTTGAGAATCTGCAATTGACAACAAAAAAAAAAACATTGTACATATTTTCATAAATTAAAAAATTCCAGATAATTCCGATACTTCTGGTGCCGATTTGGCTGATAATTTTAAAAAATGGGAGTTCGGGAGAGATTTAAGACAAAGAGTGCAGTTATTAAAATTAATCCATCGCAATTTTATTTAAATTATTGACTTTTTGTTGAATGCTAATGTACCAATGCTTTAGTATTTTGATCTCTGCTACATTATGGCATTTTCTTTTTCCCTTGCATCTTTTGGAAGTGAATGCTATTTAGGACTCTCATACCATCATATAGTTTAATCATCTTGATAAAGAAAAAAGATATTTGAATACTGGTCGTCCTCATCAGTAGAACCTGACACAATTTCAGAAGGAAAAAAATCACTGAAATATTTTTGAGTCTGTTTATGCTCTGCTTGTCCTAATCTAGAAGATTTCATTTGAAGTAGCAATAGCTGCTTTCATTATTTCATAAACAAGGAAGTATTTTCTTCAAGTGTGTATTTGGTGTGGTTTCTTCCCAACCTTTATAATTCATCTGTTTTGATGTTTTCCCCACACATTTCTTACACATCATGTTAGCATACATTCATATTGCTTACATCATGAAGAAAAAGATAAAATTAGTTTTAAACGTTTAAAATAGATTTTAACATAATCATGAATTTATCTTTAAAAAAACATGTAAGCTTAAAATTTAATCTTTAAATGTAAATACTAAATAAATGAGCAAATACAATGTCAACACAAAACAAATATAGCAATTATTTCTGTCTACAAGCAAACATGCCTTGGTACATGCAAATCATTGCTTTAAAACATAAACTACAAAAGATGCCATTATGAACAGTAAAATAAAATGTCAAAATGTTAAGGATGGAAAACAAATTTTCAGTCAAGAACGCAGTATGGAAAGGAGAAAATAGGATTGACATTTTTAAAATCAAATCAAAATTTTTATAATAAAAAATTAACAGCACAAAAAAATTGTACTGAAAAAGCTTAAGACCTGAATATTATTTAAAAAAGGGCCAGTAAACCCACTTTTGTTGACAGTGTGTATCGATATAATATGGTGTGAATCACTACAATACGCACCTGGTTTTAAGTAGGTGCAAGTCAATAGTATTTAGAAGGTCAAAGAAAATGTATTTAAAGCTTACTTGCTTTCAAGAAAATTAACTGAAAGTTGTATTTGCAAGTTTCTATAATAGTTCCTCTATCCCTTCACCAAAGTCATTTGGTTCAAGATGCCTTGACCTTCATTCAAGCTCAAAACCTTCTCATGCTAATTAAATTTATTTAGTTGCTGCGCTATAATAAAACTGATATTTTCTAAACCAATTGTACTTTAATAAATAAATTTGGTGAATTCTCTACAAGAAAATTTTTGCAGGTTCAGACATTTTATCTGTTCTAAAATATTCAATCACTTATAAATAATATTTTAAATATGAATAGGTATGCCAAAAAGTTGTATATTTATATATTCATTATATTAATATTCATAGTTAAAATAGTATAACTCTGAGTATCTTCAATGATACAATGATGTTCTGAGGATCATCTAAATAATAATTATTTTAAGACTAAGTAACTTTTTTATTACAAGTATATTATATAGCCCAATCACAAAAGCAGAAAGATGAAATTGTATTTTTAATGTTAAAGAAGAATAATTAAAAGTCTATGCCTTAGAAGGGCCACAGATAAAAACTTTTGTTGTACTGTAATTTACTTGTTTATTTTAAGATAAGTTTTTTATTATGTAAAATGCATTTTTTTTTTACTCTTTCATGATCTACATTTTTTTTAAAAAGTACATTTTAGGCAACCCTCAAACTGTATTGTTAATTATTTATCACATTCTATTAGAATAGTTCACCAATTATAGGTCAAGGTGGCTAATGTTATCTTTGGATGGGTTGCACAATGTTAAGTGGGAAATTATTTAACTTTAGAGATCAAATGAAACCATTCATTACAGACCGGCCAAACTGGAAAATCATTTATAGTTTTGGATTTTTCAAAAATGTTTATAATAAACAGCTTTTTTTTCTTCGTTTCTTTACAATAGTCATGTACATTACTTAAGTAAAAAAAAATTAGGATTGCTCAGTATATGAAAAGTACTTATTAGGATGTGGTAGGTTATTTTTAATGTCAAAACCAGTTTGGCAAATCTGTGAATGCAACAACATTTAGAAGACATTTAAAAAAAACAACTACTGCAGTTATGTCTACTACTTAAAAAAAATATGATGAAGGGATTATAAGGAGAACTGTATAAAAAGATGCAAAACAAAAAAGGAAAACTGCCATTAAATCTAGTTTGTACTGTGCTGTAAATGTGCTCAGCAGGTTAAGAGCCCAAAAAGCATCGGATCGGATTTGATTTACCTCCTTCGGATATAAGCTCATCCAGCATGGATAAAGGATTTATGTCCGCAGTCGCCTCCTGGGGGCCCCCTCTGTTCTTCCCTTTCAACATGTCAGCATAACTCTTGTCTCCTTTCCACACCTCAGCAGGGGGAACCACAGGCGGTGCGCGGAGCTTACCTGTAGGAGCCACTGCCTCTGCTGCTGATGAGGACTGAGGTCTCCTAACTGTTGCGGCATACGAGGTTGGGTCATCTTGGTTTCCACCCTGGGTCAGTGGTCTATCCCCACAACTATCATCTGCTGATGAAGCATGCTCTGGTGCCTGTCCTTCAAGCCTAAGTAAATCAACACATCATTGTAAAAAGTTTTAAAATTAGATGATGGTAGAAATTGTGTAATTAAACCTACATTCTAATATATTTAAATGAAATCAAACATTTCCAAGCTATCACATTCTAATAATGTCTGATCTCATTTGAAAATTGCAACTGTGATAAGGTATTTATACAATTTTTAAATCAAATTTAGTTATTTAATTTTTTGTTAACAAATCAATAGATTGATACAAAATGAGTGTAGAGCAACAATAAGCACAAGTGGGGTAACTTACAAATGTGTTCTCAACAATGTACACTCTCCACCTTCACTGGGGTCAATGTTGTAGATATACAAATGACCTTCTTGTGTGGCCACTAAAAGTCTGGGAACTTTCTGTAATCTGTACAAAATTAACCGTATACCTTATTTTAACTGCTAAATAACTTACTTAAGTTCACTTATCAGGAAAACAAATTTATTTTAAAAAAAAATACTCATCTAACAACTTTATAACCTGAATGAATCAAACTCTATCATTTTAAAAAACTAAGTCTTCAATCAATTTTTTAAATGTCTTTAAAAATCAATTGAGCTGTATGTATCAGAGATATTATCCGACTTACGGGGCAATAGTGCAAACACTTTTTAAGCCTGCATGTGGCAAGCGGGCAGTAGCAAATGATCTGCCTTGGTTCATGACATCAGAAATCCCAGCAGGTAAATAGCTGGCAGATGTTCTAAAAGTGCTGTTCAATATTCCCATCCATGAGCTGTCTTCCTGGGGCCTTTAAAAAAGAATGTGTCTGTAAAACATAGCTTATCTTGTGGTATTAACTAAAACTAAATTAAAACTTGTTGACATTTACTTTTCTTTCTGTAAAATGTAGCTTAGCTTGTAGTATTAGTTAAAACAAAATTAAAACTTGTTGAGATAAATTTACTTTTTTTTTCTGTTTGGTAGAACTTAGCTTACCTTGTGTTATTAGTTAAAACTAAATTAAAACTTGTTGACAAAAATTTACTTTTCTTTCTGTTCCTCTAACTTGAAAATGTGCACAGTTTCAGTGTTGCTGCATGTACACAAAAACAGTGAATCCACACTGAAGGCCAAGCATTGGATCTCAGCACATCTGGGGAGTTTTACATGAGTTTAACTTATAACAACAATACAAAGATTAATAAATGTATGCAGAAATAAAAAACATCCCTTCATCTACAAAGAACCAACTGAACTTCTAGTAGTTGAATAGTTTAATACCAATTAAGATCTAGAGTATTCTGCTCTAAAAAAAAGTACCTTTTAAGTCCTCTTCTGAATTCAAAAAGTTTTGCACCATCTGGAAGACTGAATACCCTGATGACTGTACCCTATAATTTAAATGTATAAAAACTAGAATCAACTTTCTTTATCTTTCTGAAATCAGGTCTCAGCAAATTTGTGCATTACTACCTTAAGATTATTGTTATGCATGGTTATAAGCATTGAAAATACATCCCTTAGCATAAGTGCGCTTGTAAACTAAAACAAATCTCACATACAAGGATGTTACAAGCCTAAAATACACTTTTAAAAAATTTGTTGCCAGAATTATCGTGTGTATAGTAAGAAACTTCATTATAATGGGCTGGTGTTAACAGAAAATATTGTGATAGAGATGCCTTCTCAAGTATTATAGGATAAAAAGTGTAGAACCACTGTTCCAATCTAAACTTGAAGTCTCAAACAAACCTTCTCTGAAGCAGTGGCAAGACGTGTTCCTTGTGGGTTGAATGCAACAGCAGCCAATGGGTTATCATGGGCTGAAATGTTTATTACAGCTCTCTGAAGAACAAAACACATTCAATTACTATGCGGGCCAGTGCAATTTTAAATCATTATTTAGCAGATATTTACCACAGTAGAGAAATGCTAATTTAATTTCTTTCTTTCTACACAGCAAGAGGTGTGATGATGAAATCTATATAAATAATATTAGAAATTCAATCTGTGATCTTAAGATATTAGGTTTTTTTTTTATTAAAACCAAAATACATACCAATGTAATTGTGTCAAAAATCTGGACCTCTCCAGCTTGAACACTACCCGGGTATGCCAGATAAGCATGGTCATTGTGAGGTGAGAGTGCACAAATACCTCTTGGATTTGGTGGTGTATCTCTGATAGTATGCAAGACTTTCATGTCTCGAATGTTGTGGATGTATAAACTCTCTTCCAAGCAGACCACCAATCTCTGTAAAAAAAAATATTAATATTAATAGGTTAAACCTGCAGCACAATAATAATTCCATTACTCTATTTTTTTTTAAAGCTATTCACAATTAATCAATAAAAGCGGTGAAAAGAATTTAAAAAAAAAAGTTAATTAACAATTTTTTAAAATTTAAAAATAGGCAGATTTCAGCTACTTGAGATGCCGTTAATTAAGATGTTATGAAATTCTTTGTCATTTACCATTTTGAAATCTGATGCTAGAGTGATTCCTAAAATGTAAAGTATTTATTAAAAATGGATCTTTATTCAATAAAATAAGTAAAATAATTACCATTCGGTTCAGTTTGACGGCCAGAATGGCATTGGAGTAAGAGTAATTGCATATCTCTGATCCTTTCTTGAAGTGGCAAACATCAAGCTTGCGAGGGTGATCACTGCTAACTAAGGCAACAAGGCTGCTTGCAAACAGTCTTTCAACCAGATGAATGTTTGGACGTTCTAAATGTTAAACATGACACTGTTACAATGGATTTTTTCAATATAAAATTGGTATGAAGGAAAAAATTAACTCATTGCTGGAAGGTAAAATAATAATTTTTCTTGAAATAACTTTAGAGGGATGCAGAACAGATTACATTGAGACACTCCATCACAAATTGTAAACTGTAATGGCCGTCACAAAAACTACCCTCAGTTATGATCATAAATGGAAACAACTGAAGGAGGGCACCATTAGAAAAGATATGAATGACATTCCTTAATAACCTCAATATCCATGTCTGCCTATAATCATTATTCATTTTCCATTCATAATGATTTAAATTTTAAAATTTCTTGACATAAATTATTATAAAAAGAGAGGCTCTAAAACAAAAATCTTTTGACCAAATTTACATATAAATTGTGATTGTGTAAACAGGATGGCACAATTAAACATCTGTTTCAAGTTATAATCCTTAAAATAAATTCAATACCATTATTTTCATGTGTGAATTCCAGATTCTCCACTGAGTTGAGTGGATATAGCTTGAATCCTGTTTTGGACCCAGTCTGCAATGACCTGTAAATAAAAAATTCATATTAATTTCTGTGGTCTCTTGGGTACCAGATAATCAATTCTAGATGACAAGACTGCCCTCATAATTTGTATACATCAACTACTCAACCAGAGAAACAAATTTAAAAAATTAAACAAAGAGTAAATGTATTTTTGCAAATTAAAACAGCTTTTATTTTTAGAAATTAAGTTTTAAAAATCTTTCTTAGATTCATCATTATTTCAACCTAAATCATTCTTAAGCTCAAGTTTAATGTGCAATTTTGTCATTGGAGCTAAGTTTAGAACTTACATAAGAAGAAACTAGAACAACTAAAAACAAATGTAATAACATTTACAGTTACAAGCTGTTATAAATGCACTGAAAATGAGAAAATAAAACAAAACTTTCTTTAGTAAAAGCATATATCATAAATAAAATAAGTGTGACTACCAATAATAAAGTGTTATTTTCCAAAAGTGTAGATAGCACTAATTCACTTTAATTTTACATCCTCATCAAACAAATTTAAAATTAGCATCCTTAATTTATGTTACTGCTTTAGCATCCTTAGACAGATCTCACACTAATTAAATCTATCAAACACTTTCCTGCTATACATATATATATAACATAAAGGCTGGTTTATCATTTTATTGCAGTAGTATAGAGAAATGTTATATAAAAACACTGCCTTTGATTTTATTTATTATCTTTTTCAAACATTTTTGCCAATTAATTAACAAGGGCTGAATGTTAATGCTGACACAACTTGCTAATTGATTTTTTATTTTAACACAACATAAGGCTTGGCACATGTTTTAAATGAAGATGTGACAAATGATCCTTTAGAAATTATTTCTTTAAAAAAAAAATAACTAAAGTATCATTAAAGTTATATAATTTGAGGGGTAGAGGATATATATTAATATTATGTGGGTGGGTTAATATTACATTTTTATGTTAAATTATAAGTTGCAAACTAAATTTTAAAAATTATTGTTAGTTTTTTAAACAATTCCATTCCATAGCATATCCATTAACGGCCAATAAAACACCAACACCAAATTTTAGGACAAACTGATTAAGGGATAAAATAATATATATTAAAAAAAAACCTCAGTAAATCAAAATTGAGAAAAACAGAAATGTTAAATATCTGTCGTGCTGAACAATAAAAGCAAATGCAAGCTTTTTTTAAAATTTGTTACAGTTTCTTGTGTTGGTTTTATGTCAATCAATTTTAAAAGTATGTCATTTGTGAAATGGAATAGTGTAGAGATATAGTAAGTAAAGGGGCTTATATCCTCTAACATTATGTCAACAAAATAAACATAGTGTTTATTTCCCCCGACAGAATGTGAGAGGATAGAAAGCACTTTGTGTATTTCCTGTATAGTAAGATGAAATTGTCAGAGGAAAAACAAACACACTTTTACCTAAAAGTAGATCTATTTGTAAAAAAAATACTTTATTCATTAATTCAGTAAAAATTTGCTCTGATAAAAAATATTATTATTTTCTTACACTATCACTAACACAACTCTAACCCTAAACAAACGAAACCTTAATCCTTAACCGTAAGATATAATGCTTTTAAAATTATATTATTAATGCCCAACCCGAAACATTCAGTAAACAATAATAATAGGGCCTATATCAATATGATATAAAAAAACCTTATGATTCTAAAAATACAACCTTATGTTCAAAAATTCTAAAAATATGTTTGCTTATAAATTAAGCTAAAAATAGATTATATAGACCTAAGCACCTTACATATTCCCTCTTTTGTTTGCCACAAAAAAAAACCACTTCCGGTAGGTCTAATTATTAATAGATAAGTTAAAATAGATTTTTAGTGCTGATTTCTCTCAACAGGTGGCAAACTAATTTTAAAAAAACTTATTGTAAACTTCTGAGTTAGGCCTAGCAATAGATCTACATAATTATCATATATAATAATATAGGCCTATATTATAAATTACCCATTATATAAAAAAACAACAGGATAACATTATGTGTTGAGTTTCACTTACAAGTCTTAATGTAATCCACTAAAAGGCCTACTTAAATAAAAATGTCAATAGACTTCCACAGTAAAATCCAAGCCTAGTCTAGTCTCTAGCTACAACTTGATCTAGCTAGGATTAGGCTAGGTGGTTAATTTTTGTAACCGTCTCCAGACTACACCTGGCACCAGCCAATTGGACAGGCACTTTCTAAGCGTTTTGGTAAGACGTGACTTCATCGGCGCGGTGTGTCAAAACAGCAGTTTTTAAGCCTAAATTTATTCTATAAACAAACCCACAACTACATTAACGAAGTAATTAGCATAATTATTAATTAACATACCTAATTAAGCTAATTGATAAATTTGCTATAATGATTATGAAGGGAGACTTTTTTTTTTCACTTTGGCATCCCTCAAACAAAATTCTTATATTTTCTTAATACATGTGCAATAAGTTATTCTGTCTACAAAAACTACACATCTCAGTTGTCTCGGTGCCTAGACCTATTTTTAGACACAAGTGAGTTCGTTTTTGTTGATGTTTTATTTTTAGACTTGGCATTGTACATTGACCATATGAATCCATTGTTTTGTTAGTATTGTTAAAATTGTAGACTAGTATTGTTACATACATTGTATCAGCGGTATAATATTCCGGTAAGTAGTAATTATAAAATAAACAATCATCCCTATTTAATAAATTTATTGGTAATCTATCGTTTTGGGTACGTAAAATCGCCCGCGGCTATTAATGTACGAAAACGTTACCTCAATGTCAAGGCTGTAATAGAAGTATATTGTGATATGTTTGTGTCAAATATTATAGATAAATGAATAATAAACCTAAATCAATGGCTTAATATATTAATATAGGCCAGAAATTAACTTTAAACAGCAGTGTCTGCAAGCAAGATTTGCTATGTAAACAGCAGCCATTTGTAAAATAGAGTGACTTCTGCCTGAATCTCGTGCTATAAGTCTATAAAAATAAAACTTAAAACAAGATGGCTGCTATAGTAAATGAGCATGGTTGCATCTGTTGGAAACATCGCTGGTGTTCATTTATTACTGAAAAGTTTTAATTCAATTGTTTAAAAACAGGTACATAAATGAAACAAGGAAACATTTTTGTATTTTTCAAAACATAAATCCTCCTCAAAATGTGAAATAATTATTAAAATGTAAGGAGTCACCTGTTTTTCACATTACTAGTCGTGGGCGATTTTACGTACCTAAAACGATAGATTACCAATTTATTATTTAAATTTAATATTAGACCAAGACTCAAGATAAGTTAATCATTTTACAGTACAGATTTAGTGTCTCAGCTAATATGCAGACTCACAGACTACCAGCCCAGATCAGACAGAGGTAATCCCTTAGTTTAGCGTCGGAAATTATCGGGTAATGTTTGTTGAGTCTCGGTAATTAGAGTTACGGTAAACCATGGTTTATTTGACCATTGAAATATAAATAAATTGAAAGTCGATTGTAGTAAATTAATGTTTTAATTTTTTAAGTTTAATCCACAAAAGGAAACAAGAATAAATATAAATCTAATAGAAGTTTTAAATTAGTAGATCTAAAAAAAACATAGATCTATATTAATATAAATAATAAAGTCAAATGTAATAATTTAATGTAAAAATGATTACAAAAATAAATCTAAAAATAAAAGATGACGCCAAATAAAGTATGGTTTACAGTACTTCCGGTGAATTCCGGAAGTGTGTGACAGACTTTGACATTGTTTTACTGTTTTTTACTGCTATACGATTCCGGAATAATAACCGACGCTAAACTAAGGGATTACCCAGACAGAATTCAACCAGTTTCTTCTCTTCTGACTTCTAGATCTAGAGTTCTACAGTTTCATTTTTAATTTTATTGCTGACTGAATCCGAATATTAGAATTATTAGGCCCAGATCTAAATGCGCTAAAAATGAAATAATAACATACGACGAGTCCTGATTAAAATTGACAAACAGCAATTTAGAATGCTGCTCCGAAGGGTGGCTTAAAAAGCTCATTTGAACAGTATGGTAGTTGCAGAATAGTACCTCTGGATGTTTGTTGAAAAGAAAATATTTATCTTTTGATTTGGTTACACTAAATACTAGCAATCACATAATCAGCATAACACGTTCTAAAAATAAAAATAAATAAAAAGTGTGGCCCATAAATGACGTCACGTATTTCAGCCGATTTTTATTTTCCCAAGCTGTAAAACAGCTTAAATTTATAATAATATAGATCTACATAATTTTATGGAGTCGTCCATAAATAGCGTCACAATCTTGAGTGGAGAGAGTTCGGACTTTAGTGACGATTTGTAGCCGAATTTACCCGAACCCGTATAGGCCTATTCGTTGATAGCTAGACAGCCACAAATTACAGTAAAAACTTCGGTCTTAAGTTTCTTCAATTAAAAAAATTATGACAGCCTGCAAATCTCTGAATCTTTATGAAAAATAGTGGGTAAAAAAGCCTTTAAAATCGAGAGCCAGTCTGGCAGTGTACAACGTCCCAGCGCGATAACTCTTTCAATAAAGTACAATTTTAAATAGTCTTGGCACATTAACACGGTAAGTTTACACGCCGTAGACTTACGGACATCATGGAAAAGTTTAACTCCCAAATATTATTTATGCCTAGTAATGGAAGGTACCGAAAATATCAAATCCCTATATTACATCATCAAATATCAGTTAATGTACACATTGCGTGCGTAAATAAATAATTATTTTTAGTATGTTTTGTGATGTCTACTAAATTTTTGTGGGCGCCCACAGTGGGGGGGGGGGGGGGGGGTCCGTCGAAAGTGGACGTTTGTGGACGAGGGGGGGGGGGAGGGGAGGGGGGTATAAAATTCCAAAATTTTGTGGACGTCATAAATGGATGACCCCTTAGGGAATGGTTCGAAAAAAAAAGAGAATATGACGCCAAATTGTAAAGGGTGAGGTTTAGGCTTGTGTAAGTATGTATTAAAATTATGATGAATTGTTATAGCAAATTCTTTTTAAATATATTTCTTGAATTGTAAATTTACAAAATACAAGTTAAATTTCTCGTAAGAATCTTGCTCCCCCTTCGCCCCCCCCCCCCCCCCCCAAAATAATTTAATTAGGTATTTTCTGGTCCTTTTAATCGCTTTGGATATAATATTGACTTTACTTTTACTTAGATTCTATTTGTTTCAACTTTGGAGAACTTTAAAATTTAAAGACAGAATTTTTAAAAATTAAAATAATCGTCGCGTTTCTTCTAGCTTTCACTCTTGGTTGTTAGTGCATTTGGGAAACCAATTCCTGGTATGGCAAAGGGAATTTACTCTGTGTTCTAAAAATACCAAAAATTTTCTTATAATTTGTGTGTACTGTAGCCTAGGCCTAGGCTTATGTGTCGGTAGTCTTCGAGTCAATAGTCAATACAATACAGTCTTTAGTCTACAGTACAGTAACAACACATAAGTTCAATGAACTGTATATTTATTAGAATTACAGCATGACGAAATAATTAAAATAGAAGCTATAGTCAGTGAGTAGTCTCGTCGTAGTGATTCAATCGAGTAGTCAAGTAGTAGCGAGGCTCACTAAATCTTAATTTTAATTTTTTATTTTTTTAACCAATACCAATAAAAGCTAGAGATATTTTTCTAACTAACTAGGCACTACATTTGATGATTTTAGCTCATTATGAACTAAAATACATGATTTTAATTATTGGTGCCATACAGCTTAGCTGTGAAAGATTTTTCCATGACAACCAGTCTGAGATCTGATTCCTAAAGTTGACCTGAAAACTACCTCGGAGGTTCGTAAGGATCATGTGTGGGGAGGGGGAAGTGAAGGTATGCTGCAATAAAACGAAATCGAAAGGATACTCGTAACTTGGTTATGTAATCTATTTACTATATTTTTAGCAAACGCCAAATGAATGAACCAAAAATAATCACGTATAAATGTTTAAAAATATATAGATCTAAACTTTTTAAAGGTATTCATTTTCACGTTTTATTCAGTCTTGATTAATCAGTGTAAATAGGAATGTTTAATTAGGACAATTATGCATAATAATACATAGATTGAGTTAACGGCGGAATCTAACCCTCCTCCCTTATCCAGCATGGAAGCTTTGTCTAGGCTGAGTTTTAAATATTAAAAAAAAGTATATAGGCATAATAAAATATGTTTTTATTTTTAAAACTGTCGTTGCATTAAATTTCATCACATGTGAGCGAGAAATGCATTCCAAACATCGCCACTCATGGGCTGTGCGTAGTGACGGCTCGCTCGCGTTGTTTTGTCAACGAGAGAAACATCGCCCGTCCGAAGCTAGATCCAGGTGGAGTTTTAATACTTAAATTTGTATCTAGAGCTAGTGTGTAGATCTAGATAGATCTATTTAAAGATTGTTAGGCTACGCCTATCACATTAACGTTGATCACTTGTGAGTGAAAAATTATGCAAATTCGTCACGAGCCCGCTTGCGTTCTTTCGTCACGCGAGCGTGTGCGCAAGTCCCTGTACTGTGTCAACTAGATCTAGATCTAAGAATGCAAACTTTTGTTTATGCAGGCTGTCCTCTAATATGATTATTATAATTTATTAGCCTAGCCCTTCTGGATCTAAATCATAATAATCAATTATATAAAAATGAAAGCAAATGAAAATAATATTAACTATAATTCGATCTAGTAGTAATTAGTAATAATAAAATCAAGTAAATAATTTAGCACCTAGACTTTTTCGAGATCGCGTTTCACCACGAGATCACAGGTTTACGGGCTTTTACAGAAATGCCAACTAATTCCTATCTTCCCGTGTTCAGATCGAAATACTTAATTAATTTGTCCAGCAATGTAAAAATCAAAATTGGAAAATATTCACTTAACGCTCGTCAACACAAACGTAGTAAAGAGTCGATAGAGCCACCTAGGCGAACGTCTGCCGCCCAATAGCGGTCACGTGGGTTATGGAATTTTTACTTCTGGTGGTGACCGTTTTGGAGAATTTTTAAAAAAATTAGCGCATGTAATATTCGATTTATTTTTACACAGACTGTTAAATCTAATATTGATGTACTTTCGGTTTCCGATCTACATCGTAGTTGCTAATATTTAAAAAGATCTACGAATGTTTGTCGGCACCACTTTTTGAGCTTCGGTCTTCATTATCCAAAGCAATTTATAGCGTTTCTCTGGCATATTTAGCACTGCCAACTATAGTTTGTTTACATTATGTGAAAAAACCGCAATTTTTCACGAGGTAAACATTTTAAAAACGAATTCCTATAAAGTCACTTGGGCAGACAAGAAAAATGTCCGAAACTAAGCGTCCGGTTTAGGACGCCATGTTGTTGTTACAGAGGCGTAGCGACCCTTCCCGGCGCCCGGGGACAAACTTTTCGATTAGCACCCCCCCTCGAGATTTTGATTTGCACCCCCCCTCAAACTTTCGATTTGCACCCCCCCCCCTCGAGATTTTGATTTGCACCCCCCTCAAACTTTCAATTTGCGCCCCCCTCAACCTTTCAATTTATTTTTCCAACCCATTTTGGCGCCCCCTAAGCTCGGCGCCCGGGGATATGTGTCCCCCGCCCCCCCCCCCCTCGCTACGCTACTGTGTTGTTAGCAACCAGAGACGCTTTCAAGTTAGTTATCCTTGCTATAATAAGTATGCATCAAATACTCTCACCAATACCAATCTGAAGGGTAGATCGATGTGTTTCGCGGGCTTTTATAGCCTTGTAAGATACCTATCATCACATGGCCAGGTAAAAGATCACTAATGATTCTCAATTAGCCTAATTACGCAGGAAATCAAGGCCAAATTGTGAGCCCATTTGAAATAATATACAACCCTTTTAGCGTCTATTGCGCATACTTCCGTACAGCATCCATCACAATAGCGATGACGTCACAATTAAAAATTACGTGCTTTCAGTGACCTTTTTTGGGCGCCGATTTCTTAAAATGGTTATAAAATAATTACAATATTTTTTCACTAAACGATCTGTCTAATAATAGCCTACCGTACAGTGCCATTTTGACACCTAACAGACCATTATTTAAAGTTTTTAAACAACTCAAACTATACCCATGTTTACGTTTGACCTACATTGTCGGAAGCAAATTTTAATTTTTTTTTCTGGCAAAAATAGCTTTGTCATCTTCAGATAGCTTAAAATACGCAAAAAAACGCCATTTTTCGCGTGATAATTATTTTTAATGTTAATGTTAAGGTGGTCTCTCGAACAAAGCTGAAAAAATTGCCCAATCGTAGGCCAAGGTGTGGTAGCCATGTTCTGGTTAGCAACCAAGGACGCTTTCGAGTTAGTGAGCCTCGCTACAAGTAGGACTTGTGACTTAGTATTTAGTAAGACTAACTTAGTAACCTAGTCTCTAGATTAGAGAATTCTAGACTAGATCTAGAATCTAGATCTAGATCTTGTTCTTGAAATACAGAAATACTAAATAGACTATTTAAAATGTAACTTAAAAATCAATAACAGTTCTAGAATCTAGATCCTTACTTAGTAACTTACTAATACTTACTTACTTAGGTAATCTATCGTTTTGGGTACGTAAAATCGCCCGCGGCTATTAATGTACGAAAACGTTACCTCATTGTAAAGGCTGTAATAGAAGTATATTGTGATATGTTTGTGTCAAATATTATAGATAAATGAATAATAAACCTAAATCAATGGCTAAATATATCAATATAGGCCAGAAATTAACTTTAAACAGCAGTGTCTGCAAGCAAGATTTGCTATATAAACAGCAGCCATTTGTAAAATAGAGTGACTTCCGCCTGAATCTTGCGCTATAAGTCTATAAAAATAAAACTTTAACAAGATGGCTGCTATAAGTATAGTAAATGAGCATGGTTGCATCTGTTGGAAACATCGCTGGTGTTCATTTATTACGGAAAAGTTTTAATTCAATTGTTTAGAAACAGGTACATAAATGAAACAAGGAAACATTTTTGTATTTTTCAAAACATAAATCCTCCTCAAAATGTGAAATAATTATTAAAATGTAAGGAGTCACCTGTTTTTCACATTACTAGTCGCGGGCGATTTTACGTACCTAAAACGATAGATTACCCTTACTTATAACTTAGTATTCTACAAACTATTTAGTAATTTAAAAGTAAAAGCAATTAGTAATTAGTAATTAGGTTAGTTTAGGCCTATTCACACTTCACAGTTAGGCCTATCTGATTGTATTTATTATTTAGTCAACCTGTCCCAGATCTATCTTAAATTTAAAATTAGTAGGCCTACTTCTAGTTTAGTAGTGTCTAGTAAAGTCTAGTTAGTAACTTAGTACTAGTAGGATTAGTTGATGGATTAGTGCTATACTTCTTTGTTTGCAATTTTTAATGTTGAAAGGGATTACCTCCAACACAATAAAATATTGTGTCAGCTTGTTATGCACCATGGCATATATATAGGAAGTTGACTCCAATTTCAGCCTGCTTTTCTTTTTGGATTTGCTTCCATAATTCCATAGCCTTTGTCCATCCAAGAACAAACTACAAGGCAGCAGCTGTTTGATTTTGAAGTTGTCTCTCCTAGAAGAGTTGCTGTCCCCAGCTATCAAGCCTCATCTTCCCAGGGTCTCGAACTCAAGACCATGTAATACTTAATTGGAGGAAATCCCTTCCAACATTACTATTTAGAATGAAGAAGGAGAACTACCAGTAATTTAACACATTTTTTTAAAAAGAAGGTTCTGTTATTGTGGCACTGGTACAACACATACCCCAGAATCTAGTGGCTAAAAATAAGTAGTAGTGTATAGGCCTAGTCTATGCAGAGTATTCAATATTAGTTTACCTATGTCCAAGAGTAGAGTCCTACAAAAATAAATGTGTTAAGTTGTTTATTAGTATTAATATATTGTAATCTCAGGTTTAGTTTAGTGTTATGGTCAGAAATTAGGGTTAGAGTTATGGTAGGACTTGAGTTTGGGTTAGGGATATTTTATTGTTAGCATGTGGTGACATTAACCATTTTTAGTTTGTATTTAATTAACAATCAGTAACCTAACACCCCCTTTAAGAAGATCCCATTTTTGTTGCATTATTGGACACTGGTATAACACATACCGAACTCCAATTTTAAAATATAAATCATATAAACCTAACATACTAATTAATAATTATATTATGATAACTTTTCAAGTAGCAATAACACTTAAAACAATTTACTTGTTCTAAAGCAAAGCTCTGTGTTATTTATCAATTAATTATTTATTTTAAGCATGCAGCAGAACATTGCCATATAAACCTACATTTAAACTATATTTACATTTAAATTAACCTATTGCTCACTCATCGCCCCTTAGCCCACAAGTTGCACACATAACCTTAGTATAAAAAACATTTGACAACACTATAAAAAAATGTGGCTAAGACTAATCTGTTACTCAAGAACCTTTAAACTTCTCATTAATAAATATTTTTATCAGACGTTAAATAGTATTCAACAAATCTCTATAGAAATTTTTTTTTTTTGTTGTTTCATTTACAGGGTGAAAAAATATAACAAGTAAGTCTAAATGAATCCCCACAATGAAAATAAATTATTTATAAGAATTTCATTTATTCATTAAAAGAAAACAGCAAAAATAATGCAAGCTCTACTAGCCTGGGGTAAAGCTAGTTCTGGAGCTCTTGGTATAAGTGCCTCTGAACTAACGTGTGTAACAGCACCCCAACAAATACAATCTTTGGAAGGAAAAGAAATTGTCAACGTTAGCAGTGGAGAAAATCATACATTAATATGTACAAAAGATGGCTGTGTTTATAGTTGTGGATCTAATGAATTCAAGCAATGTGGTCGGGAAAAATATCTAACTAAATTTGGTAAGACTTTGAAAAGTTTCTCTTAACCAATCACTATAGACTCGATCCATTTAAGAATAATACTTTGAAAAGTTTCTCTTAACCAATCACTATAGACTCGATCCATTTAAGAATAATACTTATAACCTCTATTTGAAAAGTTATACAAACTTATTCTAGCTTCTTATGGATTAGAATCATTTTCAGAATAGTGTATATTTAGTTTTTAATAGTCTTAGCTAAACCGGATTACAGGATTGAGTTTAGGGTATGAATTAATGTTAGTGTTGAGGTCAAGATAAGGATATAGCATAGTGACATATAGTGATAAAGTGATACTTAAAGTGATATATGTATCCATGCTTGTGTTAAGCTAGTTCTGTATTGTTTTTTTTTTATTAGAACGTGTGGAGGAAGGTCTCTCAGCTCACCATGTGATACATGTAGAAGCAGGTTCATCACACAGTGTTGCCTTAACACAAGCGCATGAGGTGCTGACATGGGGCAAAAATACTGAAGGTCAGCTGGGAAGAGAAGCTTCAGAAGACACTAGTGGAATCCCCAAGTAAATATGTTTTTATTTACCCAGTTATCTGCTCAATTGGAATGATATAGTATTCACTATTGTTGTGTTGTATTTTTTTTACTGTAATGAAGTAATATGGTAAACTGCTACTGCTATTATAGAAAATAAGTTTAATCTCTTTTTCACCTTTCAACAAACACCTTTTATATTGTAGATTGGTAAAGTCTCTTGCTGTGTGTTGTGTTTTACAAGTCAGTTGTGGCAATGATCATACAATGGTATTGACCAATGGTAAGTACATAAACATATTTTTAATTGTATTAAATAAGGGGTTCATCTTTAAAGAATTTAAGTTGCGTAAGAGTAGACTAGAAACCTTAGCTTAAAATATTAAGCCATCTTATTTTTTACTTTGATTTAGTAATGAAGTTTTTGGTTTTAAAACATTTTAAAAATTCTTTTATTTTTTCTAGTTAAACTTAGTTGAAATGTGTCTTTTTTGTTTGAGGATCATATAAAGTATTGTAAGAATTACTTTTTTTCTGATAGAATGCCTTGTAGCTGTCTGGGGATCGAATGCCTATGGTCAACTAGGTCTTGGCAGGCCTAAGAATTCATTCCTGAATGTGCCTACATTTATTACTTGTTTGAAAGGAATACCTGTGGTGCAGGTGGCAGCTGGCGGAAACCACAGTTTTATTCTATCCAAGTCTGGTGCTGTGTATGGCTGGGGTAGAAACAGGTAATGTTAAAGTCATTTGGTAAAAGATGGTTCTGTGTATGGCTGGGGTAGAAACAGGTAATGTTTAAGTCATTTTATTCATTAGTAATCTTGTTACTGATTTGGTAAAAGTTGGTTCTGTGTATGGCTGGGGTAGAAACAGGTAATGTTTAAGTCATTTGGTAAAAGATGGTTCTGTATATGGCTGGGGTAGAAACAGGTAATGTTTTAGTAATTTGGTAAAAGAGGGTTCTGTGTATGGCTGGGGTAGAAACAGGTAATGTTTAAGTCATTTGGTAAAAGATAGTTCTGTGTATGGCTGGGGTAGAAACAGGTAATGTTTAAGTAATTTTATTCACTAGTTATCTTGTTACTGATTTGGTAAAAGATGGTTCTTTAACATAGATGACATAGTATGTTTAAATTTATTTAGAAAATAAAAAAAGTATGTTTATACTAATGTATCTTGAAACTGTTTTTATTATGATTTAGTTAACTTTTCACTTTTGTGTTGCATTTGCAAATGTGTTTATATTTTAGGTTAGACTTTTGTTTGTATATTTGTTCAGTAAAACTTTTATTTCTTTTACAATTATTTTTTAAACCATTGCAGCTTTGGGCAGCTGGGATTAAATGATACTCAAGGTAAAAACCTTTCAAAGTTCTAACTTCACTGTTTGCATCAGTTTTCCATCATTTAAGTTTTTTTAATTGATTAGTATTTTCAGTTACTGTTTATAATACCAAGTTAAATGAAAAAAATAGTTTTATTCCTAATTGGTACAACACTTTACAGATTATGATGTGCCAAAGCAATGCAGACCATTACGCACCCAGAGAATTAAATATATTTGTTGTGGAGAGAACCATACTGCCTGTTTAACTGGGGTAATTATAACACATGTACCTAGTTTTATTATGGGACAGGTAAAGTGCTAGACTGCTAACTAGAAAGTCTTGAGTTCAAATCTGGGTTCAAGTCCGTAGAATGTCCTTGAGTCCACCTAGTCTGATTGGTACATAACTCATGTTATGGAAAGTAAAGGTGGCTAACCACATTATCTGTTCATCTCTACTTCACTTGCCTCATGGACCATCAGGTTCAAAAAGGAAATTTTACCTTCTTTTTAATTAATCTACCTTGCTTTACATTTTTAGCTTCTTTGATGAATACAAATTTTCCTTTTCATTTTTTTCGCTTGTAAATGTAACAATAATGCTGATGATCCTTATGTTATTACAGTAACAAACAAGTCATAGCATCAATCTACCAAAGAAAACACATCTACTTTTTTGTATTCCAGGATGGTAGAGTATTTACTTTTGGAACAGGCACGTATGGCCAGCTGGGTCATAACTCTAACAACAATGAAATTTTACCAAAGCAGGTGATAGAGCTCTCTGGCAGTGAGGTTTCCCAGATTGCTTGTGGGAGGTAAAAAAGAAATGGTTCCCAACAATTTAATAGTATTTTAGTTTTCTAAATAACTCTTTCTTTATCGATTACTTTATTGACAGTTTATACAAATATTTTTTAGTTAATTGTCTTTGCTTTTTTTTTTACAATTTCTGTCACATAAAAGTGTGATTTTATTGTTACTAAATATGGCCGTAGACCACCACCACTAATATTATATTCACTTTAGGAACCTCCATAAACATAAACAATTTAAGCAAATTGAAATCCTTTTCAGACAGAAAAATATCTAAAATATTTTCTGTTATCTTTGACAGGAAGTAAATAAAAAATGCCTTAATTTATTCACAGAGGTCACACTCTGGCATATGTACCTAAATCTGGCCGGTTATATGCATTTGGACTAGGGGGAAGTGGGCAGCTTGGTCTTTCAAGTACAGAAAACAAAAATAGTCCATTCGCAGTACAAGGGCCATTTTCCTCTGGAGTTATTTCTCATTCATCTATGCTAGTGGACAATCAAGGGCCTGATATGGTGGTCAAGTCAGTTTATGCAGGAGGAGACCAGACTTTTGTTGTCCTCAAATGTGTTGATGTAAGTTTCTCATTTGTGTGTGTGTTACACATTTTTTTGTTAAAAAATGTGTTAGCACTCCTATGTTGATGTAAGTTTCTCATTTATGTGTGTGTTTTTTTGTGTGTGTTAGCTCTCCTATGTTGATGTAAGTTTCTCATTTGTGCCTGTTGTTTTTTATTTTTTGGTAAAAAAAAATGTGTTAGCACTCCTATGTTGATGTAAGTTTTGCTGGGTGGTATTTGTATCGGGACTAAACATCTGTTAGCACTCATGTATTGAGATAAGTTGGCCATTTGTTGGAGGTATTTTTCTGGTACATAAACATGTGTTATCACCCATGTGCTGAGCTAAATTGGTCAGTTGTGCGTGGTATTTTTTTGTTAAATAAACACATGTTTTGATTGATAGTGATGTGAGATTTTTAATGGGTTGTCAGGAAAGGGTTAGGAAGAAGGAATTGTTGTTCATTAAACACTGTGTAGTCTGATCTTCACATATTAAATAGCTAGACCAATTGGTGATGCTTACTCCCTTCACCATTCTCTCTAAAGATTCAAATATTGTCCACAATTCTGCTTGTCAAATGCTTGGGTACAGCTGTTGAAAAATAATGTACATCTAGCTGTTTGTAAGGGAAAATATTTTCATTAACTATTTCCCCTTTTTATTGATGTTATTATGAATGTTATTTTGTGAGTTAAAATTCTGTTGAATCAGGCTGGTCAAACAGATGACTTCAGACTTGTGGCAGCCACCAGACAGATTCTAACACTTTCTCTTGGAAAGTTAGAACCCCTCCGTCACCTGCACATTGATGAAAACCCACCTGTGGAAATTTCAGAGTAAGATCTTCTTGTTAGATACTAAAAACAAAAATGACTTTGTGGTGATGAAAGTAAATAATATCACTAATTATAACATTATAAAAAATTTTGATAATTTTTTTTACAGTTTTACACAATGAACGTGATCTAGTTTTAAATTGAGGGTGTTTGGTATGAATAATTATCCATGTAGAAATTTTTTGTGATAGTAAATAGATTCTTTCTAAATTTTATTTTTTTAATGCAAAAAATAGCATGTTACAAGTATAAATTTCTCTTATAACTAACATACTTTTTACACAGTTATTGAATTTTGTTGTCTTAAAATAGTCAATAAGTATGGTCAAAAGCTGGGCAATTTTTTAAATAACTGTTTTGATTGAATAATTTTGAGAATCTACATTCACAACATGGTTTTGTTTGTGCTATTAGCACTTAATGTTAGTTGTGCAACTATATGTATCACATTTAGATAACTGTATGTTTGTTGTTTATTGTAAGTTTTATTATTCTGTTGTTTTTTTGTTTTTTGCAGTGAGATCATAAAAATTTTCTCTTTTGCCTCCTGCTTGAATGGTTCCTTTTTATTACCGTAAGTGTCACTTTTAATTTTTTCTTATGTGTGCTTAAAGTAGATTGCTAATATCAATTAGCCTACACTTGAAGCAATTGATAATTTATAAAATTGTTGCTCTTTTTTTTAAAATTTAGTAATGATGAACATTATGGAACAAGTAGTAAAAAACATGGTGTGGATATGAATGCCGTTAGAGAATTTTTCAAAAATTTTGGTGAACTTCGAAACATTGTCATAAAGCAACAAGTGAGTTTTATTTTATGGTTTTAAAAAAGAAAGGACAATTTCTTGTTAAACATTTTCAATTGAAAATCGCTCTATTATTTTTCAGTGGTTTCTGTTGGATAATGTTATCATGTTTAACCATGTAATAATCAATATCCTTTATATAACCATCTCAAAAAAATAACTATTAAAATTTCCTATTCCAGATGAGTAAAACTATTGAACAACATTTAATACCATCACTAGCTCAGGCGCCTCCAGATGTGGAGGCACTTCGTCTCTATCTCATGCTGCCTGAATGCCACTTATTTGATGAGCCCAAGCTGTATAGTTCTATCATTTGTCCATTTGCTAAGTCCTTTCTTGCTCTAAATAAAGTTCCACTCTCAGTATTTGGTAAGAATTATCATAATTTACATTATTCTTCCTTATTTTAAAATGTTAAACCCCGTTTCCTATTCATTACATAAGTAAATCTTTCTTTCTAACAGATAATTGGTGGCCATCAAACCAGCCGTCTTTCTTTAACAGATTAATTGTGGTTTGTATATTATATTAACATAACTTTTTTTTTTTTTAAATAGTATGATGATCAGAATACATTTTAAAACTAAAATATACATTACTTGTTGATGTTGTGTGTTCCAGATTTATAAATCCTGCATAGAATATTTGCTTCAGTTACCAGACACCTCAAATCAATTAGAGGTAGTAAGTTTCAGTTTCTCTTTTAGTTTTATTGATAGAATTATAATAATCAATAATTACACTTTGGTTATAAAAATGTGTAGTAAAAAATGTTTCTTTTTGTATTAACCATGCTAAAAATGTAAAATCTTTGTTTAGGTGACAACTAGACAGCAAGGTCTATATTACTCCATGGAAATGTTAAAAAAGCTTAATCTGGTACGTCTGGGTTATTCCGCTTTCGTTTTGATAACTGATTAAATATTTGCGACAATATAATTTTGTTTTTAAAGAGTATACTTTTAAATCCAACTACATTACTATTTGATGTTCATTAGGTAAATGAAGCCAATCACCAGATTATCCCTTATCACAAGTTTTATGTTCCCGAGCTGAAAGATAAAGTCAATATACGAGACGATTACATTAGCTGGTGCACGGTGCAACAGTCCAATCA